TATTTTTTTGGGTTAGGATAAATCAATAAGATGCATAATAATTATTTGAATTTAATTTCATTTAGTACTTTCAATTAAAATTAATTTGAATGATATTTAATACATTTTAAATTTATTAAACTCGACCCACCGCACTACATAATATATATAATCTTAGTATTAGCGCAATATATATCATAAATATTATCATTAAATATATTTAGAGGTGTTCAAGGATTGTTTTACTTTAATATTTTGTTATAATTCAATACAAAATGTAAACAAATATTTTGTCATTCACTTTGATTGTAGTTGTGTTACTTTTATTACTATAAAATTGTTATTTTTAAATATTATTGAATGTTTATAATAAAAAGATATTATTATTTTATTATTGTTATATTCATAATTTTATCTCTTGTTTTACTCAATAGAATAGCTAAAAACTACTACAAAATTTGTTGTCATATATAAGTATATTATAAATAAAATATAATTAAACTTGAATCAATATTCAATAAACAAATTCATATATATATATATATATATATATATATATATATTAATTGTTAATTAATTGTGAATGTATAATATTATATTTAAATATAATAAAATATTTGATTTGGTTCTTATTTTTAATTTAAAATTCAAACCAAAGTACACTAACCTAGCTCAACTTAATTAAATTGAAAAATAATATTAAATTCAATTCAACTTATACCACTTGCACCCAAACCCATAGGTTTGAATCAAGACTCATTGAATTTTACAATTTATTTTTAATTAGGTCAAGAACTAATTTTTTCAAAACTAATTATAATCAATTTAAATACCCTTTTCTTGAATTAATATCACTTGCCCAACAAATTTGAATCCTAACGAGGCACTTGTCCGGCAAATAATTATAACTTCACGTAACCTTTTCCTTCAATATGATAGTAAAGGCAAAAATTAATTTCAAAAATCTAAAATAAAATTGAAAAAAAAAAGAAATTCTTTTTATTTCTAATTTGGAGTGATGTCTTTAAAAAATAGAGTTAATATTATTGCAATTGAAATAAGATGGGAAAAATATAACTTGAGTGAAACCCAATATTTTCCATCAAACAAACAAGCCTTTTTAGTTGGAAGAAATTATGTCTTGTATTCACTGGGTGAAACTTGATTGTACTGGTATATTCATCAAACAGGTTACCAATATAGGACCCAAAAGGGCCATTGACAAAGTCCTATAAAAAAATGACAAAACCAATACACATGTTGAACCCATTTTTCAGTGCCACCCACAGCAAGGAAATCCAAGTATACAATAAGCAGGTATATCTTATGATCTCAATAATGTAAACAGGAAAACTTCATCACCCCAATCAATTTTTTTTTCGTATAACTTTGAAATCCACCAGACAAAAGTAATGCTTCTAAAAGTCTCACTGATGGCTAAAAGAGTGCATTCCACCATCAATCCATACTTCGATTATATTCTTTATAAACGAACTTATTTAAGTTTATATCCTCGTAGCATGCACTTTATTACAACGACGACAGAATGCACAACTTTGCAGCTTCTTTCTCTGGTGCCACTGTAATTTTGATTAACAGAAAATAAACAAGCAAACCATCGTTAGCATATGGAGTTTACAATATGCTACAGCGTGTGATCCTTTTAGATGAACTTTTCTATAAATACTTTTAGGAGAAGATAACAAAATAAATTAAATAAGTTTTTCCATTAGCAAAAATCAGTTTTATGAATAAACTAATTTGAAGAAACTCTAATATTAGCTTTTCTAAAATCATATTATTAATTTATGGATAAGATAGTTTTAGCTTGTAAAAGATAATTTCATTTGTCTTCTAATAACATTTACAGATAAAAATTGAACCCCACTTTACACTAATCTTAAGTAAAAATATTAAGCCAAGACAATCACAAACAAGCAGTACTCAGATCAAATAAAGCATTTAAACATAGCTGCGTCATATAAAACTATAAATTTAATTATAAATAAGTCTGTTGTGGAGTACAGGCACAAGGATTTATTTACATGTTTGCTCGATTTTCACAGCAACATATTTGATGGCTTCTGCAAGAATTCATGATTGGGTTTCTTATTTTCTGTGGTTTATCGGCTGCCAGCTTTCTTTTTTAGCACTAACCAGACTCCACAATCCTAGAGAAGTGTTTGTACAAACTATATTGGCAGATAGGATGATTGTAGAGGAGACATCTAAAATAAAACGACCACAACAGTCAAATTTAGCATGAGTATGATGGAAACGGAAGGAAGACCATGAATTGAAGCACCTATAAGCACAGTTTTGAACTATGGGGCATGACCAAACCCAAATAAGAGAGAATGACTAGGATGTAGTTGAAAAGGAAATTGATTTCTAATGGGTCAAGCCCAACTCACTAATAAAAGGGAATGGGGACATGGAAAAGGAAACTGTTGTACAAGATATAAAAAACTGGTATATATGCATATAACATACCATCAAGAGAGAAAAAAGAACATGTAACATACCAAATATTTAATTAAGCTTAAATGACTAAGCCCCGGTATAATCATAACTCACAAGTCACAAATAACAAACAAAGCAACTGAACATACTGTAGTACTGCCAAGTGATTCCTCCTGATTAAAATACAACACTTGAACACCTAGACTAGACCTCTAAATCATTCCAATTAAAATCATTATCACTCAAGAGATTCACATTTCTTCAATATAAAGAAAACCAGTGAACCACACAAACAGAGCAACAGAAACAGAGGAACAAAATAGAGCCAAACAACTTCAAACATGGTAGAGAAGACTCTGGTTGCAGTGGTTCATGCAACACTATTGGAACTTGGGTGAGAGTGGATGCAGAGTCTATGCGGAGGTTGAAGAAGATGAAGTGATATCAGTAAAGGTGTTTTCCTGAATTATTAGTGGAGTTACCAAAAAGTTGGTTTTGGGACTTGGGTTTCATGGGTGCAGGTTCATGGAAGCCCAAAATGAATAAAAAAAAGGAAACTTGACCCACAGCTGAAAGTTGGCACACAAAAACGTGCTCCATGCAAACTCAGAAAACTCTCTGATTCCACCATCTCTACGATTCTGCATGGCAAGTCTACCAATTCTGCTCAGCAACGATTCTGAGCAAGGACAAACTTGCCAAGGCATGGCTGAAACATAGAATTGTGCAACTCTATTAGTTGGATCACAATTTTGACTACCATGAGCAATACACCACTTAGTCATTGGGACTCCCATACTAAGTCAAGAAGACAAGAACCAACAACCCAAAAATGGTGTTTTAGATTATATCTCTTTACAAATGTTACCATAAACACTGGTATAATCTCTGACAAAATGGCAACAGAAAAAAAGTAAAGACAGAAAGAATGGATTCATTTTCAAGGAAATATGTTTTCGTTCATACAGAAGACACTGGATTAAATATTTTATACACAAACAATCTCAATGAAAGTGAGAAAATAATGTGTATATATGGCATATGTGATAGAAAATGATTGGAAGCATTAATTAGTACTTTGTGGGTATAAACTTCAGATAGTAGACAAATTTAAAGATAAATCTCAAATCAAGACCAACAAAACTTACATTTCAGAAAAAAATTGGGGTTATCAAGTGCATATGGATTTACTGCACTTATCATAGAAACAAGAAGAGGAGCTTGACTTGCAATATAAAAATAACTTTTGACATTGAAGGATGCCATTTTTTAGCAAGTATCCTGCAGAGATAACACACAGGAAGGAATTAACACAACTAGGGATTACACAGAAAAACAGAGGCACTAAACTTAACAACAGTTCTATTAAAAAACTATGTTTAGAAGTGAAAAAAAAAAAACAGCATTAAGGCTAGACGTTTTGGGAATAAAGATGAGGTAAAAAAAGCAAGGTTAAAGTTAACATTTGGCTCTGTTATGAATATGTCCTGTACAGGAAAGTGACAAAAAACCCTTAAATTTTAATCCCTACAAGGGTGTATAGGAACTGAAACTAACCATTTTGAGGGGCTAAGGCTTGAGAAACATAGTAAAAGCAGGGACGAATGTGTACTAATATTGACAGTATGGGGATTAAAACTTAAGTTCTCCTCATAGATGTAATGATTCCTAAACATGTGTAACCTACAGGGATTGGGGACCAAATGATTAGTTCAACCGAAAAAATGGCCAATTAAAGTTAGTAAAAAACAGATAGAAAATGTTTTTATTGTCTTTGCAGTTCTGTAATAAATCTTTATTTTATGGCAATACCTAAGGTTGAAAAGTGAAATTATCAGGGACTAAACCCTACACATAATCATCCCCAATCTTAGACAATCATTTTATGGTCTATTTATTTTATCATTTAAGGTCAATATTCATAAGCTTTATAATGTCCATCATTCCCATTTTCTAGAAGTCCATAAAAAATTGCTTAAATTGGCCCTGAAAAAGTGGTGATTTTTTCTACTTGGTGTGATTATCCTTCACCAAAAACCAACCAAATACTAGTCAATTCCTTTATTCTCTTGTTCGTTCTATTCCCTATCATGTCTTAATGAAAAAGCAGCAAGCTGGTTTAAAGCAATTTAAAAGGCACATACGTACTCACAATCAAAATGGTACAATGAAGAACACTAAACACATTCATTTCTTCAACCCCAACCCAAAATAACTCTAAAAAATAGAACCTGTTTACATAATGATAGTGTAACCAGACTACTAATTTTGATGTGGCCTGTCAGTACCCATAAAACCAATTTCCGATCATGGGATCATCGTAAATACCATGAAAGTTAGTCTCAGCTTATCAACAACAGAACAAATGGTGATGCTTACCAAAACACTATCATATTTGAGGCTTCAAAGATAGAAGTTAAAAAAAAAAAAAAAAAAAACTACACTAAATACAAAAGTGATATTATAATTATATATTAAACCATATGCAAAAGTCGCCCTCAATTTAAGTATAAGGAAACACAAGTTTGAAACTTACTGGACCATTCAAACAACACCATTCATCTTAAATGCATGTTAGAGAGGAAATCCGATAACCTGAAAGCATCATATTTTATGTTAGTGAATGAGCAAAAATAGGAGGAATATAGTAAGGTTTCGGTCAGAGATAATGAGAAGGAAAATAGCAACCTGATGTCTTTTGCAATAACGGTATTTCCATCTGCAGCCCCTAGATGACGCAATACTACCTGCTCCATACGGCCATCTCGATATGCATGCTGCGATTAAAGACAACAGAAACCAATCTTCAGTAAATTTAGCAAATAGATACCTCAAAACACTTCTTAAGCCTCACTTTTAGCACAGTTCATCCCAAACCACTGCCTAGACATCACAATTCAATACAAGGTAGGGGAATAGAAACTGTATGCCTGGAAATACTAATAAACTTAGGTACCAGAAAGGTAGAAAGAATGTTGCAGACAATGTTTTCAATGCTGTAATGCTAATTTTATAGAAAATTAAAGCCATTAGGAAAACTGAAATTGCCTTATAGCAAACCAAATTTAGTGCACACTTTGGACTGTAGTACAAAATATAATTTCTAATACAATAAATTCTATACTGTATAAGAAAACATGTATATGCCACGAGAGAAGATATTTGAAAGTGTTTTAGAAGGAAATAGAAAAATGGTCAGACACAGGGGCTAAAATAGATTTAGTTATATTTGCAAATTACCTTGTAGAAACAACTAGTTCCAAAAGGACAGTTACCATCGCCAAAGTCGAAGTGCTTGCAATCAATTGACCTACAAAAGGAATTAAGCAATTGCCAAAGGAATGTCAGAACAGAGATAGACATTCACTATTTCACGCAGCTGAGCTATTAAACATATGCAATATCACTGGCCACCATAAGCACAGGAAATGGGTAGTCCCTCATCAATAAGGTAGCATACAATGGTGACCCAAAGTAAAGACTTTCCTCACTTTAGTTGTGATCAAATAATGGATTAATTGGATAGAAAAAAGTAAAATAAGTCATGGGATTTTGTAGGTGACCAAGAAATTACTTGAGCTTTGCCTTGTAGTTGTCAATGATTTCTTGTTTTTCTTCAATTGTCGTGTACCAAATGACACTTGGAATGACAAAGTATGATAGCTTACGGCAAATAGGACAAGCCCTCAATGTGCTATTAACATCCATCCCCAACGTTGGGTTACTACTACGCCAATTCCGAATACAGGATATGCAAAATGGATGATCACATTCAGATAGCAGCCCAAACTTCCGTTCGGCTGGTGTAGACTTTGACAGAACACGCTCCAGGCATACGCTGCATTCAATTTCTTGACTTCGTTTCAATGCCTCAAGATGCTTATGTTTATTTTTACAACTCTTCATATGTTCTTCTCTTTCCTCAGGTCGGAAAGGATGCAGGCAAAGTTTTCCACAGGTGGGACATAGATCCCCATGAATATGAGGACATTTTTCCCCTCGTGGACAGTTGCCAGCAGCAGCAAATGAACATATTGAAAGCTCAGAAGGTGAAGTGATTATGGATTGACCAACATTGTCTTCCCCAAAAATTTCGTGATACTCAAATTCTGGATTCCAAACCAGTTCGTGATTCCAAGCCAGTTCTTGATTCCAAACAGGTTCACTAGGAAGAATGTAAGTACTACTGGAAAGAGAAAAGTCTGCAGCTGTACCCGCACCATTTGAAGTGGTTCTATTATTTCCGAAAGCAACAGTATCTGAAACCGGCGTTTGGTGTTCAATTACTGAAGAAGATGAAACGGAAGAATGTACTTGAGAAACTTTGATGTGATCATATCTGCAGCGACTACCATAAGCACAGGCTCCCTTCTGGTAATATGTGCATATCTGTAGTAAGAAAACAACAAGCAGAAATTATCATTGATATTTGTACATTGATAACAATCAATTAGTGGGGTCTGCAGCAAAGAAGAGTTTGCATCACCAACATTATTTGGAGGATCTTTCCAGTCATGCGAAAATTCACAATGCTCCCCTTTCAGACAGGCTCCATGAGCAAAGAACTTACAAAGAACCCTATAAGATTTAGAAAACAAGCAAGAAATTACTAAAATTAAAATTAACAAAGGACAGAGAAAAGGCCCACACACTTGTCCTGAGTACCAAAAACTAAGGCTCCAATTAAAACCTTTTATCCAAATTTCCACAAACGAAAAAAAAAAAGGCTGGATTTAAATGATTTCATAGTTAAGCGTCAAGTGCCAACTATAATCCACAAACAAGATAGCAATGCCAAATTTCGTTCTTCTACCTACTATAGAAATGAACATCGTTAGAACATCCAGGAATGATTAATTGCCAGTCACGACCATAGAAATCTCCCATACGAATAATGGTATGCTACAAATTATAACCAGATTGTGTTCCCACAAACAAAAGCTATCTGAATTCAATAACGATTTTCCAAAGTCAATAACAAACGGGGGCCAAATGAAGGTAGCATATTTCAACCCTTTTTCTTCTGAATTTGCCTAAACGAATAACACACAATAGATAGAAAAAAAAATCTGAATCGGGTTAAAACATAAAAAAAAATAAAAAATTATAAGAACAATATACAGCATAAATATATAAAACCCAAACAAGGATCAAGAGAAATTGAAAACAAAAAAATAAAAAATAAAAAAATTATAAGAACAATATACAGCATAAATATATAAAAAACAATCAATGATCAAGAGAAATTGAAGAAACGGAAGAACAACAGACAGAAAACCCACATCAAGAAAAGTCGATTAACCATGGAAAAAACAAGATGGTGGAGAGGCTAACCTCTTAGACATGGCAGTTATTGAAAAGAAGGATAATTCCTTAAATTAAGCGAGAGTTGTTGGGAGGATCAAAACCCTAAACCACCAAAGGGATTATTGGTGGAAGAAAGAGGTGAACAAAAAAAGAAGCAACCAAAAAAGTGAAGGAGGCTACACGTGGGGTTTGCAGCCACTCAAATTAAGAAAAGATTGAGAGCACAAGAGAAACGGTGGTGTTAAGGTTGGATGGTGGCAATGAAATATAATAATAGGAATAGAAATTGAAGGAAAGATTGAAAAATGGATTTGGATGGGTAAAAAGAGAAAATTAACTTACTTCAATCTCTTCACCATTTTCATCCTTCCCCTAATATACCTAATTTTAAAAATAAAACAAGAAAAATTGTGTAAAAAAAAAAAACTCTTTATATATCATTATAAATAAGATTTTAATTATTTTGTGTCTAAAACATCCCAAAGGTCTTGTCCAATTCGTGACTTTGCTTAGTCCTATGATGTCGTGTCCTCTCCCACGTATTCAATGCATGAATTATGATCTAGCTACCAATTTTGTTGATTGATAAATTTTAGGAAAATTTGATTCACCCATCAAATTTTCCTTTTAATGCAATGATTAGTTAAATTTTTTGGATATAATATTTAATTGGGAAACATAGTTGTAATAACGTTTGTGTTCATATTTTTTTAGGAAAATGGTTAAAAATTACAAAATATTAAAAATAAATCGATAATTTAAAAAATAGTTAAAACATAATTGAATCTATAATTACAATCTCCTTACATGTGTTATGTAACATAAAATAATATATTACTTAATTTAGAAACTTATTTATGATAGAACTTTTCTACAATATATGAATTTTTCTAATAATCTTATAAATTTGACATTGTTTTTACGTAGGTCAACATTTTTAATACATTAAAAAAATAGTATAATTAATAATATTACTATAAATAGTATAATTAATAGTATAATAATACATTAAAACTCAGTTTAACCGATTTCCTGAAAAAAAAATCATAAATCCTATTTGACCCACCCAAGTGACTAGGAGAATGTTCGATCTATTAAACTTTCCCAATTCTAACAATAATATATGTCTATTCTTTTTATACATTAAATAAAAAAAATAGATAGCTTAACCTAACGAGAATTAAAAATCAACAGGCTAAATAATATATTATTAATAAATTATAAATAAATATAAAAAAAAAAAAAAAATCATAAATATATAAATAAATATATTAAATAATTATTAAATTTAGAACATCAAAATCATAAATTATAATATTGTTTAATCGTTATTTTGTTACAATTACATAATCATTTTATTAGATATCTCTTGTTATTTTTTATTTGAAAATCATGTTTTATTATGATTTTTGACCTAATTCTTTGTTGTAATGTTATTTTGCGTCTATTACTGTAAGTATGTCATCGTCATATATTTTTGTTGGGTCTTTTCTAACGTTGTTTTCCCTTCTAAAAATTGTGTTTTATTTTACTTTTAACCTTCTTCGTAATAATAATTGTTGTAGTTGCATAATCTTTAATCTTTTATTATGTTACTGTTTTCTCTCTTCACAATTAAATGAAAATAATTATAATACTAAGCATATTATTACTATTATGCTTTGATGGTAAAAATAATTAAATTTCAAAAATAATCATATCTATAATAAATTTGATATATATATATATATATATATATATATATATATATATTATGAGCTCTCGAAAAAAAAATATTAAAAATAATTAAATATATAATTTTTTTTTCAAATCATAGTATTTATATATATTATTTTTCTCTTGGGCATAAGACCCACAAAAATTTAATTCATATGCTTCTTATCTTTTATTTTAAAATAAAACATAAAATAGACAAAAAAATATTATATTAATTACTTTAATTAAATAAGAAAAAAGGAAAATTCTTTCCTTATTAAATGATCTCAGCAAAAGATAAAAAATTAAGAAATCATCATTTGATAAAGTAAAAATATTAGGATGAATATATTAATAATGTTTTTTATACTTTTATTAGACTTAACTGTGGACTCAAATATTCTTACTGAAATCTAACTATGAAACAAAAATTCTTGTAATATTATTTTAAAGATAAAACAAAAATAATTGAATTATGACATATTATATTTTTTATAATTATCAACTTATTTACTAATAATAATCAATTTACAAAATATTTAAATAATATATATATATATATATATATATATATATATATATATATATATATATATATATATATATATATAGCAAGTAAATATCTCACAAGACAATGAGAGATTAATTTTATCGTTTTACTGAACATTTTGTTGGTATAATCTTTGTTACTCACAACAATGCGGTATATACTAATAATAAAAATAACTATTTTATTAATATTTTATAGAGAATTAAATCTAGTTCATCGAATTCGGAATTCATTGACCAATTATAATGCGAACAACTAAAATAAATTCAAACAGGTTCGTAACTCAATTAAAACCACTAAAATATAAATGGATGAGATTGAATTAATCATGTTCACACATTAACTAAGACCTTGCATTCATGATTTAAGAATATCAGTTTATGGTTGCATTAGTCAAGTTTTTCTATATTCTACGAAAAATAATATTTGGTAATTTTACATATTTAATAATTAAAAAATGACGCAAGATAGTGTTTAATAATTTAAAAATACAAATATTAACACTTTTTACATCAATATTAATAAAATGAAGACAAATCTAGGAGATAAAAAGAAGGGAGTGCACAAATAAGAAACAGAGAAATAGAATTAAAAAAATGAAAAGAGAGACAAGAAACAGAGTGGGAGAGAAAAGAGAAAAGTGAAAAAACATTAACAAAACAATCATAAACTTTTACATTTATAAAACATTTAGCTTAAAAAATGCATTGGTAATAGAAAAATACAAAAGAAAAAGAGAGCCACAGGTTAAGCAATCTTCTGATAGAAGAAAATTCCTGCTACTTTGTGTGATCATTGTTTAGTGTTCGCTAACAATAAAATGTATTTTACATAGAAAGAGAGAGTGAGAGATGAGGAAATCATTCTGAACTCGCAAAAATAAGCAATCTTTTCAATTCAGCTTTAACCAAAAAACTATGTTGCACATATGCCAACAAGACCAAGAATATCAAGCCATATTTTACATAGAGAAATCAAAAGTACGATGAGACAGGACTAAGCAAAACCCTCAAGCCAAAACTCTTTCAATAGCGTCATATCAGAAAAATATACAAAATGGCATATGATCACGAATACCAGTAATTGGCATGAGTACTAGCATACCATAAACTTGAAGTTCCTGCCCAAATAAATTTTCAAAACAAATGATAGGGATCACCATATGCCAAAGGAAACTACCTCAACAACTGGTTATAGTGTCGCTTTATACGAACTATGTAATTCTAGCACCCCTCATCACTGTATTCATCTCCATGGTCATCTATACTATAGAATGCATCATCATTGATAACAAGGCAGCATCCATTGGGTTGAACTCTTCATCATCAAAAACTTCAGGACCAAAATCATCCACATCAAGTGCTTCGGACAATGCAGCCATCTGAAAAATATCCACTCCCTCTTCATCAGAATCAAAAGGGCCCAAACATGGACCTAATTCTCCACCAAGCGTATCAGATATATCCATCATATCATCAAAAAACTCCGGGTGCCTCACGATGGAAAAATATTCCGCACTTGTTAAATCAACATCGTTGAGTATGTCCAACATATCATACATATTAAAATTGTTTTGTCTCCGCGGTGGTGGTGGTGGCCTACGATGTATCCATGTGTATGAGCCAGGCTTCACAGTATGCTGAAAGCAACAGATACCATAATTATTAAAGGTCAAACAAGAAACAAATATAAGCTATGTCAAAGATCAACAACAAATAAAGATACATGGCCTCTAAATGACAGATTTACAAGTATCCTAAACGTGAATAGTTTTTTTCCTAACATTGGATATTTTAAATTTTATTAGTATTTACTTTAAACATAGCCAGAGTCAGAGACTGAATTTGTTTCTAATCTTAATTTCATGTTTTTTTTTAACTAAAATTCTTTCAAAAACTACTTCCAACACTCCTCCGTATTATCATATAGTACATGCCTCTCATCAAGTTTGAAACAAGACAACTTAGTTTTAGAAACAAGAGACCTTACCGAAACAAACAAAACAAACCACCAATACTGATCTAGTATGGATCCAAATACTCTTTATTTTTTTTAATCATTTCAATTATTACAAATACTCTTTTTTTTTTATGAATTATAATCCTATTAAAAGACAATACATAACACAAAATGTAGTAAACAAACGAAGTAGTTCATAACGTATCCCAAATATTGTCACACTACATATGGTAATGCATGTGAGTACAAATGACATAAAAAGGGTATTGCAATACAAACATCACTAGTTTGCAGAATGGCAAGAGAATTTAACATTTTATTATTAACCAATACCCCAAAATTAAAAAATAAACACTGAAACTGAACCAAAGCAAAATCCCCATTCCTGATCAGCTTTGGTTACAAACCATTGATGAATTACTTTCTTCAACTCTCACTACTTATGAACTGAGTCTTAACAACTAAACGACTCATCAAAGAGCTGAAATTCTGTGAGGTTTGATCTTTGAAATTAAATTGAACATAACTAATGCTCCATTTTCCATGACAATTAGTGTTAGAAAATCTCACATTGACTAGAGATTGGACCAAATTTCAGGATATAAGTAATGCAAACCTCACTTTACAAACAAAATTTGTGAGGTTGAATTAGTTTAAAATCTACTTTTAAGATGGTACCAAAGTTATCTTAATATTGAATCCCAAATTGACGGGTTAGTGTGAGCTTATCCATGCGGTTATGCATCCTTTGAATAGGAATTTATAGACCACCTACAGATCTACTTCTAAAAATCATTGATCACAACACCCAAAGTGTTGTAGATCCCATATATATATATATATATATATATATATATATATATATATATAAATCAAATTTGACATCTAATAGCCAGATAACAAATATTCTTTAAGTGAAAGGAGAAGCATCGCTGCTCCAAAAATGATGTTACTCATTAATACAGAGTGGCAATCAAATTTTCCCAAGGAATTTATTAAAGCAAACAAAAGATAAAAGAGTGGTAACTTGGGTACCTTGTAAAAGCAACTAGCCCCAAATGGACAATTCCCATTTCCATAGTCAAAATGCTTGCAATCAATTAGTCTGAAAAAAGACAAGAAGAGGCAAGTTTAAAATTCAAATATCAAACCATTCAATCTCTTATTAGCATAAATTGTCTTGGATCTCTTTAATAATCAGATTTTCACCTAAATAGGTGAACTCTGAATAACGTGCCCTCATCAGTAGAACCATGTGAAGCGTGAACACAAGGGGATTGGGAATAGGAATGGGGATATAATGATGAGAAAAGGAGGGAATTATTTTCCCAACCAGCCACCCTCTAAAACCACTTTGATTAATTAACCATAACAGAAAAAAAATAAATTCAAATTACCAGTCAACAAGTAACAAATCAGTTTCAGGAAAGTGAAGGGGAAGTTGAGTAGAGAAAAATTACTTGCAGTTTGCCTTGTAGTTGTCAATAATTTCCTGTTTTTCTTCCTTAGTAGAGTACCAAATACCACTTGGAATGACAAAATATGATAGTTTGCGACAAACAGGACATGTCCTCACTGTATTAGCAGTGCCATTATCACTGATGTCCATTTCAGATGTTGGGGCACTATTACGCCAATTGCGGATACAGGATAAACAAAAAGCATGGTCACATTCAGGAAGCAGCCCAAACTTACAATCAGATGGTTTAGGCTTGGAAAGAACAAGCTCCAAACAAACATTGCATTCGACATCTTGACTAACTTTCAAAGCCTGAAGATATTTTTCCTTTTTCTCACAAGTTGCCAAATGAATTTCTCTTTCCTCTCTATCAGTAGGATGTAAGCAAAATTTTCTACAGTAGAAACATCGATTTCCATGAACAAGAGAACATTTATTTCCACGGGGGCAGTTGGAAGCTGCAAATGAACAAAACAGAAGTTCAGATGGTGCAGCACTACTAGTACTGGATTGACCAACATCATTTCCAGGAGAGACCAGATTCTTGTATTGTGAACTCCTTGCGCACTTGTCTGACGAAGATGACTTCACAGCCTTCGGAACCCAACTGGGGGTATGATTTACCACAGAATCTGAAACAGGAGAATGACGTCCATTTGCTGAAGATGAAGCTTCTGAAGCTTTAACATGCTTATACCTGCATCTACTACCATAAGCACATAATCCTTTTTGATAATAGCTACAAATCTGTTTTCCACATAAGAAACAGAAAAGGTAGGAAAGTCAATAAAAAGATTCATTGGCGGGGGATAAAAATATTACACGAGAATCAGAATTAGAGATACAACTCACATTACAAGTTACACCATCCTTCCTCTCATGAACAAAATCACATCGATCCCCTTTCAAACACGCTCCACGGGCATAGAACTTGCAAACCCTGAGACGGACAATTATTTTAAAACAAATTCTAAATGCGTTTATATGTTAATCAAGAAGGAGTCTACAAAAATTCTAACAGAAAAATGCAATTAGCAAGTAAACCCCCAAATTGATTAATTAAATCACAAAGTCTTAGCAAAAATTCAATACAGAAAGTACACGCATCAAACAAATCAAAAATCCAAATGTTCGCAAAATCCCAGCAATTCAATCCTACACACAATTTTCAAGTCCCTTGTAATGAACCATTAGCATAAAAAAGACCCTAAACTTCAAAACGTTAAGTTCAAAATCCACCTTGTTTATATTAAACACCAACGATCCCAAACCAACTGAACCGAAAACTTATGACATTTTGTTTTTCAAACAAACATATATTTCCAATTAGCAAAACAAGAATAAAAAAAGAGACACAATAGCATGGCCTATACATTCTGACCACATGGCGTTCGACCACATAAAGAGCAACAGCAAATGTCAATTATCCAATACGCCAAACAACAACGCCAGGCAACAAAATTCTTTTCATTTTATTTTCTGTTCTTCCTAACATGCGAACGCGACAATAAAAATATAATAAAACAAAAGGGAAAATCGAAAAGAGGGTCATAAGAGAAATCCAAGAATCATGAAAAGAGATCGAAGAGAGAATGGAGAAACGGGAAAAGGAGAAAAGATGGTTAGAAAATTACCTGTAGGACATGGCGATGGAGTGAGAATTGAAGAAATGAAATTATGGGAGGGAAGGGACAAAGATGTGAAGGCGAAGACCTAGGTGCGAACCATTTGAACCCGGGTACGAGGGTCTTTTGGCGCTGTGTCGGGGTCCGTTAAATTGCAAATCTCCACTTACGCGAAACGTGTTTCGGGGTTGTGCAAGGCACGTGATCGTATACATCACTATTTTCCTTTTATTTTTATTTTTTTTAAGATTATTTTTCGTATATTTTTGCTTGAAACAGTTTGACCCGGTTAACAATTAATAAGAGTTGTTTATTTATAACCATTATATAAATTGTTTATCTATATTATATAAGAGAATTTCTTTTTTTAATCATTTTTATTATGATTTATAAAATGAGAGACATATATATTTAAAAATTAATAAAAAAGAGAAAAATACAATATAATAAAAATAATTTAAAATAAATTTATAACATAGAAAATTAAATCTACAATTATTTTTATTATAATTTCGTAGAGAGAGAATAACACAGAAAGATAAAAGAGTTATTTCAAATAAATATAAACAATATTTATATTAATTGTTTTATATAATTTTTTTTTATTCGTATTAACTATTTGTAAATTATTATAAAAGAATTGGGCAAACCTACTTACGCTGCTATTTTAACTAGTTTTGATAAGGTTTTTTCTTTCGATTGCCTAAAGAAAATTTTATTTTAGAAAATAATAATAAAATTATTAATAAAATAATAATTGATTATATTTAATATGTGCTTTTGAAGTGACTTCCAAATTTAACCTTGATTTAATAAAAAAATTCATTACATCTGAAAAATCATATTAATCTCCCTTAACAATTATTTTAACTTTAATTTCTCTCATTTGCAAAATTACAAATCTTTATCATTAAGTTTGAAGGTCTTTCCCACTAATCCAAATTATCTACAAAGAAGTATATATATTTATATAATTATTTAATATAATACTCATAATTTTTGTCATCTTCAATTGAATTCTTATAAATTCTAAAAGTTTTTATTAAAATAAGTTCACCTATCCATCGTATATAACAATTCATAGTAAGAGATAATGTTTTCGCAAAGAATACGTGGCATCCATTATAGATTCACGCATAAAGAAGATAATAAACAGTGTTTGGGAACGAAAAACAGAGCAAGATAGGAAAGAAAAATAGAAGAAATAAAAAATGGAGAAACGTTTATTTTTTTGTATATTAATCAATGAAACATAAGAGCTATATATAGAATTGAAACAAAACGCACAACAGAAAAATAAAAGACTCATGCTTAAGCAAAAACAAAGACATGCTAAGTGCTACAATACAGAAAACTACATGCAAATCATGCAGTACGAACATCCGATTTTCAACAGCCCCCTTAAGCTGGGAATATATATTACTCATTCCTAGCTTGCCACTTAAATGTTTAAACAAAGTAGAAGGAAACGATTCAGTAAGGATGTCAGCTAACTGCATGATGGAGGAAACGAGAAGAATTCTAACAGTTCCAGCACAAATCTTCTCACGAACGATATGACAATCTATATCAATATGCTTGGTCTTTTCATGAAAAACTTGATTTGAAGCAATCTGGATTGCAGATTGACTGTCATAATAAATCAGTGTTGACTTGGAACAATTAACCTTCAAATCATTCAAGAGATAAGTAATCCACTGAATTTCGCATATAGTAGAAGTCAATGTTCTATACTCAGCCTCTGTCGAGCTTTTGGAAATAATGGGTTGTTTCTTAGACTTCCAAGATAAGGGAGAATGACCTAAATATGTTATATACCCAGTAATAGATCTTCTAATTTCTAGACAATTGGCCCAATCGGAATCACTATAAGCTTTAATCTGTAAATCGTTATTGGCAGTGAGAAATATCTCTTTATCAGGAGTAACTTTAATTTCTGATGATGATCCATAGTTGGAGCAGCAACGAACTGAATGAGATGATGCACAACATGAATGATATTAGACCTAGTGTTAGTGAGATAAATCAGCCTTCTTATAAGTCTTCTGAAAGTAGCAGTTTCAATTAACGAACACTCATTATTGTTGGAAGGTTTAACATTGGGAACCATGGGAGTAGGAACAGGAGCACATGAACTCATTCTCGTTTCTTCTAAGAGATCGAGAGCATACTGTCTTTGCGATAGATGAATAATGGTCGAGTTCCTTGCGACTTCAATACCTAAGAAGTATGTTAAGTTTCCAATGTTTTTGGTCTTGAATTCCTTGTTCAACAAATTTGTAATTTTTTCAATCTCAGAAACATTATTACCTGTAAGTATAATATCATCTACGTATACAAGAATCATAGTTTTATTATTTTCATCATATTTCAGAAACAAGGAATGATCTGCATTAGAGTGAATATATCCATGTAATAACAAGAAGCTAGATAATTTCTCATACCATTGCCTACTTACCTGTTTTAAACCATAAAGAGATTTGTGCAACTTACACACTTTTCCTGGTGAGATTCCCGTGATCCCTGGTGGTGCTTCCATAAACACTTCCTCATGCAAGTCTCCATGTAAGAAAGCGTTGTTGACATCCAATTGTTTCAATTCCCATCTATTTGCAATGGCTACAGCTAATAGGGTTCTAACCGTGGTTAGCTTAGCTACAAGTGAGAAAGTGTTGAGGAAATCAAGGCCCTCCAACTGTGTGTAGCCTTTGGCAACTAATCTCGCCTTGTACCTATTAACAGTTCCATCAGTCTTATACTTGATTTTGAAGACCCACTTACACCTTATAAGAGTCTTATTCAATGGAAGGGAGGTAATCGTCCAAGTCTTGTTATTCTGCAAGGCTTCAATCTCAGATCTCATAACAGTTCTTCAACATTCATGTTGGCAAGCTTCCTGATATGTCCTTGGTTCCTTTTGAGCGTCAATAGAGAGAATAAAACGTTTGAACCCTTCTAATAACCTGCTATAAGACATATATTTTCCAATTTCGTATTTGCTTTGAAAATGATTCTTAGGATTTATATGATTAATGGTAACATAATAGTCTTACAAATGACCAGGCTATTATTTCATCCTTGATGATTTTCTAGGAAGATTCAATTTATTGTCAGTTATATCAGACAATTCACTGTCATTGTAAGCAGTATCATCTAATTCATCGTTGTTGTTTTCAATTTCATTAGATGGTTCAATTTCATTGTGAGTGATATCAACTACATTACATGATTCCAAAACATTATTATCAGCATTGTTACCATACTCAGGTATTGGGCAATGAGAGACAATTACCTTCATTCTCAGAGTTCATATTCTCACTATAGGGGAATATATTTTCGAAAAAGACCACATTTCTTGAAACAATTATTTTGTGGGTGACAAGATCAAGCACTAAATATTCCTTTGTGTTGTTTTGAAATCGAAGAAAAATGCAAGGATTGGCTCTAGGATCCAACTTCTTTCCTTTGGACAATTAAAGTATTAGCATAACATAAACATCCGAATATGCGCAAATTACTAATATCACAATTTTTACCATTCAGTTTTTCGAAGGAAGAAGAATCATTGAGCAAGGGTGTAGGGATACAGTTTATTAAATGTACCGCATGTAAAGCGACATAACACCAAAATTTTTGGGGAAGATTGGACTGAAAAAGAAGAGCACACATGACATTAAGGATATGTTGGTGCTTTCTTTCAGCTATCCCATTCTACTCGGGTGTTTCTATGCAAGAGGTCTGATGGATGATACCCTTTTCATTAAAGAAGTATGGCATACTGAATTCTAACTCATTATCGGACCTTATACATTTTATAGTTTTCTGGAACTGGTTCTCGACATAGGCAATGAATTTCCTAACATAATCACGAGCCTTAGATTTCAATTTCATGGGATATATCCATGTAAATCTACTGTAATCATCCACAATGGTAAGGAAATACTTGTTTCCTAGCATAGAAACATCAGCACAAGGCCCCCATATATTAGCATGTATGAGATCAAAAGTAGCTTTTGTACGAGAAAGGCTTATAGGGAGAGGAAGTTTTCTTTATTTAGCAGACTGACATGCATCACAAACAAAATCTTTATTGGTATTAATGTAAGGAAATAAGGAAATTTTTGTTTCAAGATGTTAAAACATTTGAAGGATAAATGTCATAATCTTGCATGTCAAATGTCTAGATTCCTGGAAACATGATTATTCAAGATATTAAATGAATTTGTAAAGCATTGTTTTTCAGCACTCAATCTTAGTATATAGAGTCCATTCCTTATCTCACCTGAACCAATCTTCGCGTTGTTCTTGATGTCTTGTATAAAACAAGAATTTGAATGAAAAAAAAAATTTGTAATCGTTATCCGTAGCAAGCTTCGAAACGGATATGATATTGTATGAGAAGCCAGGAATATAGAGTACGCTTGAAAGAACTATTCTATCATTCAATTTCACAATTCCCATATGAGTGACATAAGTGCACTTCCCATTAGGAAGATTAACCATAACATATTTGATTTGCTTTTGGTAAAGAAAATTGGATAAGGAACAAGATACATGATCCGTGGCACCAGAGTCAAGTATCCAAGGACTAGATTTACCATTGATATTATTAATAGTTGGATGGATATTACCTTCATTTTTTGCTTAACATGTTTTGTGAAGTCAGGGAGCACATAGTAGGTTGGGCTATGGATGCATCAATTTTGATTCCTGATTGCTGAATTAATGTCATGAGAGCTTGATAATGTGGCTGAGACAGTCTCACTCATTGATGATAAGGGAATTCTTCTTTTGGTGCCTCAATGTGATTAATGTTGTTCTTGGCATTCGAGAATTTATGTCCTGGTGGATAGTCATGTTTCTTGTAGCAGATATCTATAGTGTGTCCAATTCTCCCACGGTGTGTGCATATTTTCTTATTCTTTCCGTTCTTGGTATCTTGGTTATTATGAAAACCATGTTTCTTATAACACACAACTTCTGTATGTCCAATGCGTCCACAAAATTTGCAATTGTTTGAACCAATGCTGTTAATTCTAGAATCAAGATTCGAAGTAAGATTATTACCCAGTAATTGCCTTTCTTGCTGCACAACGTAAGAGAATATATTGGACAAGGGAGGAATGAGATCCATGAGAAAGACATGAGACTTAATATTTGCGTATTGTTCATTTAAGCCTCTGAGGAATTGCATTGCTTGGTCTTCCCTTTTTCTTTGAGCAATGACGTTGAAGGCAGCGCAAGAACATTTAATACCGCAAACACATATGAGATCGGGTATGAAATTATCAATTCCATCCCATATAACTCTAAGTTTTGTGAAGAACTCAGTAATTGAAAGATCCCCTTGATTAAGCGTTGATGCATTCATCTACAAGTCTGAAATGCGAAGCATATTTCCCTGGAAGTATCGAGACCTTATATCGACCCAACTTTCTTCAGCCTTATCCATCCATAATATACTTTGTTGAATGGACGGGGATACAAAATGCACAATCCAAGAAACAACCATATTGTTGCACCTCTTCCATGCAAGATAAGACAGGTCATTCTTGTCAGTTCCGATGCAGTTCTGTCCACAAATTCCAGTTTGTTTTTCGCACTTAATGTTGTTATCATTAAACGACACCAAGAATGATAGTTATTCGTATCAAGAACGGGAGAAACAAGACTAGTAACAGGATTTTCACTGGGATGTATGTACATGTAATCTTCCATAATTAGAATTTGACAAACGACTTCTTTTTCTTCCATCAAACAAGAAACAGTGTAAGAGAGAAAATGAAAAAGATCAGAATACACAACTGAACTCTTCAAATGAAGAACTTTGATACCATATCAGAGATCATGCTTTCCACAAAAAATACGTGGCTTGAAGCATCCATTGCAGATTCAAGCATGAAGAAAATAGTGAACAATGTTTGAGAAAGAAAAACAAAACAAGATAGGAAGGAAAAAGAGAAGAAATGAAAAACGAAAAAACGTTAATTTTCTTGTATATTAATTAATGAAACATAAGAACTATATATAAAGTTGAAACAAAGCGTAAAACAGAAAAATAAAAGACTCACACTTAAGCAAGAACAAAAACGCACTAAGTGCTACGACACAGAAAACTACACGCAAACCATGCAGTACAGATGTCCAATTTTCAACAACAAACCCAAAAATATTAAATAAAATGAAAATGAAAATATAAAGAAAATTAAAATAGAAAATAAATTAAAAATTCAGTGTTATTGCTATGGGGATTCTTCATGTACAAAGCCTCGGAGACTCTGGACCCGGTATGGTATCAGTAATAAAACACATATCCTGTAACATCAATGTAACCAGTTGTTGAACAAAGAACTCCTCTCATCAACCACCCTTTTGAAAAATTTTAACTCTGAACTGAAATTCATGAGAAATCACAATTTCTCACTCATTACATTGCAGTTTCCAATAAATTATAACCTATGGCAGAGAGTGTAATATTAGCACTCTTAGAAAAATACAATCAGAAAACGAAACGACTAATTCATTGGCTGGTAAAAGCATAAGCTTTAAGATCAAAGGAGAAAGACTTATTCAGTTAAGTATCTGTGGACCTTCTTCACGTAAACTTTTGTACCCTGTTATACCTTTAACTGTATCAAAATCTAACTTGTTTATGCCAGTGCTATGCCTGTCTAATTTGACTTTTTCATATTGAGTATTTTATTCTTCCATTTTTCCTGCATAACCAATAACCTCTCCCTCTCTGTTACTGTGAATGTTAAAATGATCTTTGCTGTGTGATGCAAAACTGAAACGCAAAAACAGTAAAAACTAGATATACGCAAAGAGATATAAATGACAGGACAGCAGAAGAACACCACAGGTATGATTATAACTAAATAACAACACTTTTGCAAAATATTCATACCTTAGTGACAGGAAATTGAACTTAAGAGGTTATTGTTTTTTTAGTTGCTGCAAAAGAAACTATTAAAAAAAATATCAATGTTCTTGAAGAAAAATAAAGTAGAAAACCCCAAATAGATTTATATTGATGAAGACTGGAAAGTAGGAAATAACAAATGTTACAAACCTAGAGTTGAAAATGAAAAAGAAATCCAAAAAAAGCAATGTGCAGCATGCATGACTTGGGACTGGTTTGTGTCTGAGATTTGGGAACGAATTATGGTTTATTAGTGGGAATGAGAAAAGAAGAAATGGTAGTGGTTTTGGTTTTCTAGTTCACAGACTATTTATTGTAAAGAAATTGGGTTCCAGATTTATGTAAAACATGAAAATCGGATTGGACATAATAACCTATTCACTTGGATCTAAAGTTGAGTGGACTGGTGAGCTCATGAACTAGGTTGTCCAAGTGGATTTTAGCACAACCTTACTTCTGAGATTTGTTAGTGAAGGTAAATTAGCTTTGCTATGGGTCAACCATGAACCTTAACCTACCTCATGCTTGAAAATAGACAGTAACCTGACACTTGGAAAACATAGAATAGAAATTATTTGCCAAGATCATTCTTGGGACTGAAAAAAAGTAATAGGAATCAATCAGGAGGAGCCGATTTCTGTAGTTAACTCCTAAAGCCATAGTTACAACTTATTTATAGAACCAGTATTGTAAATATGTCGAGTTATAATATAAATACCTAATAGGAAATAAAAAATGATAGCTAGAATACTAAAGGCACACAAAAAAGTGTGGTGGAAGCTTCAGCACAAAAAAAGGGGTCTCTGAACTTGAACTTTCGCTGAAACTTCATCATATGTACACAATCTTACACTGAGTAATCTAACAACCAATACAGTAAATAGTCAAGCATAGAACACTATCCCTATCATGGTATGGTACATGCAATCTGGAACTATAATTTACCACTTGAAAACTGTATTGCTTTACTTGTGTGAGGAAAGCTCTGTTCTTCAAATTAAAACTACCAAGGCTGCATCTCCGCTTCATCCAAACCATGTATAGGAAAAGGTCCTGCAGTCCAAAATTCTCCATAGTTGTTTTGGGCTAAAACCTTGTTATCTTGATCATCATCCTCAGTCTCGAAATCCAACTCTTCAAATATATCCTCAAAACCATCATCATACCCATTCTTAAAATTATCGATCTCTATATTATCATCATAATCATCATCACTGTCATAATTGTTTTGATCAGTCTCGTTCAACCTGCCAATATCTTTGCCAAGCCTACCCTTCCTTCTCTCGCGTCTCATAATCTTGGACTCCCTAGCCAAGTCCATCCATTTATCTTGTATGGATAAAATCTCGTCCTTCTCCAATAAGTTACCCTTCTCACCAAACCCCTCCACCAAGAAAACCGAGTGTCTCTGCCCTTTCAAACTCACATAAAACAATTCTGGGTGCCTTAGTATCAACCCTCTCAACTTGTTCGGGAGGCCAAACTCCTTTCTGAAATGAGTCAAGTGGTCTATTAAAGTCCTCTTTTCAATTGTCATTGCAAGAACCTCCCTTATCAATGCACAAGTTCTCTTTTCTGCCTCCAACGATGCCTTGGCAAAAGTCTCAGCAGGATTCCTATAGGGGCACACTTCTGGCATTTCTTCAAATCTTAGCAAGAAATCCCGGTGACTTCTCTTTAAATTAAGCCCCTTTCGAAGTCTCAATTGCTTGAACTTCAAAGGACGGTCAACTATGAAACCAGGGTCACAGGATGCAGGAGGCGGCAGCGGATTTGACAAGTTGACATCCCAAGATACAAGCTCAAGTGCACGGCCATAGGGCGTGTCAACAGTCTTGAATTTGTCCGGATGATCATTGCACAACCGGGACCTAAAATTAGGAGGGAGACCAAGATGTGGAGCAAAGTGAACCAATTTCGACAGAAGTAACTGGCGGCGAGAAGATAGCATGAGAAGCTTTTGGAGTTTGCCTGCCAACGTGTTGGAAAGGGAGGATTGAAAATTCAATTCCTCAGCAGCAACGGCAGCTGCAGCTGGGGTTAATCGAACACAGAGTTGGGGATGTAACCTGGTTGCATATACTGGTTTGGGTGGCCATGGGATATTGAAGAGTTCAAAAATGGATGGATATCTATGAATCATAGAAAGTATGGAACGAGGCTTAGGAAGACCAAGATAAGAACGACATTTACACAGAATATGAACTGGAATAAAATGTTTCGGTTTAGAGAGAAGTAAAGTTTTTAACTTTTGAACAAACCTAATCCTATGCTTCATGACAACATGCCTATCAAGTGTACGGTCACGGACAAGTTTGATAGAGGAACAGGAAATTGAAAACGATATATATCGAAGATTGTTACCCGTTTTCAGTTTCTCATTGATGGAAAAGTATGAAGGTTTTGTTCCGCCAGGAACAAAGCTGGAACTTAGGGAAGCAACTGGTTTGGGATTGCTGAATGAGAGAGGATGACAAAGTGCCATTTTTAAAGCTTCAACCACTCACACAGCATACCAAACCTGAAAATGACACAAAGAACAAAAAAATTAAACAAATGAAACCTTATTGAGATAGAACACCAAAGTCTTATTCATAGCAGTTTTGTGAAAATTTAAAGACACAATTACAAGTTTAATTAGAATAAAGTTTCTTCCATTAGACGGGGAAGAAGGAAATCGCGACGCAAAACTTGGGTGCCTTAAGTGTTTTTACTATTCCGGGGAAGGCACAGATGTTCTGCAAATTCCGGCGAGGAAGAATGAGTTGAAGGGAGAGAGTAGGGCTTCTTCCGTTGAGGCAGAAAGAGGAACAGAAGGAGGAAGAGATAAAAAAATTACAATAACAAAACAAAAGTTCTTTTCTTTCGCTGTAATAATATAATCAAAACTTATTTTTGGTAAAATAAATTGTGAAACTTTTGTACGAATATAATCAAAATTTATTTAATTTTTCAAAAAGATTTGGGATTGGTAAAAGAATTATGAAACTTTTGTGCCAATATAATCAAAATTTACTTTTTTCTTAAAAAAAGAAAAATTTTGGTGGGTATAATTTTTTCTTTGGTACAATTGTCATAAATATTATTTTTAAAAACATATTATATGACATCTTTTAAGTTTTTAATATTATATTTTTTTATTAGATTTATAGAATAATTTAAATTATTTTAACTTTATTATAAATATTTCCTTTATAGTAAAACATCTTTTAGTTTTTCTATATATTTAATATTTTTCTTAATTCATCAAACATCATTATGTGTTTTTTATTAAATAATGTAGGAGATTGATTTTTTATTCTACTATAAAAAATTTTAAATTTAGTTTTGTTTTGGATTGGTTTTACTTACTTGGCGTATGAATCTTTATCTAACAAATTTAATATTTTTTTAGGGTATTTGTTAAAATATTTTATTTGATTGTGTATCTTCTTGGGGTCGAAGGGGTCGTGACCTCCACAAAGTTTTATAATTTCCATGTTATTTATGATTTTGATCTCCAAACTTAATAAACATTTAATATATTTACTTGTATATTTACGATTCTATCCTCTCAATCTCTCCTCAATTTTGTAACTCCCATGTAATTTATGATTTTATCCCCTTAAACTTAATGATCATTTAATATATTTAAATATATATATACAATTTTATCCTTTTACCCTTTCATCTTCTTTCTTCCTTTTATATTTATTTATTATTTATTAATTATATATTATTTTATATTTATTTATTATTTATTAATAATATATTATTTTTCTTTCTTTTATATTTATTTATTATTTATTAATTATATATTATTTTATATTTATTTATTATTTATTAATAATATATTATTTGACCAAAGATCAATCATCAATATCACGTAGTTAAATCAATTAAAAGAAGTAACATCGCATAGTGATGGTACGTAAAAATACTTAGAGTATATTTTCTATGTGAATAAAGAATTATTTGAAGAACTACATTACAAGTCTTTTTTATAGAATTATGTAAAACAAGAAATATTACTCAATAAAAAAAGTATCAAAAACAAAAAAATTGTTTAAAATAATCTTGAATATGCATCAAAATATTGCAAAATTTGGATAACTAAAAAAATGTTTCATACATAAAAAATCATATTATTTTTTAAAATTTCCTTATTGTTCAAAAATTCAAAATCAAGAAATCTAATTAAAAGATAAACTCAAAAACTTATTCGTTGAATTAAGGGTATTCAATTATGATTAAATATGTAATTCTTTTATAACGTGTTTTCTTTTACTATCAATTATTTATGATTTTTTTTATTGTTATTATAACATGTTTTAATACAAGCTTTCAATTCCGTCAATACATTTTAATTTTTTTGTCAGTTTTGATTGCTAACATAAAATATTTAAATTAATTATAGTGTTTAAAAATAAAATTATTTAAAATTAAAAATAATCATTCTTAATAATGTTTTAATTATTTAAAATAAATAATAAATTTATTAAATATATTGTAAAATCCAAAGAGGCTGGTGATTTCATGGAAAAAGAAGAAGAAAAACCAATAAATATAATAAACACAATAATAAAGAAATGCTTAAATTAGAGAATTATCTGAGTGTTTATTTTTTAAGTTCTTTACATTTTAAACCGAATTTTTCATCATTTAAATTTGTTAATTGTGTGCATAAAATTTTTAAAACATGATAACTTTATTAGTTTTTTACAGTTTTAATTTTTTATAAACTAATTTCAGCACTAAATTGTTAACCATTTTAACTTTTGATTGTTATTTAGATATATCAACTTACGTGGCACACTCCTATTGGTTTGAACCAAAGATTATAGTATGCCAGCTTCCACGTAACTTCTGGATAAGAAAAAGATGGACGCACTTTGATGTTTCAATGGACACCAATAATAACACACAAAAACACTTCAACATCCACATATCCACCACACCATGGCCACAACCACCACCACCACCATGTTCTCAACCCCATCGGCCGTTCTCTCCTCCACCACCACAACCACCACCACAAAACCACCCCCACCCCCCCCTTGCAAGCCCCTCCTCCCCTTCAAACAACCCTTAACAACCTTAACTGCCGCCGCCGCCATCGCCACCATTCTAACCACCGCACCGTTGCCTTCCCTGGCGCAAGAGTCCCCCTCCTACCAAATCTACTACGGGACTGCCGCCAGCGCCGCCAACTACGGCGGCTACGGCGGCAACTCCAGCAAGAAGGACTCCGCTGAGTATGTCTATGACGTGCCTGCTGGCTGGAAGGAACGGTTGGTGTCTAAGGTCGAGAAGGGTACTAATCTATGAGGCACCCTTCATTCAATTTATTTCATGTGTCTAACCATGATATGCATTTTATATCTCTTTTTTTAGGTATATAGTTGCATTTTTTTTGGTCTTCCAAGTATCCTAATTATACAACTTTAGACCCTTGGTTCTGGTTGCACTAATTGTATCTCTCAATTCAATTTTAGTTCTTCATACATGTGGCACATCTACAAATTTCATCTTGTTCATGAACTAAAATTGCATAATGCCACTACTTTATGTGATGCAAGTATAGTATTTGTGGATGGTAGGTACTAATGGAACGGACAGTGAGTTCTACAACCCGAAGAAGAAGACAGAGAAAGAGTACCTCACTTTTCTGGCGGGGTTTCGCCAACTTGCACCAAAAGATGTGATTTTGAACAACTTGGCACTGTCTGACGTGGACTTGCAGGACCTGATAGCCAATGCTGATAGCTTGAGTTCTGAGGAGGTTAGGGATGATAAGGGGCAGTTGTATTATGTGTATGAGATTGATGGGGTTGGCACTCATAGCTTGATCTCAGTGACTTGTGCTAAGAACAAGCTCTATGCCCATTTTGTCAATGCTCCCACTCCAGAGTGGAATAGAGATAAGGACATGTTGAGGCATGTTCATGAGTCTTTTAAGACTGTGGGGTCTTTTTAGTTGCCTTCTACTGTTAAGTATTTGGTTTAGGTAATGAATGGTTATATATGATGAGGATGAGGATGATTTCTTCTGATAAATTTGAAAATTTTACTACTTGTCATGTTGCTTGGATTTTTGGTAGGATTGGCTTCAAAGCTTCAGTATCTGATGTGGTTTGTTGGGAAAATTGAAGTAGCTGTTGCATGTCTAAGTTGTGTGTGGTTGATTTTGTGAGTGTTTCTCTGCTTGTTTTTAGCTTTAAAACACTCCATGATGATTTTGGACTTCTCATTGAAAATTTAAAAAATTTGGGGCTGTCTGAGTATTTTGGCATGGAAAATTCAAATTTATGATTCCTAAATTAGAATTTTAAGTAAAGAAATTACGGGTAGGAGATGAAAGAGAAGGAACTAGAAATACTCCTGTGGAGTTAGGTAATTATTATCTGTTCTATAGAGAGGATGGTGTGATGGTTTCTTTTGACAAATTTGGGATTTTTACATCTTGCTTGATTTGGAACTTTCAATTTCTGAAGTGGTTATAATTCTGAAAATGGAGTGCAGCTCTTGCAAGTTGTTTGTGGTTTATGTTTGAACTTGTGATTATTATTCTTCTGGTTGTTTATTGCTTAAGAACTAAATTTCTGATGTTTTTTTAACTTTCCATGGAAAATTCAACTTTAAGAGTTTTTATAATATTTTGGAGATGTTTTCATGGAAAGTTGAACTTCTGGTTTCTAAATTAGAGTTATGGTAAAAGAAATTCTGGTAGGTTAATGAAATATTATCAGGGACTAGAAAGTTCCTCTTAGAGAGTTTCATTTCCATTAATCCTTTTGGTGAATGATGTTTATATCCCAAATTCAAATATCAACAAAATATGATGGTTACTGGGTAGCAGCTAAATTAAAACCAGTTTACCTTAAATATAATAATAAATAATTTATCATCAAATATAATAATAATAATAATAATTTATCATCAAATATATAGCAATACTATGGAAGATGAAATCAAAAGAATATTTCCTTAAAAAATGAAGTTAAACTAATCATGGCTTATCTTACAGATGAAGTTCATAGTTAACAGATATTCATCTTCAATATATAATAGTTTTGTTGTATATTTTTATTTTGAACAATTTAATAAAATAATCTTTTCTTCACCAACATTATATTTAGTTTTATGAAGCGATGTAAATTTCATATTTTCAGTTATTTTATTATACATTTATTTATTTTTCTAAATAGAAGTTATACTAAGACAATTTAATTGAATAATATGAATTAATCACTTATTTATTTTATTTTCTTGTAGGTCAACTTATGAGTTATTATATATATATATATATATATATATATATATATATTATTAATATTTTGATTGATATATTCATAACATTGAACAATTGAAAAATGCAATTGTGAGAAAAATGCAACTAGTTAGAAACTGAATCTTATTCCACTAATCTAATAGAAACAAAATTAGCAATAGAACTGAATTCTTCATCACTAATCCATTAAATAAAGGAAATTAAGTAGAGGCTAAATTTTCCATCACTAATCTATGAAAAAAGTAATTAGGAGCTGAATTTTCTTTCGTTATAAAAAAAAATTGAAATTAATAATGACTGATCTTTTCTATCATCAATCCATGAGAAAAATACAATTAACTAGCGACTGAATTTATCTTTAATTAATTTGACAGAAAAAAATGAAATTTATCAGTAAAAGAACCATTCTGTCACGATAATGATTCATGAAAATAAATTAATTAGCAAGTGAATTTTTATATCATTAATCAGTCAAAGTAAACTAATTATCAACAAAATTCGCTTTGTTAAATCCGTAGAAAAAAAATAAATACTAACTAATATTTTCGTCTCTAACAAATAAAAAAATAGAAATTAATTAGTGACATAATATTTTTATCGAGAAAATATTGCAAAAGAGAATATAAATAGTGACTAAATTTTTTCATGGTGAAAACATCAAAAGATTAGATTAATTAACGACTTAAATTTCTTTTAATAAATTGGAAAAAGGAAGATAATTAGTGATTGAATTTTCCGTCCCTAATCTATCAATAAATTTTTATATTTTTAATTCATGAAAAGAATGCAATTGTTAATTGATCGATTTTTTCATCACTAATATGCAACAAGGAATTGTAAAATGAATTATTGAATGTTTATATTGTTAATCTGATAGAATATTGAAAAAAATTAATAATAAAATTTTTTCATTACTAATATTGTCGTAAAAAGAAAATTAATTGGGCAATGGGTTTTTCATCTTTGGTTCATTATAAAAATGTAAATAATTACATAAGAAGGAAATTTATTACTAATAACATATATTTGTCCATTATGTTATAAAAAGGAAACTAATACGCAAATAAATAATTTATTATTACTGAATTTTTCGTCGCTAATCCATTAATAAAGGAGAAATATTAATTTATTAATTGCAAATTTGTCAAAAGTATTAAATTAATTCGAGACACAAAATTTTGACCGTTACCATTATTAATATATCACAGAAAAAAATTAATTAGCAACTGAATTTTTGTCATTAATATGAACAAAATTTGAATATATTAATAATTGATTCATTGTTGGTAATTTGTTAAAAAAAAATAATTATTGATTAAAGTTTTCTTTTGTTAATTGAACTGAAAATCAAATAATTAGTGTGGTAAAATATTTTTATTAATAGCATATCTTAAAGAAACTAATAAGTTATTAAAAAAATATCATTGCTATTCCATAAAAAAATGAAACTAATTAGTGAAAGAATTTTCCATCGCTTATATATCACACAATGAAAATTAATTAGAGATTGTATTATAAATTTTGAGTTTAACAAAAAGATTAAAATTAATGACTGACCGAATGTGTTGTTAATATATGAGAAAAACTACTCAACGACAAGATATTTTATCGTACCTATTTAAAATAAACTAATTAAGAATTTAATTTGTTTGCTACATATATTTAAAAAATAATAAAATTAATTAGAAAAAAAATTTCATCAGTCATAATAAAGAAATTAATTAATAACTACATTTTTTAATAAAAAGAATAATTTACCGACTGAATCTTCTAACGATAACTTCGAAAAAAATATTAATTAAATATTTCTAATATTAAATCAACAAAGAAATCAAATAAATTAATAATACAAATTTTGTATTGATAACATATCATAAAATTAAATTAATTAATTACTTCATTTTTCTTTTGAAAATCTGAAATCAATTATATTTTTTTCATTGTTAATGCATGAAAAAAATGAAATTAATTAGCTATGGGAGAGAAAACTAATAAGAGATTTAATTATTCATTTTTAATTTAACAAAATAAGACATTAATTAACATTTGGATTTTTTTGTATATTTTTGCATCAGAGAAATTGAATCTATTCAATACGTCACTAATCTATAAAAAATTAATTATCATCTAAATATTTTATCTTTAATCCAACATAAAATGAAATTAACTAATGATAAAAATTTTCAAACAATAAGGTATTATAAAAAAGAAACTAGATAGTGACTAGTTTTTCTTCACTAATGCATAAAAAATTAATTTATAACTATTTTTTATTGATTCGTCAAGAAAATAAAATTAATGAATGACTAAATTCATATTCTTATAAAAATTAGAACTCTAAAACATCATATAACACACGTCAAATCAAAACATTTTCGTTCATATACGGATCAATATCAAATTAAAAAAATCATTATCTAGATAGTGAATATTTTCACTTTTACTTCTATATATCTCTTTTCTCAAAATATTACTGTTAAAAAAAAAACTATAGAAGGTATAGAGATATGTGTATAACATCCACATTATACAATGTATGACAATTAAGCTTTGTACGTGAAATTAAATTCATGAAAAGTCACTTCAATTTTCGTTTTCCATCTTTTAATTTCACATTGAGCTATCCCCATCATGTTCAATTTCTGAGGCACCTTCATCTTCCTGCATGCAGTCAATGTCAACAGCTCCGTGGCCATGGCCAAAGGCCTTTATGTGATCTTTTAGAGATCTTTTGTGTTTGAAATCAGACCCACATAAACAGTACCATATTTTGCCACAGTTCTTCTCATGTGTCCTCCAATCACCCTTCACTGCAAATGGTTTGTCACATTTTCTGCACATGTAGGGTTTAACACCATGTTTTCTCTTGTAGTGTGTTTGAAGGGTTCTGAAATCCTTGAGAGGCCTTGCTCTTGGGTGGTCAATGTTGTGCTTGCAACCTGGTGCACAACAAAAGCATGGAAGCCTTAGCATTGTTGATGGTTGTGTTCCTTTTAGAGAATCAGGCCCCTTTCTATATTGAGATCCATGTCCCCACATATGCATCTGCAAAGCCGTGAAAACATGTAAACACACTAAATAGAGAGAACCTGTACTCTATGATCTTTCACCTTCTTTCTTTTTGCTGATCAGTTATGAAACTTATTTAACTCATTTCTTACCATAGAAAGAGAAGTAACTATTAGGCAAGATGAAGGGTGTATTTAGTGTAAATAAATTTATAGATTACTTATTATTTATACCAGAATGTTGGCATCGTTTTCTACAATTAACTTATGTAATCTCCTACCTTAAAAATCACAAGAGTAAATCAACGGCAAGGCAAAAAGTAAGGTCAAATAATCACATTTCAAGTTTCCATGCACAGTGCATAATAACATCATATACACCGCAAATAGAAGTACTTTCAATTTGATCAAAATAGTTATACTAGCACAGGTATTAACATGGTTTTCTCAATTCTGCATTAACTAAATCATAAGGTAGTGAGTATGAATCTTGTCACAGACATAGCTTAGACCATTTTTTCCCGTGTTTTTAACTACTGGAGTGAGATCAATTGTTGTAAAAGAATATCAAAATCCAGAAAACGATACTATTAGTAATTTCATGATCTATTTTACTCTCCGCAGCTTAGTATTATAAATTCTAGGCGACACAAAAGCATAAGGAACATATATTTCAAAAATACTATATGTTTTGAGATAACAAATTATTCAATCAAGTGTGTGTCCAATACCAAATATTTAACCATGTTCATATATATATATATAAGATCGACAAAGATCAGAAGACCATGCAGAAAGGATCGATAACAAACCAAAAAGATGAAACACATCAGGATTCAGTGATATTATTGTGAAAAAAGAAAAGATCGAAACTTAGACACTTTACATAAAAGAGGACACAAAAGAGATAAAAACACTGTCGCTAAACTAACCGGATTTCATGTTAGAATTTTGTATATATAAAGTAACGAAGAAAAAAGAACAAATTGCATACCTGAAGATTATTATATCTGTTGAAACTCTTGGAGCACACAGAACATAAAAACTGAGTAGGACCAATGAGAATCTGAGAAGGGGTGGGAATCCAATACCGAACCTTGTTTAATCTATCCAAAGGGTGTCCAGAAATCACACTCACTTCCCCTTTCTGACACATCTGTGCACAAGCTGAAATCTTCCTGGATCCCAGAAGATCAGAAGCAGCCACGCTAGGAAGCCCTATGCGCAGTGCTACTGCCACAGTTTCATCAACACCATCTTCAGTCAAAAGGGTCTCATCTATGTCCCTTTTCTCTTCAGCTTCGCCACCACCGTTGGAGGGTTCATTCTCCCTCTGCTTTATGAGACTTATGAGAGGAAGGGCTTCTCTGAGAGGAGGAGAAGGAGGGGCTGCACAAGAGATGGAAGAGGTTTCAGATTGAACAGTAGAGAAGGTGGTGGTGTTTGAGTATGAAAGAGGGTAGGAAGTGAAAGAAGAGTGGTGAGAATAGAGGGGCATGAAGTTGAAGGTTCCAGCGTATAAATTGGAGTGAGGATCTGTCATAGTGAAGGCTTAGATGGTTTATTTTTGGATCTTTGGCCAGTAGCTACAAGGTTGTGTATAAATATATTGCAGCATGTGAAGAGAGAGAATGGGCAAAGGATTGAAATCAACTTGTTCCATTGTTTTGTCCTGGTCGTCTCATTCTTCTCTTAATTAATTAAAAAGTTCTAACATTTTCTTTCTTAATTATTACTTTATTAGAGTTTATTATTACTTTTTTAACATATTGTCCATTTTAAAAGTCTAGTGTTTCACGAACGATGATGAGTCGAGAGATAAACGATTTTTAAATTATGTGAAACTATTCATATTAAGTATCCATCCATACACCAATATTTGAAGATCCAATAACTAGTCTTTTACTGAAACAATAAATTTGATTTCCTCATGAAGAAAGCAAATGTTAATGAGTATTCAAACAACCCAAAATCATGTTTGTATATGTGAGAGCAGAAGTATTTTGAGGGTGAGAAAGAGAGAAAAGCATGTGGGTAAATTTAAGGTAAAAGGACTAAAAAGAGTGTGATACAGTGAAGAAGCCAATAAGAGAAGTTAAAAGCTTGAGGGAAAGGCAAAGATGGAGCGGTTGATGAGAGAATGATAGAATATAGAAGGCATAGTAATAAATAGTTTGGAGGGAAGTGGTGGTAAACAGGTTATTAGGTTGAATCACAGTGAAGGGTACTGTTAAAGGTGGACAAAAACACACAACCTGTAGAAAACGACGTTTGCACTGTCGTTTTATTCTTATAATTAAACCCTTCTCTCAATTCTATTCCTTTATTCAAAATGTCCTCAAGAGAACACCTGGAGCTCATCTTAGGTTGCCATGGACACTGTTTGATGCGTGGAGGACAAAATCCAACCATGAAAATGAGATGCAAGCACCATGATGTATACATTTGCTCTTCCATATAAAAAAATTACTTTTAAGTTCAATCTTCTCTTACAATAAGTAAACATTCTAAGTTCAAATTCAAGTTTTTTCTTTGTACTAATATAATGAGGATAATTTTTTATAACACAACCTTGGTTCAGGTTTTGTGACAATGTAACACGAACCACTAGGTTTGAGGAAACAACCAAACTATTAATTAGAAGGTTTTGTTGACCATGAAACACATTGGTTACGCCGAAAATTCATTTTGCACTTATCTCAAAGCCACTCGTGCAATAAACAAAGCAAAATACGTGTAGCTGGAAAATCTACTTGCTCTGCAAAAAGTAGATGATGCCAAATGTTTATTTCACCCAAGTTGGTGTTTTCAATATGAACTCAGGGACAACCAATTAATGCGTTCAAAGCATTAGAGGTTTCAATTTTTTATTAGAGTTTAATGAAGAAGTAGAAAGTAAAGGTGATGTTAATGTTTTTGAGGGGAAAATGTTGGGTGTGTGTGGAGAAGAGATGCTATATTCCCGCTGCTATACCCTCATCTTCCTCTCCTCTCTCATCCTCACCATTGCTGGTGTACTTATTACCACCTTAAAAGTGAAAAATCATATCCAGGTACTTCAATTAAGAGGTAAAAGTAGAGTGTGTTTGGTGTGTACACTTTTCTCAAGAACAGGGAAGAGAAGCAAAAAGAAAAAGAAAAATCACGTTGTCTCTATATATAGTTTGGTGTGTCCCTCTTAACACGCTGAGGGAAAGCGATGGAACATTGGAGGAGCAATAAGGAGTGCAGAAAACTGGTTGTGTAAAAACTGACCACAACTGTGCGTGGGTTCTACTGACGTTGACGTGTGGGCAACACTGCATGGGGATATCAACGAACCATCGTTGGTGTTTACTGTTCACAAGAATTCTCGTGTCATTTCTTTTCTCCTGCATCTTACACTATAAAAAATAAAAACTATTTTTTATTTTCAAAATTGGTATGTTTAGTGCAACTTCTCTTTGGGTAAAGTAATGGCGTGAGGAAATCAACCATGGACGAGTTTCTCTTTCAATGCCTTGTCTTCTACCACTCCAACTCTCAACGTCATCATCACAACCTTCAAAGAAATTAAATTTCGTGCTAGCTTGCTTGAAAGCTACAACACGTTATGGGAAAAAATAAAATAAAATTGTCCTTGTTCTTCTTGTTAATCACTTAGGGTTTGGTTTCTATTGTTCAAGGGTTCTGTTCAATGAACACAAATGATGTGGTTTTTCATTCTCACTTACTTGGTCAAAAGACAAAATGATTATTTAGGTCTTATTTGTTTATGGTTTGTAAAATCAGTTTTATTTTTTCTAAAATTTGTTTGAAGGTATTTGTCTTACCATATTTTTTATTTCTAAAACTTTGTCCCTTTGCACTTCATTTCACAGTTTTATTAAAGGTGAGTTTTTTAAACTTTGAAAGCAAATATTATTTGAAAGAAATTAATTTCCTGTAATGATTGTGTCGCTTCTATGTTCTATGAATATGTTATCGCAATACCAATTTTAGAGAAATAAAAGTACAATTTTATAAAAAAATATCAATAATTTAAAAAAAAATGTAAATAGGTAAATCGTGTTTGAAAACACATTTAAATTGTATTAGCACAATTTTAATTTTTTTTATAAGTTTTTTAGTTTTTTTATGTTATAGGAATTCGTGTAGGTAACACGATATTGTTTTTTTGTTATTATTTTTTGTATTATTATTTTGTTATTATCAGTTTTATTAAATTTATTATAAATAAATAAAATAATTAATAATAACTAACATTAATATTAATAATATAAAAAATATTAAAATATATGTAAAAGTAAAATCGTATTTGAAAATACACTTTATTATAATAAAAAAAGGTAAAAAAAAAACTCTGAAATAGTATTCTCTGCCCTGATTTCAGAGTTTAAAGTTTTAAAAAAATTACTTATTTATGTAATATTTTTAAAAATTATCTAAATTGGTAATTTTTTTAAATTACCAAAATCGGTAACGTTTTTTTTTAATTGCACCTGTTTGATGGTTTTCCACCAATTTTAATTGTTAAGTCTACCCTTGTTTTTAAAACAAATTTTTCAGTATTTGATACATATTAATAATTCTTGAGTTTTATCTAATTATATATATATATATATATATATATAAAGAATATGGATAAAATATATTTTTTATACCTACTAACATATTTTTTTATAAAGTTAAATTGAAATTTGAAAAATTTAGCAAAAAATATTTTATCCTTCCTTTACATACAATTTACAAAACAACATCAAGTTACATTATTGATTGAAACTATTTTTATAATAACTTTTCCTTATTTGCTTTTTAGGTTATTTAAAAAACTCATTTAAATATTATAAATAACATGATCACTTTTAACAACATTTAAATTTAATCTAATAAGAGTATGTGAGAGTTTTTTTTACAGGTATACTCACATCTTCTCTGATGTAAAAATCTTTATATATTTTCAAGTCTAAAGAAAGTTCATACGTTCAAAAAGTGTAATTGAATACGAAGATATGTAATTTTCATTCATTATTTAATTTTTTTCATTTTTTTATCTAATCTGAGATTGTAAATTTATATTTAAATTTTTAATAATCTTTTTTTCATATGTGTTTTTTTTTTCATTGATACATTTTCTTCTTGAGTTGTGTTTAACAGTGATCTTACTTGTACTGTTGTTTAATATAATAAGACTGTTTGAAATCTTTGTCAAGAAAATTTTTAATACAAAGATTTACAATCTAGGATTTTTCACCTATTTCAAATCATACTCATTTGAGTTAGTCATCGTATTAATCATCGCCTCTAATACTAATGTTGTTAAGTATTTTTAAGAAGGACTCACGTATAGATTTTCAAATGAAAATTATTGTAAGATTAATGATGAAAAATGCTTCGAATCGATTGTTGGATTAGTTCTTTTGTCAATTGCATATCTTTAATATGTGAGGAGCACCATTTGAAGTTTGTAGTCTTCTATGCATCTCATAATAATGCATTATTGTTTCTTCTCCCAGAAGAGATAGGTGCAAAGCCTCAACAATGAAGAAAGAAAGATGTATGATAGTACCAAAAAAAGTGTAGGTAAGGGCATGCTGGCTTCCATTCTCAATCTGAGAACATATAGCAACTTTCTTGAACAACTATCCTTAGCAGAAGTTAGGCAGAAAAGGAACCTTGAAACAAAAGCACTAATACAAAGGTGATAGAGAATGTTTCCATTCACTTCAGGGTCAATTTGATAGCTTTGTTATCATGAAGGTGGAGTCAACACATAACAGTGATCAGAGAAGAAAACAACTTTTATAAGATATTTTATAAAGAGAATAAATAAATAAATTTCCAAAACAAACACCAATTTGAGATCAGTATTTGTTTTTTCTTTTCTATTTTTATCTCTTTGTTTATTATCTATATCTAAATTAATATCTTCTCTATTTTTTATTGTCCTGATATCTATTATTGAAAGTGATAAATGTGAATGCATTTTTGTGTGACAAGTTGCAGAATTTAGTTACCGACACCCAAATAACAGTTCTGACCATAAAAATAAAAGGGCATATCCCGGAAATCCAGAGAAAAATTGACCCCTTTTAAGAAGTTAAGAAGCTTAAAGAAGAAGCATCACTTCGATTGGATGGTGCTCAGGAAATGGGGTCATACATTATCTCTGCACAATTCTAATGGTGTAGAGTTGATTTTCTGTGAAAGCAGAGAATATTTTTAATTCTTCCTTCACTTTCACAAACTCTTGTACACAACTTGACTTATCATCCTAAACAAATTCTTCTATTTTCATTCAATTTCCGTCACTGTTTGATTTCATGTTTAGTTAGAGTTTTGGATGTTATGAAGGTGAAAAGAAAAATGGATTGACCCAAAATTTTAGGACAATATATGATCGATATCAAATGAAATAAAGCATCTGTTAAGAATAATGAGAAACGTAGAGAATCTTCAGATAAAATTCTCCATTGTGTTCATTAGCTTTTGAAACTAAACCTTCCTTCTACTTTTGGAGCCTTCAGCTTTAACATATGAGATACGGATTCTAGTAAAGATTTTCTTTTTCTTATTTTTTTTAAAAGAACATATGCAGAAACATCTCTAGATAAACCTTGAATGGGACTTCAAAACTTTCTGGTTTAAATACTTTAAAAAGACCCATGACACTTGTTAACTTGTTAAGGCTGTTTTTTTTTTCTTGCACTTTCATAATTTTTCCTTGTAACTAGTAACTCATATAAAATGATTAAAATACCTTTTTATTAATTTTTATTTAAAATCTTAAAAACTTCTTCTCATCCACTCGTCTACACCTTCATAGTTTCTGTAATTTCATTTTGTTGCAGTTTTATTTCTGTTAAAAATTGTTTTTAGTCCATAAAATAAGAAATTATTAATATTTTACACCTGGAATATGAAAACTTGACAAAAAGTGAATATAAAGATCTAAACTATTAAATCATAAGACATGTGATTCTCAAGTGTGCTGCTAAAAATTGCCTAAGTCAAAGAAAATTTTGTGTTGCTATGCATAATACAAAGGAACGAAACATTGATTATGATCAACAAAACAAAGAAAACACACTTTTCTTTAAACTGGGTTTTCTCTTCATCCTCATCTCCTTTCTCATATTCTTCCCTCCCCTTTTTCTTTAATTAAAAACCAAGTATAAAAAAATGTTGATCCAAGCCAATTGTAAAGTATGAACTATTGATTATTGATTAACCCTTACTACGAAATTTGCTATTGTTGGAATGAATTGCAAGGAGACTATTCTGAAGTAGAACTAAATTTTTGAAGAGAAAACATTAGCATGGGAATAAAATAACTAGAAAAAGTTTACAATACTATTTAGGACAATTACAAATGGTAATCAAAGTACATGGAAAGAGAGGGGAGAATGAGAGTGTGAGAATGGGGAAGTGCTGAAGCTCTTGAATTTGCCAATTTTCAAATTTCAAAATTGTCAATTGAGTCACAACAAGAAGGTTCCAAGCTTTTGGTTTGGTCTTGGCCATATGCTGCAATTAGTAAAGCCTCTGCCCTTCCTAAAACATGACAAATTCGTTAAAATCAAAGCATATTTAAAAGGTTCATGGTAACAAACAGGAACCAATCACCACAACCACTATTTTTTCAACAAATTTTCACAATTGTGTACATTTTGAAGAAAACCTCCAACTAGGGCTCATGGTGTTTCACACTTGATATGCCATTAGTAATTTTAACATGATACTTGAAGGACCTTCTCAGTGATGTAATACATCATATAGCACCGGACTAAAAGGAACTTTGATAAATTGTAGGATCTTTAAAATTTTAACAGCAAATTTTAAAGCATAGGGGAAAATTTCATTAGCCTTTCACATTCTAATACGTTTTGAATATATTAATGATAATTAAGTACCGATGTGATAGTTAACTAAATATAGAAGAAAACAAGACAAGTACCATGATCTTTTTTCCTACTTAACATGGAAGTCAGTGATGGAAATAATGTGGATGCAAGTCTCCTGCTATCATCCTGCAGTGTACAAAATTCAAAGCTATTATTAAAAAGGTAGACTCAAATATTTAGGAAATATACACGTAGAACAAGCATCGTGGACAATACAGTGAATGAATAAATGTTAACATGGTGTTGCTCAAACTTCCTTAATTTTAACCATGTTGAGAGACGCCATGTCTTGAAAATTTTGGGTTTTGGGTAGAGAGGGAGGAAGAGATAGTAAAAGATAATGAAACATAAAACCTCGGCACTAGAAGGTTATCAAATCAGGATTCAAATAATGAATCGTGGAGTTATTTCTTGAATCGAGAATTGTAATTTTGTATTGAAAACTAAAATATAGGTACAATGAAAAATACTTCAAATATATGATATAGATGATACATAGTGTTCAATGTAAACAATTTAATCTAGAAATTGATAAAACAACTTAAGCAGAAGTCATACTAAACAAAAACTATTAGTTATATCTATGTTTCTGAAGTCTTTATTTTCAAGAATGAAAGAAAACAATTGAAAAGCTAAACAGAGTACATGCATTGCATGACACACAAAGGTAGAATAATCAAATAGGATAAGTTCTTAAAGACATCTTCAAAGGAAGTTTTTAGCATAAGTTGGTTAAGAATAAAAATGAATATTTTATTATGAGTCTCACATATGAGTTACTTAAAAATTGATCTTAGTCACTTATATAAACAACTTTCTTCCAATTTTAAACAATTCATATCTGAGACCCATAATAAAATATTTATTTTTATTTCTAAACAACTTTTGTTAGCATAAGAATTGATGAAAAAATAAAATATTTGAACAGCTCTAAGTTGCTTCATTCATGTATGGTAAGATACAAAGTTATTTAAGATTTCATCTTTAGATACGAATCGGTAGACAGCCAAAATGTATCAAATAGTGAGATTTAAAAATCATGAATCACAAGATTTTGATAACTATTTCAACCTAACTTGGAAAAGAAAATCATGATAAGATAAGAATATAGTAATAATCTTAAGAGATGAAATAGGGAAACTAATAGAATCATCGATGAGGTGATAATATGTTTTCATGTATTCCAAAGCTCCCCCTTGAGCTAAAAGAGGTGACAACAACAAGGCAACACTAGTGAGAAGAACAATAGTTAGGTTCTAAAAGAAATATAATGTGCAAATATTAAGTACATGTATAGATAAACATTATTAGTTTCGGTTAACAATCATTATCTTTCTTCAGTAAAAAACTAACATTACATTTTTGGAAATAATCAACTTTGAAACTGAAAGCAAGATTGCACATAGTAATTGGCAAACCAACCTTAGAAGTCATGCTTCCATAGAGTTCAAATTTCGCTTTCCAAGTGAAAGATGGCACTGGAATAACAGAAAATCCTGAGGAAACTAAGATGCCAATCCATAGCCCATACCCAAATCCTCCACTCCACCAGCCCTTGAGAGCAAAAGATGGAGGGAAATATTAGTTGGAATAAAAAAATTAAACACTTTTCAAAATATTAATACAACAAAACTAAAAGACAGATTTGACACTACACAATTGTAATAAATAATTAAATAACAACGCTGACAGTCTAAAAGGACATTAACAACAAGGTAATCAAATCATTAGCATGAGTAGTAAATTTAAGAAAGTAACGAGTTTTTAACACACAGAATCATATTGAAGTCTTTAGAAACCTACAAAAAATGTTCTAATTAAAGCAAACATACCAACCTGCTTCCCATCTTGTGGAAAAGGGAGTGACTGCTCTATATACGCAGTGGTTCCTGATGAAATGAAGAGTCAATTTGCAAATACCCAACCATAATCTGTGCCAACTTCGAAAAGAAATATGAAAAGGAAAATGTACAGTAGCAAACTTGAGAATTAGTACTGAATCCGTAAATTGCATTGGCAGGGGTAGAAAAAAAAAAGTAAGCATCATTATCTCAGAATTACTAACAAACAATAGATTGATACATGTGATAGTGGACAAGCAAATGAAGTATGAAATAACATCAATTGCTACTTCATCCAAAGGCCCAATAATATTTTCTGCAAATACACCTGAAAAATGGTAAAATCAATTTAACTTTTCAGGTGTAAATTATACACTTGTGACTTTTTACATTAGATCTACTTGAAACAAGAGAAAAGCAGGGAGGAAAACTGTATATTCTGAGATTAAGGAACAAGAAAAAATGGAAAGGACCTAAATCTAATAGAAATCAATGAAATTCCCTATGGTACAGCATACTTTCCTAAGATCCTTCCTAAAATATAAATCTATACAGCCATAGTAACAAACAAACAAAATCAGAACATAATCTACAACAATCTTTCACAATCTCGAGTCTCAACAAATCTTGAAAAATTTATGACAGCCAAGTGGAGAGAAGTAAATACAACATTAATGATCTATAACACTAAGCCCATACAAATCTAATACCATTGATGTCTCTGATTGTTTTTATTTATTAACTACTCCCCAAGCACAGTTTCCCTTTAATCCACATTTTGCATTAAAAAATTGATCAATAAAATACGAACCACACACACACACAAGTAGATAAAGGTTCCTACAATAAATCAAGTCTGCAGCCTTGTCTCGGCATATTATGGTCACAATCTCAACAGATCATAATAAGATTCTTGCAACTCAGCATATCATAATAATATTAAATAACAATAAAAGAGAAAAAAAAAAAAGTCAAGACTTTAGCACGCATGAAGACTAACAAAGTTACAAAATTACAAAAAAGAGATAATTTAACCAGATTCTACAATGATTCATTTTTCCACCATTTGTATAGATAGAAGCAAATAGTTAGTTGAAGCACATAACCCAAAATAGGAAGTTTAGAAAAAGGTTTGCACATTTATGTAGAGATATTGAGATAAAAGTAGAAAAAATATAGCATACCAATTGGAGCATCAAAACTGCGAATCAACTGAACAGCAGACTTGGCATCTAAGCGCTTTCGGGTCCTATTTTGCTTGCCAACAAGTATTTTCACATGAGGAGAGTCAAATACCTGCATAAGTCACAGTAATGATATCAACACAGACAATGTTCAGAACATAATCTTTGTTATGAAGAAACCCAGGTGTAATACTGTACACACCATTAGTCATCAGTCAACATTGTAATTTATCAATTACCCCCATAATTCTTAATTCAAATACCTATGTACCACTTCCATTTCTTTTTGCTATCAAGATTACCACATATGCGTGAGTGCTTGTGCATGGTTAAAACCGTGCAACCTTAAAACTTAAGCACAAAGCCGTAATCATCCTTCGTTACTACCTTAAGCATCTAAGATCCCTTTGCAAGCATTTTAGCAACAATGTGTCATCTGAACTGTTCTCAATAGCAAGTAGGTGTAGGGGATACCTGCAAGAGACTATAATGCTTAAGTGAATATGTGCGAGAGAGAGGGGTGTAGATTGCGAGTGAATTGAATGATAGGAATGAGATCCTGAACTTGTTTATATAGGGGTGAATTACCATAGCTACCTAAGATAGTAGGGATATTTATCTCTTATCCGTTAAGTGGATATTGTTGAGTAGTTTTTGAGAATCCGAGAATGGGTTGGTACTTGATCAAATTGGGTACTCGTTCATCTCGAGGTATTCGAATATTGTCGAGATATCCAGTTCAAGTATCTCAGAACTATAATGCTTAATTGTTTTGGGGACCGGTTAGGTATACAAGCCCCCCAAGCTCGAATAGTCTCTTAGATGTAAAGATTGATCGAGCTTATATTCTCGTTGTTATTCATGCATATTTTGTTCATCTTACTCGCTAGTCGGTCGTACACATAGTTTGATATTCTTTATTACTAACTGCTCAGTATTTGAACAACTCGATATTCAACCATACGGACAACTCGGTGTTTGGCATTCTCGGTATATATGACATTTGCGAACCATTTGGATGATTTTGTTGGTAATCAACGTTATTTCCTTGGCAAAACAAAAAATGTAAACATCGAAAATGTAAGCCAAGTTTAATAATGTCATGAAATGAATTCGTAGCAATGATCGAATAATCTATGTTATATTGGCCAAATGAGCCTTGTTATTTTGGGACAAATGGACTTTCTTCCCAGCTATTCATTATTTTGCTTTTATATGTGCTCGGTGTCCGAGTTTGTATCTGTATATGTATATGTGCTCGGTGTCCAAGTCTATATCTGTATATTTGCTTGGTGTCCGAACATGTATATGTATATGTGCTCGATGTCCGAGTCTCTATCTGAATTTGAAATTTCAGTATTAGTAAGATGAGTAAGTTGATCAATAATAATGATAAAAATTATGCATGCATCAAATATTTATGTCTATATCACATGACCTGAGTGGGCTTATGTGTATGGCCTTAATAGGCTCACGTACTATGATTTGGCTCTTTTGGGCCTTTAGCTATAATATAGTTTCAAGTGAAAGGCATTCCATGCTCGGGATATCAGAGATCTCGATAGGTGCTCTAATTTGTATGCACCATTGTTCAAGGACTCAAAAACTCTAAATGGTCCATCCCAGTTGGGTGCCATTTTTCCATCATTTTTGTTTCATCTAGTTTCTCTGACTTTTCACCATATTAGGTCTCCCTTGTGAAATTCTCTAGATCGGACTTTCTAATTCTATCTCTTAGTTGCTCTCAGTTTGGTTGTTGTAGTTTACAGTAGCTATCGTGCATAGTTCGTGAATTAGGTCAAACTCGACACAGAGCTTCTTTTCATTTTGTGTCTCATTGAAAGTTTGTCGTCTCCAAGATTCTTCTCCGACCTCCATAGGTATCATAGCATTTGTGCCATATGTAAGTCTAAGGGTGTTTCATGTGTAGATGATTAAGGGGTGCAATAATATTCCCATAATATCTCCGATATTTCCTCAACCCATAGTTCTTTTGTTTGCCCGAGCTTTTTCTTCAATTCATTGAAATAACTTTATTGGAGGTCTCAACTTGGCCATTTGTTTGTGAATGTTCGACCAATATTACCTTGTATTTAATGCGAAGTTGTTGTAAGAATTGCTCAAAACTTTTTTTGATAAATTGTCTTCTATTGTCTGTCACGATGATATGAAGAAGGTCATGTCAACATATTATGTTTTTTCGTGTGAACTTTTGTACTTGCGGAGTTGTTATTGTTGCAAGGGGCTCACCTACTATCCATTTTGTGAAATAGTCTATGACTACTATAAGAAACTTGACTTGTTCTTTGACCATGGGGAAGAAGGGTATGAGGATGTTCATTTCCCACGTGGTGAAGGGTCATGGTGTAGTGATGTTGTGCAGCTCTTTTGGGGTTGTTGTATATAGGGGGTCGTGTTGTTGGCACGCCTCGCACTTTTGGACAAATAGTTTGACATCTACTTTTATGGTGAGACAATAATAACCTGCTTTGAATATTTGTGCCGCAATCGTTTTGGTTCCCGAGTGTAGGCCACATATACCATTGTAGATTTCTACCATAACATATTGTGCTTAATTCCTGTCTAGATATTTTAAGAGTGAAACCAAGTAGCTCGTTTAAAGAGTTCACTGTTATGCATTACATATTGGGTAAACATTCTCTTTATTTTCTTGGTCAATTGTTTTTCTTCGAACAATAGGTCTTGTGTCAAATATTGTATAATCAGCGTCATCCATTTTGGCCGCGTTGTGCTGACTTGGAATGTTGCATCTGTATCCCAACTTGGGGGTCGAGTTGTGCCAACTTGGAAGGTTTCATTGTGTCCCAACTCGGGGCAATTAAGATCTCTTGTATTAGCGTTCTATGTTTGTCCAAACTTCTTAGTGCTGGCGAGCTTTGATAACACATCAGTTTGTTCATTCTGCTCTTTGGGTACGCGATGGATATTTGTCTTCTCAAAGTCTTTTAACAGACTTTTGGCTATGTGATAATATTTTTGTTTGGCGATTTCTTTGGCTTGGACATCTCCCATGATTTGTCCAGTGATGAGCTTCGAGTCGCTTTGGCATCGCAAGTTTTGATGCCTCTCTCCTACAAAAGTTTATCTCTTATGGGATAGAGTTTCCCATAAGAGTTTTTTATTCCTCTTATGGGAAATCCTCGAAGTTTATTTGATCCTGGATCAAAACAGTAACAAGATTTCTATATTCTAAGTCTAGCCGTATGGATCCACCTTCTTCGTCTGCGTGCTACACTCGGTGCATTCAACACCTCGTTTGACATGGGTTTTTACACTGCAAGGGAGGATACCGGTGGATCCTCCTAGCGACCACGGTAGTTTTGGGAGCCAACCCACTTTCCGGATCAATGTCCGCCTTGTTGTCGCCGAGTTGGAAAGGTTAAAGATTTTAAACTTACTTTTAGTAATTGACTTTTTACTCCATCCCATCTAATCTTAGGTTGGCGATGAGAGCTTCGTATTCGGCTTGGTTACTCGATGTCGAGAATTCGAATCGTAAGGTTTGTTATAATACAACATCATTGGGTCCTTCATGTAATATCCCAACTCTGTTTCCTTTTTTATTAAATGATCCATCAACAGTAAGGGTCCACCACTTATATCTTTCTCCGAATGCGGGTAACTCTACTAAGAAGTTTTCCAAGAACTGTGTCTTCATCGGTCCTCGCCTTTTGAATCGTAGATCGAACTCGAATAGCTCGATTGACCAAGCTATCATTCACTCAACCATTTCTGGTTTTTGAAGTACTTGCTTAATCGGGTAATCAATTTTGACGATAACCATGAAGCTTTGAAAATACAGTCGTAATTTTCTTGTCGAGTTTACTAGTCTTAATAGCAACTCTTCTATTATGGAGTATTGTCATTCAATGTTTTGTAGGATTCGACTGGTGAAATATACCAAGGTCTATTGTTTACCATCACAATGCACTAATACTAAACTAATGGTTGATTTGGTGGCTGCAATGTAGAGGAGGAGGATAGAGACTAGCGGCAGGCTTATGTAGGTAACGATGCAATGTCTTTTTTGATGGCTTGGAACATAGTTTCACATTTCTCTGTCCAATTGAACTTCCTCGAGTTTCTTAACAACTTGAAGAAAAGCTTGGCTTTCTCAACAAGCTTCGATAGAAATCTGGCTAAGGCTACAAGCTTTTCGTTTAACTGTTGTACGTTTTTTATGTTTTTAGGACTTTGCATTTGTCTGGATTTACCTCGATGCCTCGTTAGGTGATCATAAACCTGAGGAACTTTCCTTCTCCCACTCTGAATACACATTTCCAACTTAAGTCTCATATTATATCTTCGGATTTTGTCAAATACTTTCTGTAAGTGGTCAGAGTAGTCAGCTTGATGTTTTAACTTTACCACCATGTCGTCTACCTAAACTTCTACAATCTCTCCGATGAGTTTTTTTAATACTCGATCCATTAGCCATTGATAGGTGGTTCCAACGTTCTTTAGCCCAAATGGCATGACTTTGTAGTAGTAGTAGTAGTTCGCATCTTCTATTATGAATGTCGTTTTCTCCTCATCTGGTAGGTACATCCTTATTTGGTTATAACCCGAATAAGCTTTTATGAAACTTAGGATATTGTGGCCGGATGCATTATCGACCAATCGATCATAGCATGTATGAATCTTTTGGACATGCTTTGTTGAGATCTGTGTAGTAACACATCCTCCATCTTCCATTTGCTTTTTTGACCAAAAATACATTCACTAACTATGTAATATATGGCACCTCTCGAATGATATCGACTTGCAAGAGTTTGTCGACTTCCTAATCTACACAACTCACCTTTTCTCATTTCCTAACTTACGTTTTCATTGACCTATAGATTGTGATCCAATTCAAAATTAATACTTTATACAAGATTATGTTAGATCAATATCTAGCATATCAGTTGCGCCCCATGCAAACAGGTCGGCACTTTTTAGTAAGACTGTTTTGATTTGCTTGTTGGTGGTCCTCTCAGTCGTGTTGTCAATGTGCATGACTTGGGAGTGGTCCTTTCCGAGTTGGAAATACAATATGTCTTTGTCGAAGGAGGGTCGACTTCTATATGCTTCTATTCATGGATTGAAGTCGACCCTTTCTATGTTGTGCACTTGCACATTACTTTGGCATTGTACTGAGTATTGTCCGATTGAGTACAATTCTACTTCGACAACATTCTTCAATAGCTTGACAACAGTTTTATGCAACTCCGGGATAGTCTTTTGTGGCTCGGCATTGGTTTTTTATTCCGTCTAGGAACGAGATTGTCCCGACCTCATGTCTACTATGATAACATCATTAGGTCAATTCTCATGATCAAAGTATTATCCTTAAAAGGCACATCGGAGGATTGAAAGAGAAGAATTAATATAAACTATTAATTTTATATATATATATATATATATATATATATATATATATATATATATATATATATATATATATATATATATATATATATATATCCACAATGGAACTCAGTTATTCCGTTCATAAGAATATCTTTTCCTACACGGAACTTAAGGTTAAACAAGTAAATAGCATAACAAGGCCGTAGTTACAAACACCATAAACACCAAAGCACACAATCTCTAACGGTCAACGGGCAACAAGTGGTTCCCAGCATGTAGGTTTTAGTGATCTTATATTCATATCCCACGCTCTCTCATAAACACAATGCCAGCAATTACACAAATCATATCCTTCTGTGCCAAAACAGCCACATTCAGAGCCTAACCTAACCCATAAAATAAGCCCCTCCATGCCCATTAAAAGCCATACATTCAAAACCGTGCAAAACCCATCTCAGCATATCCTAAACCACACCTACCCCCGACAAATCTTCAGATAAAAACCCAAGTGGCACAGATGCAGCACTTCAAAGTTTTTTTTTATTATTTACCCTTATAAGGTTTTTAGAAAATAAATAAATAAAAATAAAGCCCATTTAGCCACTATATAAAGGTTTTGGAAGAATTGCAACAAAATCGCTACGATGAGCAACTTAAAACCTTGAGTAGCTATCAATGGAACAGAACCATGCTGAACAAAAAGGACAGGACTTTAACCAACAGAGACAAAAAAAGAAGCACGATACCTGAGCTGAACAAACGGAACCGTGTGTTTTCAACAGTGCAACAGCACCAGAGACATCTGGGTCAATTCCAAGGATCCATTTCGACCCGTCATTTTGATGGGTGGGGTCATGTTCACCATTCAAAAGAAGGGTCTTTTCAGGAAAAGGGTAAGAGAGTGAAGCCAACCAATTCTCTTTGAATTGGGTATCTGAAGCCTTGACCCTGCGCTTTTTTTCAGGAACTATGACTGGAGGGTCACTCAGATTCTGGGTTTGGGTGAGAATGGAAGAAAGAGAAGAATGAGAACGAGAAGAAGAAGAAGCACAAAAGGCCCTAAAGAAAAATTTGGGTTTGAGTTTGGTAGAGAGTTTGTTCATGAAATGGAATTGATATTGATGGGAGTGTGGTGTGAATTGTAGGGATTCCATGAAAAAACACAGATGCAGAAAGAATGGTTGAAAGATAGAAGCGAGGGAAGAAAAGGGTCAAAAACAAAATCAAATTAATATATTTTCCATTTATTTTACTTTTGATGAGAAAGAGTTTATGGACCTATTTCCCTTCTTATTCTTCTTTACAAGTAGGGATGGCAATTCTGAAATATGGTTTAAAATAACAATTTCATAATTTATAGATCTGATTGATTTTTAACTATTTCAAATTATTCATTTTGGAGTATTTATAATAAAATTTAGTATTATGAAATAACATTTCTAAATAATTTTATATTATATTTTTAAATGTTTATTGATGATTTCAAAACAATTTAACACATTATTCCAAAAGTAAACTTAATTTAATAATTCAAATTCATAATAGATTTAATTATGCTTTTAGTTTATAAAATTTAGAGTGATTATAATTTAATAAATTGCTTCACTTTTTATTAGTCGTAAATATGGTGTAAATGTGTTGTTGAAGAAATTTACTTCTATTATATAACATTTTATCCAAATGTACTTGTTGAAATGCATATATTTGTTCAGTTATACTTCACTTTGATATTTATCTTCATAACTGAGAATGTAATTTCAAATGTTAATATTTTTCTCATTCACATTTGTTTCAAAAATAATTACCTTATTGAGCCCTGTACCGTCATAAAATCTAAAAAACTCTTAAACAAATTTTTATTACTAATAAAAGCGTAGTTATCATATATATATAACCACTATTTTAAAATCCTCAATCAAATATTTGGTACAAAAAAAAAATCAACTAAATTTTTATTTTGATTTTGGTAAAAAAAAATAAACATTTTTTAATATGTTTTTTAATAATTTTATTATATTTTTATCTAATTTTAATCATTATCTATCTTATCCTCTCTAATATATTTTATATTTAAAATTTACATTATAATTTACCAGATAATAATTTTCATTATCATTCTTTTATTTTTTAAAAATATTGTTATTAATTATCTAAGTATATTATAAAATTATTAATTTCATTAAATCCATTTGAACTCATCTATAAAACTTTAAATTCTGAACTCATATTTTCCCTTATTAAATAATAGTTCCAATTTTAAAAACATTAGTAGAAGACCAAAGTTATTCACTGATAAGCACGTCACCAACCTACAATGGTAAAAATTCATGAGTCTAGCATTAAAATTTAATTATTTCATAAAGAAAATCATAAGGTAGAAAAATGTGTGATGATATTTTATGATAAACACAATGAATTCCTCATTTCTACTCCTGACCCTCAAAGTTCCCAAGCAAACCTTTGGGATGATAGACTCCACTCTAGCCAACCAAATCTGTCGTAAAGATCTTCTGCGGTTGGTTGTGTCCCTTCAAATACAGAATCATGTTTTCGAAGATATACTCTATCAAGAAAACATAGGCTCTCTTGCATATTCTTTATGTTCCCCAAATCAAGTCCATGGGTATCCTGAACCATCAAAACCGTCCTTTTGGCAGAGGAGAGCAGCTATGAATGGAAATAGAAATACTGGCCATTGCTCACCCCCAATCAATTTTTGTTGTCACATGCAATGTCCATTCCTGAAAACTAAACTATATATTTAAAGCTTTATTCAAGAGTAACTTCAAAGACGACTCCTTCAAGATTCCCAACAATGCATCGAGTGCCAGACACTTCTTTCATCTGCATCCGAAGCTTAGAAGCTTCAATAATAATCATCGAATCCATGCTGCAAGGAGGGAAATTTAATAAAGTGAGAGGGAAATTTAATAAAGTGAGAGCAATGATTGCACTTTTGACCATTCGAATTAATAGCTAGATAAGCTATGGCATTCTAAATTCAGATAATGCAGTGTTTATGGTAAATAAGTTGTTGGATTTGATGTATAAGCTCAGAAGAAAATTGGGACACGGGGACAAAGTGGGATGCAGGGGAAGCTGCATTCACAATTGAGATCACAAAGGTTAGAAGACTAATTCTAACCAGACAAATTTTGAAAAGATTAATTTCTTATTTGATAATACCCGGTCACAGAAAATTATGAAACAGTACATGTAATAAAAGTTGCTGAAAAATAAATTTTAGACAAACTAAGAATAATTTAGGAACAACACAAATCTGCACTGATTTAAAAATTTAGTTACCACATAAATCAGTTTTCAACCTGTTTTAGTGTTATTTAAACACACCCATAATATCTAACCATAAGGGGAGATGTTACTATACATTTCACACATTAAATCCAAATAGTAAAACAGAATATAGTCAACCTTTAATGTTCCCTATTTCCTGGACACTCCTTTAATACATATTCCCTATTATACATTTTAAACACATCAAATTATTAAGACAAAACTGAATCTAGTAATCTTTTAGATGAGAGTATATTGTCAACGAAACCAAAAAAAGTAGCAAAGAATATTTACTAAACCAAGAGATAGCAATAAAACAGAAAAAGCAAATCAAGGTTACATACGTCTTAGCTCTTGATACATAGGCTAGAATGAATTTGCACTTTCTGCCTTCTCTAGCCTGCAGGAGCTGTTTAACACTGCCAAAAAGCATGGGTATGCTTGACTGCTGGAAGCGTACAAATTGTCAAGGTTTAAAATCAAATTTTAGTGAGATCGAAATACTTTTACAAAAAGCTCCTTTAAAATGAGGGAAACACACTGTAGAAAGTGCTATAACAACCATTGATAACAAATTGTGATTATAATTAATTTCAGATTTGTTAAATATATTTGATTTTATCAAAAAATTAATTATATATATGAAACAAGATGCCCAGTTATTATGAATGATAACAGTGGAATAAATACATAAAGGATATATATATCAGCTCCAAGTATGAAATCAAAACCTCCAGGATGCTTTTGTAATATTTCATTTATTTGAGCAGTGTTCCCCCATTCTAGTTTCTCTGCTACTAATTCTGCATGTATATTAATGTAAATTTAGAATGAATCAAACATGTATCTTCCACTCCTTCTTTCATTAGAAGAATTTGTACTCACCGTGAGAAATTGAACTAATATTCTCGGAACATGAATGCAGCTCTATGTTTTTCTTCAAGATCTGATAGGAGCCGGAATATTAAGCAATATAGCATATAACCAGGGATGTGTACCATGTGTCATAAAAGATTCTCACAAACCTACCTTCAGAACTTCTTCATTATGATCTGTCATCACAACTTTATGGCAGAATCTGCTGCAAAGTATTCCAGTAATACCTGAAATTCAAAGCAAAACCATTCATAGCATCAAGGTCTAACATTATACAAATAAGGATAGGGATCAAAACAATCAAGATTGAGATCCTAACTAGGATCAGGAGGGGGTAGAAACACATAAAACATGAAATTGTACTAAAATTAAAGGATTCTACCTACATTTTGAATGTCTTTATGTATGTATACCAAAACAACTTTAGGATTACAAGTTAAATTTAATTAAGAACACAACTACCAAGTAAGTTAGAGCTCATTAAGTAAATGCAGTCACACACAAAACTAAAAGGTGACATTTTTACAAGAGACATGGTTACAATCAGCTCATAGAACAAAATCCATAACAGGATACCAAAGCACAGAAACTGGATGAAGCAGCAACTATACACCAGCAAGCCTCTGAACCATAAGAAGAAGCTGATGGAAGGAGAGAAGAACTTGAAGACCCAAAGCACCACTAGAGGCCTAGCCATCATCCATAACTGGAACCTCCCATAGATATAGGAGATCAAGCAACCATGGAAAGAACCCACAGGTCATAGGACAGTGGTCCCATGCATGACAGAAAGGTTTGTAGGGCTATGAGGTCTTCAGAATTTGGATATTAAAAATGTGCAACTTGGCCAGTATAGTGGTATTGCCCAATACCACCCAACCATTTCCGCAATAAAAATGACCAATCCCAGCTAATCTCACCCACACAAATAAAAAGCAGTATCATGTGATCCTACAACTCATCATGTGATTTTGACTACCTTGATAGGTTACCCTGTAATGTTTTGGATTTTGGAAGATAGTAAATTAACTATAAAGATAAGTAATTCATTTCCAAGAGCAAGACAAGTTAATCATGAGCAATGAGTGACTATGCAGCGCTGATTTGTAAAACTAAAACATATTACGGACACATTGTTTCTCCTACAAACATCAAAGAGTCTAAATAAAAGAAATGATATTTACTTATATAAAGACGAATACATACATACCAACACCAGAACCTAACTCAATTACAGAGCAACCCTGAAGCATCTTAGCATTTTTTGAAAGATAATCATTCAACAACATGGCTCCAGGCCACACCAGCTGCCCTGTCAAATCAAAATCAGCTGATTCAAAAGATTATTAGTATTCTGACTGAAGCTAATAGATGATACAGAAAGCAAACATAGGTGCCAACCAAAGAGTCAGTGTGCTCACTCTAGTATATTTATATACAAAGATTTATGTTCCCAGTTCCGCAATGTTACATCATGTTCAACTCCAATTCTTGTGTAAACAGTGTTTTCAATCTAAACTTTCTATTTGCTACACTCTTTAAAGACTGAATAGAAAATTGTTAACACATTTACTACACCCCATTTGCCCCCTTTCAAAACTAAGAATGGCGACATAAGGGGTCACTTGGCTAGATATATTTTCAAAGGCAATTTAATTTAAGGTTAAATATGTTTGTTAGTGCTTGCAAATATAACAAATTTTGGCTTTAGTTCCTACATTTTTTTTTAATTTTGATTCTAAAAACTTTGAAAGCTTTCAAAGTTTGACGGCAACATGCATATAGACTACCACCACACTCAAGCTATCTCTAACATGGCAAGTCGAGATGTCGGTTATGTCATCCCTAAAAGATGATAGGAACCGTTTTAAAAAATTAAACTTATGAGAACTAAAATCAAAATCCCTAATATTTGTAGATACTAAAATTATATTTAAATCTGAACCAATCTAATAAAAATTCAGAACCATAGACCAGATAGATTTGAGCTCAGCCAAGCCAAGGCCTGCCTAGTATAATTTCAGATCATAAGAACTTTTCTATCAGAAGAAAAACATGTTCCAAATTATTGTCTTCCATTGAAAGACTACATAGAGAATATGTTAGACCCGATAAGGAGGTCTAGGTGTTGAATGAGAGACTTGAGCCAAAGACTTGGCATGTGTACTATAGAAAGAGAGGGAAAGGAGTTAAAACAAATGTGACTAGAGTTAGTTAACCCTGGTTAGTTGGTATGGGTATAGGAGGGATATATAAATAATACTATAACGGACTAAAAGGGGGAAAGTATTCATTTTTGGCTTGGGAGGCTTAGTATTCTGTAGATACCGATATAGCTCTTGGGATACTTTGTCGTCACAGTTTCCTTGTTTCATGATATCAATGCATTCATTTTCCTTCGGCTTATCTTGTTTCTTGATTTGGAACCCTATCAGAATTAGTATTTATTCATACCCTATGCCTGTCAAGTGAATCATAGCTTTAGTGAAGAACTTGGCGGAAAAAATACATAATTCAGCTTACCAAATATTTAAACATCACAACAAGCTATATAGTCATATATCACACAAAAAGTACATTAAAGTCCCTTGGTGAGGAATCAATACAGCAAATGTATAGCATTGCTTATAGCATTGCCACTTACTAGAAATCCCAAGTTACCAAAGTCAGTAAATTTAAAAAATACACTTAAGACAGTATACCACCCAAACAAAGTAAATGGCCGTAAAGTGAATATGTGTAGAATTGAACAATAGGTATTAGAATATACATATTTAAGAAATAAATGCTGGTAACACACTCTTTCCAACACATTATCTGTTGTGGAATGAAATACCAAAATTCATGTTAGACTCACTAAAGGATGCAAGTCTCACACCCTCTATAGTGGATATCATTCCCTATTTGTGAGTATGCATGTTCCGCTCAACTGAAACAGCAATGGTTCCTAATTGCTAGCTAGTAGTTAGGCTAGGCTAAGCTACAAATTAGTTCCTGATTACTCCTTAACTGATTATGAATGCAATCATTCGCACTATAAACTCCACAACAAGCTATAGTCATATATCAAACTCAAAGTACATTAAGTCCCTTCGTGGGGAATATTCAAACAGACTCTCTCTAAACACCGTTTTTCAATTTCGTGGGGACATTTTTTTTTTTTTAGTACAACATTTTAATCAAAATCTTCCTCAAAAAAAAGTTGTAATACTCATAATCAAGTACGTGCGTGTATTAAAATTTTAAAAATTAAATTAAACTTCAAAAAAGAAAACAAAGTACTCACTGGAAGCAGAATGCAGACAGAAAAGCTGAATATCTTGAGAACCGAACGTGAATTTCGTCAGCTGGTAACTTCAAATTCAAAACAAAAAAGAAGGAAAAATGATCATCAGAATCGTTAATTTGAGAACGAAGATGATAGAAGAAGGTGGGGAATTACTTGTCATCGACGAAGAACGATGCATCCAAGCAGACGATTTCTTCTTCTTCTTCTTCGTGTTTCTGTTGGATTCCTCTTTCTTCCATATCAGTGTTCGGAGCTTTAAACGACGCCGTTCTCTTCAGCTGCCGTAGTGTTACTGTTTCTCTGTTTCCGCCACCAGCATACCAAGGAAGGGGAAAACTAAATTAAGTAGTGTTCAAACGATGTCGTCTTTACACAACATAGCATTTTAAGTTATTATTTTGGTAAAAACAAATTTTACGGGTAAATTAAATTATTTTAGTGATTATATATAATTTTTGAAGATATTTTTTTTATAAACAGTGCACTTTTAATATTTTGCTCTTTTGAATATAATAATTTCTATATATATATATATATATATATATATATATTCCATAAAACACTTTTATTATAAATACATACGCCAAAGACAAAATAAAATAATAATTTATTATTATTTTATTATTTTGATAGAAGGATTACTATCCATTTGTTTTTATAATTATTATTTTGCTGACACTAAAAAATAAAAATATTTATTTTTATTTATTTTGGTAGAAAGATTTCTACCAACTTAGTTATCAAAAGATTAATTCAGATCTTTCTGTCATTAACATGTAAGGCTTAAAAAGTCTAATAACATATAGTAGAGAAACATTAACAAGGTAACAAGATATTATTATCTGTCATTAACCTTTGTCATCTTTTGATATTGTTGTAAGTGTTTATGTCATGAGATATCCCTAGAAATCTTCCAAGGCATCTTCATCATTTTTTGCAAGACTCATGGGTTGAGGAGAGACAGGTCTTGTATTATTTTGTCATAGATAAGAAGTTTTGTCAAGTCTTACCCAATGATTGGTTGTGGTAGTTTCGGCTAACAGCTCCTTTCTAATATATTCTCTTGGAATTGATCATACCTTATTGAAGTAAGGGAAGAGTTATCATGATCAATTTTTTAGAGTTTATCATTAAAGAAGATGTTAGTGAATGACTCAGACTCCAGAAACAAGTGATGTTTTGCTAGACTGTATTCGTCTTTTGTGTTGTTGGGTGTGTAGAGAATATCTCAATGAAATATTCTTCATTGTAATCACATTGAAAAAACACATTTATCCAGTAATTAATTTTTGAACCAAAAAATGATTCTATCACTGTGTTTCTGAAAATGATTATTCTTTTCATGAATCCTGAAAAGAATAACTCTTCAATTAATCTTCTGTTGATCCGGGAAGGAATACATTCTACCAAGTAAGGATTTATTCCAATGTTGAGTTGGTCGGAAGAAGAGGAGGAAAAGTCATCCTGGTATTAGACTATCCTCAAGTATTGTTGGAGTAAGGAATCTACTGGTAGTTGGGATAACCAGATCTAAAGTTTTTCGAGTTCTACTAACAAGGCATCTGAAGCATGTTGGTAGATTTTTTCTTGGATTGGGCTTGGTAAATGACTCCAAAATTTTCTTTTGAATGACTCGATGTAGGCCATATGTTTTCTGAAATTTCCAAAATCCATGGTTTTAAAATCATAGCTCATTATTTGGTGAAAATCTATGATTTCGGTTTTTAATTTTGTATTTTCTTTTTCCAAACAGGAAATGTGATTTTCAAAATCTTTTCTTTGTTGAAAAAGAGAAATTTTCAATTTCTGTTCCATTTTTCTGGTAAGAGCTAGATGTTGTCTGAGTTTGATGGAATCATAAATTGACAAATTCTCTTGTTTTATTGGTTTTTCAAAAATGAAATTATCAGCTTCTGGATGGTTCAACATATTGTTGTTACCTCCAACATAGCTGACCATTGCCTGTACAACTTCTTCAAGGTTAGAGAATCCTTGAAACTTGTTATGTTTGTCATTACCTATAGCCTTTAAAAGAGAAGGATATGATAGGTAGACGTCACGCTTATCACCAGTAAAAAGGCAGTAGGTATCATTCTTGGGTTTTTTAAAAGAAGCGGACAATATTTTTGAAAAGTAGTAATTTAATGCATTGATAACATTAATTTTTGTTGTTGAACTACTGGCTCGGTGAAGAGCATCAAGTAGAACCTTTTGTTCCCTTGAGACGGGACAATTTTTGAACAACCTGAACTCATTGGATGAATCTTTTGGAAGAACATGGAGATGTTGTATTCCAAACTGAATTAATTTAGCTTTTCTGGCTGGAGACTTGCCTTTATTGATCGGTATTGCCATATCTATACTTGTGTGATTTATAGAATTCTGCAATACCTTTTTGTTAGATTCATCACAGAAAGAAACTATTGTATTCATTAGACAATATCTGAAATCATCTAATATATTTCCTAATTCATTATATTTATTATCCAGTTGAAAATCATTTTCCTGTGGATAAAGGTGTATGAACTCGTTATTTGTGAAATCATTTATTAGCTCATAATTTGTATGACTTTTGTCTAAGTTGATTTCATCTGTATATTCTGTTATACTAATTACTGATAATATTTCAGAATCAGTAGAAACATCTTCATCAATTGGAAGAAGGTTCATGTGGCAAGATTTTATGAGTTCTGCCTCTTTTTGTGTAAAGATTTGCAATATTAGGACAATCTCTTGATAAATGTCTTGGTTGGTTGCAAGCAAAACATTATAATGTCTGCTTATATGTTTTGTTTTCTCTAAATTTCCTAACATGTCCGTTGAGATTTAAAGTTGATTTTCTTGAATTTGAAGATCTTATCGTATAAGTCTTTCTAGATGTAGTGGTTCTTTGTTGTGTAGAATAACAATTCTGGTTGTAATTTCTATGTTTATTCCTAGATACATACCTCCTATTTGATTTATTTTGATTGTATTGTTGAGATATGTATATTTGTTTACAAATTCCAGCTACAGAATTTTCCAGTTGTTTTTGTATTGTAATATGTGTGCAAGTGTCTTCCATCACTTTCATGATATGTTGTATTCTTATTGAGAGGTTATTCAACATGGGAGTTACCTCATCATTTTTCTAGGATTCTCTAATTTTTTGACCTAGCTTTCCTGGTAGTTTGAGAAACATCTTTTCTCCTACACTTAAATCATGAAAACATCCAGTTATAGATGCATACATGAGATAATCTTGTAAAAACTTCTATTTTTCCAAAGTATGTTATGGAAAATATTTCTAGATGTCCTAGATAGATTTGCTGTCTAAGTGTGTTCCCATCATTTGCAGACTGGGAAGTAAGTAATCTTTGTAAAAGAGAACAAAAATTGTATATGTTAGGACCTGGTTCGATCATTAACATCTTTAAATCAGCTAAGTAATTCTTTTTAAAAGATTCCCAACATTCTCTAGCTATATCACATAAATAGGTTTCACCTTTAATAATCATTTCTTGAGAAGATTGAATATATTTCTCGTGGTGTATGCCATAATCACGAATTACAGTTGTCGTCCATTTTTCAATATATGTTGGCAATAGTTGAGGATCTATTCCTCCTATGTTTAGAAGAAGATTAGGCATTTGGAAATTTGGCTCAATCGGAAGCCTTTTACCCTGTGTTGTGCATAGGTTGTTACTAAAAATAACATTTTGTGGTGATTCTCCAGGCAAAAAGTCGATTGAATAATTTTGTACACCATCAGGTTCTAGCTGATAACTATGAGGTTGAAAATTATTTGATCCAACATTTGTATTTACTAACCCTAATGTGGATAAAGGTTCTGAGACTACGGATACATTATCTAATGTATCATCATCTTCTTCATCTATACACAAATTATCTAAAAATGTATCTATGATATTGTGTATTTAGTCAATTTGGACATTTTCATTTGTTTGGGAAAAAGAATTTGTAGTGGAATCTAAAGTTCCTTGTTTGAACATGGCTATAATAGCCTGATGATGATTTCATTCCTCATCGGTCATGTCATCATCTTCGTTTTCATCATATTCTAGAATATTTATCATAAAAATGTTTTTGTTATCAGGAATAGCAAAAGTGTTATGCTTGTTTTCCACTGGCCTATCTTGTTCTAGGTTTAGTTGTGGTATATTTCTATGGTTTGTGAAACTTAGACTAAGTCCTCTAGATCTGTTATACAAAATAGCAGATGAAGGGGTTGTAATGGAATTATTTTCTTCCATTGGCAAGTGTGTTTGCCACAAGTGTCCTTCATTTCTTCTTGTGAAGGCTTGGGCTGGTAAAAATTGTATACCATGAGAGCTGATAGCTTCCTCTAATGGTCTTGTGTTTATCCTATACATGGAAGAAATATGGTTACTAATTCTTCCTATGAAGGTAATATTTAAGTGTAGATTTTCGTCCACCAATTAGGACTAAAACCTATTGTTTGTACTTCTAGACTTATATGGTTAATAAAATCTAGAAGTGTCATTGTAAAATTTGGTGCAAGGTATATCAATGAAAAAGGTTGATTTAAATCTACCTCTAAAATACCTATTATACTTTGTGAATCATTATTTTGAAATCTGGAATCATGCAAAACTATCAAAGCTCTAACTCCGATCATATGCCTAGCTAAAGATCTAATTCCAATGGTAATCAATCTCATATTGACATTTCTTCCTTATTGGTTTAGTAGTTGTCTACCAATTTGTTGAGATATTAAAGGAATTATCTCGTATGTGTTGTCTGGAATATGAAAATCTTATATTCTTCTATATCGGTGAATCTTCTATCCTTATTGGACAAAATAACACTATCAAACATTTGCCTTGAAAAGGGACTAGCCTTTACCGATATAGAAAAATAGAAGATTTTCATCTTCCAGACAACACATACGAGATAATTCCTTTAATATCTCAACAAACTAGTAAACCAACAAGGAAGATATCTCCATATGAGGTTGATTACCATTGGAGTTAGATCCTTAGCTAGGTATATGATCGGAGTTAGAACTTTGATAGTTCTGCATGATTTCAGATTTTAAAATAATGATTTACAAAATGTAATAGGTATTTTAGAGGTAGATTTAAATCTACCTTTTTAATTGATATATCTTGTGCCAAATTTTACAATGACACTTTCAGATTTTATTAACCATATAAGTCTAAAAGTACAAATAATAGGTTTTGGTCCCAATTGGATGGGCAAAAATCTACACTTAGATATTACCTTCATAGGAAGAATTAGTAACCATATTTCTTCCATGTATATGATAAACAAAAGACCATTAGAGAAAACTATCAACTCTCATGGTACACAATTTTTAACAGTCCAAGCCTTCACAAGAAGAAATAAATGACACTTGTGGCAAACACACTTGCCAAGGGAAGAAAATAATCCCATTACAGCCCCTTCATCTGTTATTTTGCATAACAGATCTAGAGGACTTAGTCTAAGTTTCACAGACTATAGAAATATACCATGATTAGACCTAGAACAAGATAGGCTAGTGGAAAACAAGCATAAAACTTCTGCTATTCTTGATAACAAAAACATTTCTATGATGAATATAATAGAATATGATGAAAACGAAGATGATGACATGACTGATGAGGAATGAAATCATCATCAGACTATTATAGCCATGTTCAGACAATGAACTTTATATTCCACTACAAATTCTTTTTCCCAAACAAATGAAAATGTCCAAATTGATGAAATGTACGATATCATAGATACATTTTTAAATAATTTGTGTCTAGATGAAGAAGACAATGATACATTAGATAATGTATCTGTAGTCTCAGAATCCTTATCCATATTAGGGTTTATAAATACAAACGTTGGATCAAATGATTTTCAACCTCATAGTTATCAGCTAGAACCTGATAGTGTACAAAATTTTCAATCGGCTTTTTGCTTAGAGAATCACAACAAAATGTTGTTTTTAGTAACAACCAATACACAACACAAGACAAAAGCCTCCCAAATATCCTTCTTATTTTTATTTTTAATATGTTGAAACTTAACCTCATTCTCAATTTCATTTTCATTGACAACATCATCAAAACCATCCATTTTCTGTTTAAAATTAAAAAAAAAACTTCATAATATTTTTTTACTTAGAGATTTCAACAAAAGCACAAATAGAACAACATAATAAATGAGTCGTGAGAGAGAAAAATACTAAGAGAACAAATAAAACTTTAAGAAAGCAACAAATATAAAAGAGAGTAAAAAAGTATGAGATATATATGATTTTTACCTTATGAAGAAGGATGAGCAAGAAGGAGATGACAAGTAAGAGGAGAGGAGAGAGAGGGGTTTGTGCTTGAGAAAAGAAAATGTTTCCCGTAATGTGAGTTTAAGTAATTATAAAACTTTTTGAATTCTCTTAGTAGTGGGATACTGAGACTTTATGAGACACTTGAGACTTTTAGAATTTTCTTATCATAAATCTTTATATTATATATTATATTTCGACTCTTTGTATTGTATCATAATAAAAAAAAATTATTAGTAAAGCGGGTCGTGAGTTGACCCGCCACTGTCCCACGGGTTGATCCGACGAGCTTGGCTGGACGGGCCAAAACGAGTTGATGGGTTGAAAGTACTAACTCGCCGGGTCTAACCTATTTTATCATCCCTAATCATATGCTAGTACCAAGCTTATGGCTAAGTTTGAGCCTGGTAAATATATTAGAAGGGTAGTCCCTAGACTAGGACTTGTCAAGATAGGTAGGAAACCAATATCATGTTCAATCATTTGGAATTCCACTTGAAATTTTGAGCTATTTTTATCAATTTAAAAAATGATTTTGAATTTTTAGTCAATTTAGGAATAAATCAAGTTAATGAAACTATTTTTTCGTTTAGTCGTTGTACTTTTTAACATTTCTAGGACTTTTCATGGTTAGGATTGCTTCAAATTTATCAGAATTTGCTTTTATTCCTTTTTGTGTTATCGTGAATCCTACAATTTTATCTCCAATCCCAAATACATATTTTTTTGGGTTTAATCGCAAATTAGGTTTTCGCACCTTAACAACAAATTTTTGCAAGTGTGTGGGTGATCATTGTTTTTTTAGATTTAAAAATTATATTATCCACATAAACTTCCATTATATCTTCTATAAAAAAAATTAAATATCTTATTCATCAATCTTTGGTACATTGCTCCAACAGTTTTTAGTCTAAAGGGTATGACTTTATAACAAAAGTTAGCTCCTTCAGTGATAAAGGTAGTTTTTTCCTTATCAGGTGGGTATATTGGTATTTAATCATACGTGGAGTATGCATCTAAAAGATTGTGGATCTCATATATAGATGTGTTATCAGCTAATTGATATATGCTTGGTAAGGAGTAAAATACCAATACTACATTAGCTAACCAACTAGTATATGTTACTTCCCTTGTAAAATTTGCCTTTAACAATTTTTTAACATCTTGCTCTTCGACTTTAAGCTTTTTTTCCCCTAATTTTTGTTTTCTTTGAACTATATGTTTTATTTTAGGTAAAATAGCAAGTTTATGACCTATAAAATTTGGATCAGTACTTGACATGCCTATTGCACTCCATCCATGCAAAGAGATGAGATCAACATTTTTATGAAGTATTTTCTCTATCTATTTTTGTTGGTTGGCCTTTACTAACTTTCCTACTCGAGTTATTTGTTTGGGTTGGAGTTTTAGTTATAATTTGGACATCAATTCATCAAAAGTGGGATGATAATTTTTTTTATTCTTAGCGAGGATCAACATCTACTTTTTTAATAAGATTTTTGCCGCAAAGTTGACATTTGATGGAAAGGTCCCCCATTAGTTTTCTTCAAAGGATAGGACTAAGTTTTGAGACTAAGTGTGTAACATTTTCTAATTGCCTTAGGATCTATTTTGATTATTATTACACTCATCCTTCAATTGAAAAGTTCATAGTCATGTGTGGGGTGGACATGATGACTCTAAGTTAATTTAGTGTTTCTCGTTCTATCAACATGTTATATAAAGTGTTAACTACTATTAATATATACCTTATCATAAGATTCGTGCTCTCTTTACTAATTCCAAATGTTGTTAATAAGTTAATGTAACCACATGTGTGAAATTGTTCACCAACAAATCTAACCAATGGGTAAGGATAAGGCTGAATTAGTTCATATGAAATGTTCATCTTAAAAAAAAGGGACAAATATAGTATATCAGTCGCCTTGATCAATCACTTCCAGTTGACAATGTAAACAATAATTACCACAGGATTATCTTGTGTATGATCGTTTGAGCTAAAATCTTCATTTGTAGAAGTGTTAGGGGCAATGTTCTAGATTGAACTATGTTTACATTATTTACAACTCTAAGATGTCACTTTTGAGCAGAGCTTGTGCCTCCTCTCCTTGCAATGATGTTAATGATTCCTCTTACATGATTCTTATCATTTTGGGCATTTTATGAATGACTGAATGTTGATTGTCCATCCACTTAGAAATGATCACATCCTCATCCTTGTCCTTCAAAACATCCACGACCCCAACTATGATAACCCCTATAATTATCTAATCTATAGTCTTGGTCATACATGTAATGTTAAATGAATTGATATAGGATCTTGACTTGAATAAGATCTTCTAGAATATATCTTGAGTTTCTTGCAACTTTTTCTAGTGTGACCAATTCTTTTTTTAATCTATCTACATTAAGGGTGTGATATGTGGTTATGGTAACGTAATGAGCTTCAAATTGTACGTCTTTTGTAATACTATTTAGATGCTAGCATTTAGAGAAATAAATTATCTCTCTTCTTTTCTACCTTCTCACCTATATCTTTTATATGAATATCAACATTCTTATACTTGGGTTTGGGTTTTCCTTAGTATTGACTTCAATTTGAACATCTTTTCGATTGAACTCTTCTTTAGTATTAACAATTTCTTCATGACTATTGATACAATGGTTGAAATTAATGTCTAGATAAATTATATTGTCTTGAAAGAAATCGAACCAAAACACATCATTACCCTCCATAAACATCAACTATTTTTTACCCAAAAAATAATATAAAAATAATAAAGAAGTATTTTGGATAAATTGAATTTAATGATAGATAATTACTTATATTCTTGATAAAGCTCTATTTTATGAGAAAAAAAATAGAAGTCTCATTAATGACACTTTAATAATTAAATCATATATTAAATATAAAAATAGATGATAACAAAATTATATATTCAATATTTATAATTAAATAAAATGAGTTAAATTTAAGAATTATTTATTATAAAATATGATGTGGTACCAATTTTTAACATTTTTAGTTTTTTTTGTTATATAATATATAATGAACTATAAACTTAAAATTTTAATAAAATATTATCTTTAAAATAAGCAATTATATTTAAATGAATAAGTAAAACAACTTAATTAATATGAATTAGTTGAATTTTTATTTTATATTTAAATGAATAAGTAAATAAACTTAATTAATATGAATTAGTTGAATTTTTATTTTTTATTCTATTATAAAATTTATAATTTTTACCCTTTTAATCAATTCTAAACCCATGATAGACTGAGTTGACCCACGGGGTCTGCCGGTTCTGATCGCTGTATTAGGTTGGATGTAGAATTTTATTTTTTTAATTATTTTAATTAAATTGACACTTTTGGACTCTAGAAGTTCCCACGACTATTTGGACGGTTAATAGGGTCGGAATGGCCAATATGATGTGAACCAATGAAAACGCGACGCGTGTTCCATGGCGTAGTTCCATTACATTTAGGTCTCCTATAAAATCGGCTCTACTATGCTCGATTTCACTCTGTCCAAAGAACGCCGTGTTCCTCTGTCTCTCTTCCTTTCGCATTCTCATTGCCCTTTTGGTTTGTGAAAGGTAAAACCCTCTCTTTCTCCTTCTTCGTCCCTTTATTTCGATCTGAAGTAATTGTTACTCTTTTCACTATTCACGCTTTAGATCTGTTCCTGTATTATGCTCATCTGCCGTTTTGTATTCAGTTTTTATTTCCCCCCCTTGATGTTTTATTTTCCGATTCTGTACATTTTGGTGGTCTCTTTGTTTGATCTGGTTCGGGTTTGGGGTTTTTTTTTTTTGGTTTGGGGCATGGTTGTTAAGTCCGCAGAAGTGACAGATCTGATCCCGAACGGCGTGATCTGTACGCTGGATCTGCTTGTGAGTGGGGTTTTAGTACAAAGGTCGTATTTTTTTTTTCAGTTAGAAATGATGGGTCTTTTTTCATCAATAGTGCATGAGAATCTAGTATATTTAGACTGCTTTTTATTTATGGCTGGATATAAATCTGACTGTGTTTTGACCATCTACCTTAGATTTTGACTGTTTTTGTTGTCCATTTCTTTTCTCTGTCCTATTCCCTCTTGTTTTGTAAGTTTCAACTGTCTATCGTCGTGGATCTGTTGTCATCGTCGTTGATCTGTCGTCTAGGCTCCTAGCTTTTGAGATCCGATCCCTTTGTACGCCTTCAAAGGCGGTTTACGATTTTGTTATGCTAACTATAGGTGGACTCAAAATATCGCGCTGTGTTCTATACAAGGACTTGTATCGTTTTTCTCATAGTTAATCATTTATGAAAGTTTTATTCTGATTACCACCCTGGTTATGTCTTGCATGTGTTCTGATGTTGTTGGGCTTTCTCCTCTGTTGCTAGATTAAGGTTGTTTCTTTTAATTTGATTTCGGGGTTTTTTTTTTCTATTCTACACTTTCTGTATAATTTTTTTACTAGTAAATAGAAAACCATTTTGCTGAGTAATGAAATTGTTTTGATTGCACTTTTTCGTGATTTCGTTGTCAATGCCTTTACTTTATGCTGTTAATTGCTAAATTTACTGACTTAATTTGACATGGACTTTTTTTCTCAGGAAAGCCGCCATGGTTGACCAGGTCCAACATCCTACAATCATGGAGAAGGTTGCTGGCCAGCTCCATCTCCGTTCTGGTTTTTCATCTGGTATTAAGAGTTCTGATGGGGCTTTCCGCCACCCTGCCATGTACCAAAAACCCTTATTTGGGAGCTACTCAAATGCTGCAATTCAGTATCCTGTGATGCCCTCGTGCAAAACAACAATGGATTTGTCTGCTGTTGCAACAACAGCATCCCCTGTATTTGTTGCAGCCCCAGCAGAGAAAAGCCATTTTCTTATTGACTTTCTCATGGGAGGTGTTTCAGCAGCTGTCTCCAAAACTGCTGCTGCTCCCATCGAACGTGTTAAGCTTTTGATCCAGAATCAGGATGAGATGCTCAAAACTGGAAGGCTTTCTGAGCCTTACAAGGGTATTGGTGATTGTTTTAAAAGAACAATCGCTGACGAGGGTGTTGTTTCTCTATGGAGAGGAAACACTGCAAATGTGATCCGTTATTTCCCCACCCAGGTTAGTTATTTTTGTAATTTTTCTTTTCACAAAATTAGAATTCTGTTCTATAGAGATTTAGTTGGTGACTTTTTTCAATCATGTTATATTTAGACATTAATATAGAATCTTTTAAACTAGGTAAAACTTCCAATTGTAGTTGAACACTAAAGTTCTGACATAATTTTATAATATTATATGTGATACTGAAATTGTTGTTTGAACTCTTTCAGGCTTTGAACTTTGCATTTAAGGACTACTTCAAGAGGCTCTTCAATTTCAAGAAGGAAAGAGATGGCTACTTTAAATGGCTTTGTGGCAACTTGGCCTCTGGAGGTGCTGCTGGTGCATCGTCCCTTGTATTTGTTTACTCTCTTGACTATGCCCGTACCCGTCTTGCCAATGATGCCAAGGCTGCCAAAACGGGGGGAGAGAGACAATTCAATGGTCTTATTGATGTCTACAGGAAGACGTTGGCATCTGATGGTATTCGTGGTCTCTACCGTGGTTTTGCCCTCTCATGTGGTGGAATCATTGTGTATCGTGGTCTGTATTTTGGAATGTATGATTCTGTGAAACCATTCGTCCTCACCGGATCATGGGAGGTTAGTTTTTACCCCCTTCATGACTGATACATACGATATTCAGTTTAATATAATTATTGTCTGTTCTTTAACAGTGTTTAAAATGTATTTTCTATTCATCTATTTCTTGTTTGATTTTTAGTCTTTTTAAGACGTTGTTGCTTTTCAAAGTTCTATTTTAACAATCATTTTATCTGTGTAGTAGTTACTTAGTAGTGATATATGTCACAACATGTTGTGTTGTGTCATTAACCATTTGAGGGTGCACGTGACCTGACATAAATAAATACCTAAATTTTGTTTATAACATGTATTTTATGTTGTTGTTAACTGTATGGCTCGTTTTATTTTTAGAATGAGTAAATAAATACCTAATTTTTGTGTATAAATTTTCAAACCTATTTTAGTCGTGTATTTGAATGCAATGACTAAAATGTACCATATTTATGTTGATAGTTACATTTTTTTTCTTTTACGTGGATCATTTGTAAATTTTAACGGAATTCACCATCAAATAATTTTAAAATATGCCAAAATCAAAACACAAGTTCATCTTAAGGATGGATGTCAGAAATAACCATTTTACAGTTCAAATAGAGAAGTTATAAATGATCTCCTTAATCATGTTCTTGTTTTATTTAGTGAAATCTAATGCAATTTCCCGGGTGTGGATTGCAGGATAGCTTTTTTGCCAGCTTTGCCCTTGGATGGGTCATCACCAATGGTGCAGGACTTGCATCTTACCCAATTGACACTGTGAGAAGAAGAATGATGATGACCTCTGGTGAAGCTGTCAAGTACAAGAATACCTTCGATGCATTCCAGCAAATCGTGAAGAAAGAGGGTACCAAGTCCTTGTTCAAGGGTGGTGCTGCCAACATCCTCCGTGCTATTGCAGGTGCTGGTGTGCTTGCTGGGTACGACAAGTTGCAGGTTCTTGTGTTCGGCAAGAAGTATGGTTCTGGTGGAGGTGCTTAAGAGTTCTTTGGTGGGTGCCGAAGAGTCAGTTTTTCATGTTTTAGATGGCGATGAAAAAACCATTTGAGTTCCGAGAGTTTTAGACTAATTGCTGCCGCAAATTTTGTTCAATAAGTTTGACTAGATGTTGGGACATTGTCCCTAAAACCATTTTTATATTTCATGATTTAATTTAGTGGCGGGACAAGCAACTGTCACCTGGAATTCCATTTTCTTTATATGATTTTAAATTTGATACGTGTTTGAGAGTTATCTTTTTCATTAGAATAAAGTGCACATGCTATTGGTGTTAAGTCTCTTTAGGTATTGTTTGGATGCCGCATTTTTCGTTTGTTTGCTTTTATATTATCATTTATTGTTTATTTGGTCACAAAAGTTAAAGTCTATTTATTAACTAAATAAACAGCATATTGCATGTGTTTTGCATAGGCGAATAACATGAACGACAGGTTGGGGAGATGCTTTGTCTTTGGCATCACAAAGGAATATGTTTGTTGTTTGGTCTTGCTTGATGATATTATTGTGCAATGTGGGTTTGGCTGTGCTGATTTTCTTTTTCTATTGCACTGTTATATGGCGACCCTATAACATATTGGTTACATCAGATAAGGGTTTCTTGAAAAGAGTTAAAGGTTGTATGTCAGTAAGACACGGAGAGGACGAATCATATCCCTTATTTTTCCTAATTATACACCCACCATCCAAAAAGAGGAAATTACTTGACAGCACCAAAAAAGGAAACTACTTAGCAGGCACCAAATGATGTATCTGAATAATCAACTTTGGCTACTTGAGGGAGAAAGGAAATGCTGCGTGAAGCTTTTTGTTAGAACACCAATAATACCAAAACATTAAAGATAAAAAAAGAATGACATCAAATAAAGTGTCTTGGATATTTTCTTACATAATTTGAAATCTTTTTTGGTTCCATATTATGTTTAATAAATTTGTTAAACTATATTTAATTAATGATTTACATTTTTTTTACCGTCATTTCTAACGTGATAGCCAGATGTGCAGTTCTATACTAGATGTCAAACTTCTGCTTTGTAAATGTTGTTAGAGATCATAGATGAAGTTCTCGGTTAAAACACGAAAATAATTTTTTTTATATGATTTACTAAAAAAAAAAATAATTGTTTATCTCATAAATATTCAAACAGTAGTGTGTGAATCATGATTTATATAATGACTAACTTAGTCACGATTGAAGTATATAATAAATTTTCCATTAAAATAAGTCTTTTTTATAAAAATATTGATGATATAATATAAGTTCACTGAGGTACTTGTGATTCTGAAGAATATTAAAAAAAATCACATTTTTAAGAAAGATTGTTGAAATCCAAATATGAGAATAATATAAACGTTAACATCTTAAAGATACTATAATGAAATTATATTTTATTACGTAATTAATACGTATTAAAAATTTCGAATTGTTACTTTCTTTAAATATCCCACTTAAGTAACAGTTTAACTTTTTAACCACTTAATAAAATATTTAACAAATAGTGCTTATATAGCTTTTTACCATTTCTTAAACATAAAATAAGATTTAAATAGTATTTTATAACAATTTTTAATTATCAAAATATAATAAAATAATAAAGGAGTTTGTAACCATTTTAAAAAAAATTATATGAAAACATAAATAAATAAAAATATATTTTGTGACGATTTTTAATAATAATTACTTTTTTTACATAAATATTAACGTTAAAAAACATTTATCATAATTTTTTACACTAACAGATTAGAGGGCCAAATTAATCCATTCAGTAAGAATAAAGACAAATTTTTGAAAAAAAGAAAACCAAAAACATTTTTTTTATATATATATCTAAATTTGGACGTGTAAAGAATCTAGACTTTTTGGGAGATTGGAGGATCTGTTGTCTTTAAAAAACATGTGTCTAAATGTGTAAATAATTTATGTAATATATTTATTTTATTTTATTTTTATTAAAAAAATCAATCATTTTAATCTTTGTAGTTTTTTTTTTTTCATTTCTAAAATCAAAGTTTATCTTTACATGATAATTGTTACATAGAAAATGTGCCACTTAATCATATTCTTAATGATAAGATCCTCATGAGTTAATTAAACCAGTAAAATTTATATCAAGAAAATAGAAGAAAAAAAAAAAGACTTTGATAGAGACTCGTGTTATTTAAGTCTTGACATATTTATATTATAATCATCTTCTGATGAAGACAAATTAATTATGAATGAAGGAAGGAAGATCTCCAACGGTCTAAAGCATATGCCAAGGCAATCCAATGTCGGTTCCCAACGTTCATTGCTTCCTTTCCCTCTGACTCATAACGGTCACATTTTCACTCTTCACTATCACATGCCAACACACACACTCAACGCTTTCTGGGTCTCTTCAACACATTCTCTCTCTCTATCTCTCTCTCTCTCTCTCTCTTCGATGGAACCCGCGAAAATTGATTGGAAGAGACTAGAGTGGAATTTCGTGGAAGACGAACGCTTCGAGCACATCAACGCGCCCAAGTGGGTCGACTTCTTGTCCCTTGACCACTCCGTCAATGATCACGCTGATGAAGCTTGGTTCTGCAAGCCTGGTATCCTTCTTCCCCTTCTTTTCTCGTTCTTTCAAGGGAATTTGCGTCTGGGTGTGCCAAAGCTTGCTTCTTTTTCCATAATGGTGTAGCCAAAGTTTTGAATTTTGCAGTCACGGTTTTGTTGTAATTGTTTGTTGATGTTGTGAAACATTGTGGATAAATGTGAATGTAATTGCGGTTGCGGTGACCACAACTGCTTTGATATTGTTGCCGAAATCATGTTTGTTGCAAAACTTGTCTTACTAATTTGGTGGGTTTTGCAGATTGTAAACATCCCAAGACAGCGGAGGATTTTCTCAGATCAATAACTCCTCCTTCCAAGGTTTTTCTTTCTTTTCTCTACTCTCTTGTTTAGTGTGGGATTATCGATCTTGGGTGTTTCCCCATTTAATAAAAATTTAACCTTGAGCTGATTTTCTCGAGCTGAGGTTCTAGTTATGGTCTTTAGTGATCTTGTTCTGAGGTTCTTTTAATCTTTTTGTCTTTTCTAGAAGGGCTTTAGTCCGGGTTATGTTTCCGAGAATCTTCCGTGCCATGACAAAAATAGAAGGTACTCGTAAATGTCACTTTTTTAACTTGTAATTAAAGATTATTTTGAGAGATTGAAATTCACCAGTTTTGTATCTTGGTACAGAGATGCGAAAATTAAGAGAAGGATGCCTGCGCTATCCTCAGCTTCACCCAAAGCTGATAAATTTAGATTCAACCAAGACAGTGAAAACCAAGATCCGAATTTGTTTACTCCTCCTTCTAAACTAAACCCCGTGAAGGAAGCAATTAAGTCTAGTGAGGAGAAGAAGAAAGTCGTTGATGACACCTTCGGGGATCACAAGGTGCCTTCTCTGAGATCTACTCTATCTGCCAAAAATTTGTTTGCGGGGAGGCCAATTCTGAATCAAATCACCGAATTCTGCAACGAATTGAAGAAATTGGCAATAAGAGCCAGGGAGAGAGAAAATGCTGAAAATTTGAGCCCCAAAGAGAGTGTAGAGGTAGTAGAGAACATCCCTTGTTCTGTTCAACCTTTGACAGAGTCAGATACAAATGAGAAAGAAAGGAAGCCAATGCTGGAAGTAAGTAAGGCTGAAAGATCGGAGGGAACGTGTGTTAAAGGGAAGCAACAGAGAAAAACGTAAGCATATCCTTCTCCCTTCATGTGTAGTTAAGATGGTTTCTATTGGAAATTCTAAGAATTACATGGAAATCACGAAACCTTAGGATTGTTTAGGCTCACAAAATATATATTTTTCATCATTTTCAATTACAAAGATATACATTATTTTCAGTTTATTTTTCTGTCTCTAAAGATGTATATAGGTAACACTTAAAACAACTTTAGTTTTTTGAAAATAAGGTGATGTTTTAGTTATTAAAAGAGAAAAGCTACCTTGGACACACCTCACTTGTGCATCATAAAATTATAGGCTGGCCAATGGATTTTTAAAGTGTAGAACAACATTTTCTAACTTGCTTGATTATCAAAAACTGCAAGAACACCACATTCTAACATTTTCTGAGATAATCAATTGCGTATTAATGTATTCTGCAGAAGACCTGATGATGCAGTGAACATGCCTATAACTCTTGACTTAGAGAATCTAAAGCACAAGAGGGAGGAGAGTTTACAACAAATTCGAACAGATCCTCCCTCTCCCCAGTGCTTCTCTGCGGCACGTGGATTCAACAAACCTACACCTTCAAAGCCTTGCAAATCCCGGCTAATGGTACGTTTGTAGCTGCATTTTTGGGGTTGAACTTTTTTGGATTGATAGATGACTAACAAGACAACGCTAGCATTTGATTAAACACAAGCAAGTTACCAAAAATTTTGAATGGATTAAGAATATTAGTTTTTTTATAGATTTCCATGAATTATCTTTTAAGGTATGTCATTCTCCTCCGTAACAAGAGAGCATAATATATAGCCTGCATCATCTAATGATACGTGAAAGGATAGTGAATATGTATCAGTTCATGCATAGTGTTTTATTCTGGATACAATCTGATATGATTAGCAAACGTCATTACGAACTTCTTTTGATGTTAAACGACATCAATTTACTTGTTTGTTACTAAATTATTCTTGTTTAGGTGCAAACTGGTGCATTTTAAATAACTTCAGTAAATTTCTTTCAATCCTACTTGTTAAAAAGGTAGGTCATTGCTGCAAAATAGAGCATAATATAGCTCGTATGATCTAATTATACTTGAAAGTATCGTAAAAATGTACCAATTCATGCATAGTTTTTTGTTTTGCACACATTATGGTTTTTTTGTCCACTAAATTATTCTTGTTTGGTGCAACCTGTTGCATTTAACTTCAACAAGTTTTCTTTCCCGTCCTACTGACTAAGATAGGCTTTGTTAAAAAGTTGAAGTTTTAATGTTAAATTTCTATAAATTTTGTATAGAAAGTTATGTGCTTGTTTGCACTTCTCTAGCTTACTACTACCATTGAATTGTTGCTTTATGTCTTTTTCTCTTTCGTTTGTAGGAAAGAGGAATACTTGGAGAAATTGAACTAAACAAGGAAATTGTGAAGAAGGAGTCTCCTGTAGAGAAAAGCAGAAGCACTACAATAGTTGATGGAAGAGAAACAAAAGCCTTGGACATGTTTTGGTTCCTAAAGCCTTGCACACTGTCGAGCTGAGTTTATTGAAACCTGGGACAAAGTGATTATTTCATTCTTTCATTTGTTTTCAATATTAGTAATCTTCAATGAGGTCCTCATAAAACTACACTGTTTTATTTAGGTTGATAGTCATTCTTCATAATTGTAGCTATTCTGTCTTAATTTTTTGTCCTATGTTTTCCCGTACATAGTCTTATTTGTCTCATTAATGATTCAATACATGAAACTAATGATTATGCGATACACATGAATTGGAACAAAGATTTTGTTGACAAGTTATCTTCAAGTATATGTACATACTAAAGAGTAATTGATTATCTTTAATTCGTAATTAGTCATGTTTAAGATAATAAGAGAGATTCTTGAACTCTCACCTAGTATAATCAATTAGCAAATCCTATAAAAACTATATAATTAATTATAATAATAAATAATACCTTTTGCAAAAAAAACTTCAAAAATTATTTAAGATTCTCTTTCTTTCAAAAATACCTTTTTGACTTCATCAAAAGTTGTAGTTTTCTCATTGAACCTCGCTTTTTATGGATTAATCACATTCAAGTGATATTTTAATCATCTGTTCATTAACCGTTTTGGTTTTCCAACCTAGGTTTGATGTGTTAGTATAATATGTTTCTACATTTCTCCTTCACTCTTCAGTCAATGCATTCTTTCCATCTTTACTCTTTCTTTACCATGAGTACTGAAAAAACAAGAGGAATGAGGTGTATTGAGGACATGTATTATTATTATTACATTGTATTCAAATATTTGATTGCATCTATAAGTTAATTAATTTTTAAATTGTCATTTAAAAATATTTATAAACATGAAATATATAATTTTTATAAAAAATATTTAATAAATTAATTTAAAGTAATAAAAATTTTTAATTATCAATTCTTTTTAATCTTCAAAATATCATTTTATTAAAATAAAATTTGATATATGACAAATAAGAATACAAAAAAAAAATAATAATAATAAAATCTAATAAAGATAAATTAAAAATAAAATAATATTAATTACTACTAAGATTGATGTAGAATATTTAGAAAAAGATAAAGAAAAAGAAAAATTAATTTTGTGTTTGTCAAATTGATTGAAGAGATTAAGAAAATGTAAATAAGTGAAAGATAAGAGAAAGAAAATAATGTAATGAACTAATTGATATATAAAAAATTAAAAATGACAAAAAAAAAGTGTGCAGAAGAAAAATAAAAATGGTGAAATATAAAAAAATGTCCTTGAATATAATAGAGAAAGAAAAAAATACTTTTAAAATAATAATATTTTAAAATTTAAATTTAAATATATAAAATCGGGACGAGGAGGATAAGGAGGGATGACAATTAAACCCGTACTCGTGAAGACCAACCCGTCCCTGCCCTGAGTTTGACGGGAAAACTCGAGTTGACCGAGGCGGGTAATGTAATCCCCACCCCGACCCCGCTTTATATTTAAATTTAAATTTTAAAATATTAATATTTTAAAAGTATTTCCTTTTCATTTTCTATTACATATAAAGTCATTTTTTTTATTTTTCTTCTACTCACTTTTTAATTTTTTTTGTCTTTTTTAATCTTTTATATCAGCTTAATTTATTATATTATTCTCTCTTACCTTTCGAGTTTTTTATATTTCTTTAATCTCTCATCAAATTTTTTTTCAATCTTTTCAACTAATTTGATGAACACAAAGTTAATTTTTTTTTCTTCTTTGTCTTTTTCTAAATATTTTACATAAATCTTAATAGTAACTAATATTATTTTATTTATAATTTATATTTATTAATTTTTATTATGTCATATTTTTTTATCCTATTATTCTTATTTATTATATATCAAATTTTATCTTAATAAAATAATTGTATTTTAAAAGATTAAAAAAAATTTATAATTTAAACTTTTATTACTTCAAACTAATTAAGTAAGAATTAACTTATTAAATATTCCCTTATAAATTATATATTTCATATTTTTAAATGATAACTTAAAAATGAATTAATTTATATATATAATCAAATATTTGAATACAGTATTATACTAATACTATTATAAGTATTCAAATATTTGAATACAGTATTATAATAATAATAATAATAATGTTATAAATAAAAAATAATTAAATATTTTTTTACATACATATTTTAATATAAATATAATAAATTAAAATATATATTTAATTAATAATAATTATAAATTATAAAATTATAAAATTATAAACATTTATTTATATATAAAAAATAGATAGTAAAATTAATTTATTATAAATGTAATTATCTTTTTAAAAATAATATAGATCGGGTACAGCGAAGACGAGGATGAAGACTTAATTTCTAACCTCGGCGGGAATCGGGGACGAGGATGGTTAAAAAAGTCGGGGGAATCGGGGAGGCAAAACCCGACCCTGGCCCCGTTACCATGCCTAGTCAGGACCAGGGCCGGGGTGAGGAGTGCATTGCCGATCCTCACATCCACCCCGATCAACTCAATTTTTTCTCGTCAAAATCAGACCGAGGACGGATCGGTCTTCACGGATATAAGTTTAATTTTCGTCCATATCCCTACTTCTTAGTAAGAAAATATATAAATGTCTAAGAGGTCGCTTTGGAATGCTTAGATTAATGTAGGTTTGCGACCCAATAAAAGCAACAAAGATATACAAAACTAAAAGCCAACAATTCCTTTTGTGAGAGGCAAGTCGAACTTAAGTAAGGGGAATGTGAACAATTTCAAGCATAACTCTCTAGAAAAGAAAATGAATAATATTAGCAAAACTAATTCCAAAATTCAATGAAGATATTGTTTGAGGGTTATATGTCAATTCTTATTTAGAGAAAAGGATGCAACCAGAGTTTCTTGGGTTGCAAAATCAAATATGATATGATGTCATCAATGCATATGTAGGCCACTTATATAAAGGTGACATGGATGAATACAAAAGGCTGACTAGTTCATATGACTCCTTTGTATAATTGGTCACAGTTATAAGGTTGATGCATTTTACAACCTTACTTCGACTCAATATGAAAACATTTGACACAAATTTTGGTTCATTTTCTTGTTAGGAAGTGATAAATTCTTCATATTCATTATAAATAATAGCAACTAACTTCTTCCAATCTTGTCGTCACATTAACTAGGAAACGTAAAAAATTGACTCAAATTTGTATCAATGTCTTGTTATTGGTGGAAGAATAAAATGCTTCCTTAAAAACAAAAAGGAATAAAAAAATGGCATCCATATCCTAAAAGATTGCAAGAATTGTACTGAACATGATCCTGCCATATGAGCAAGCACTGCCCCAAAACTATCAAACAAATCCTTCATGCAAATCAAAAGCAAATGAATGAAGGAGTAAAAGGATTCATAACACAAAAAAATGAAAGAAAAGAAGAAAATATTTACAATTAGATCTGGTTCAAGGCCATTCTTCGATGAATAATCTACCTTGTTCTGAACAGTGCGCAGTTGATTAGCCTTGTCCAAGCCACATGTAGGCGTGGGTAGATCCTGTTGGTGTAGATTCGTGACTCTCTCTCCATGGTTTCCACAAAGAGGTTCAAGCTTCTAATCGGTGGAATATAGAGGATCAAAGGAATAGCAGAGAAAGCCACTGAGAAAAACAAAGGCAGCATAATTCTCGGTTTCCTTGGAATTCTGCCACACCCACCACCGAGAGAGGAATCATATGAATGAAGGGAAAGCCAAAGTTGAAAACTTGGATTACAAGTGAAAAAGGGGTATTCGAATTTGGGAGATTTATATCAACAAGAGAGAGAGAGAGAGAGAGAAGAGAAAGCTAAGTTCTGAAAACTAAAAAAATAATAAAAAATTGTTCTACCAATATTATATTTTTTACTATTATTATTTATTATTTTTCTCGATTTAAATTTCTTCTGATATTATTTATCTTAATGTAAAACAAATTTTTGTATCTCTAATATTTTCTACTACCTACCATAAATGAGAAAATAAAACAAGTATAATAACGAAATAACTTATGGTAGTATTGACTAAAAAGAAAAAAAAATTAACATACTTACCTAATTAAAAATTGATTTTACACTATTTCCTCTTTTTTTCTGTGTTATTTTTATTCAAATATTCAAGTTAATTTTAAGTTATATTTTATATAAATTTGTGTTTCTTCTTTTTTAGAAATTCTCTTTTTTTTAAGAAAAAAAAACTTAAGTTATTTCAAATAAACGAAGATCTCAGATTCATTTATTAATAACTCAGGAGTTTTTTTAGCTTTCTTCAGTCAACCAAGGTTATTTTTGTTGCTTTGAGAAAAAACTCCATTTATTTATAGAAAGTCTCTAAAATTAAATTTTATCATTATATTATTTTTTACTTAAAATATTTTTTTAAAATTTATCAACTACTTTTATTTCTATTAATGACCAAAATAAAATTTTCTCATCTTTTACCATATTTTAGAAAAATATTAAAAATCTCGAAAATAATCCAGTAAAAAAATGTTTGATCATGGGTTTTATTTTTAATAAATTAATGATGGTTCATATTTTTAATTATTATTTTTTAAAAATTAACATGGTTAATTTAAATAAGAATCTTAAAAATACTATTCACAATAAATTATTTATATCGTAAATAAATTTTATTGTAAGAGGAACACAATGAAATATTTGTAAAACAATTATGAAAATGAATGTAATGCATAAATTATAATATTGTGATGTTTTATAATCCCTTAAAATGTTACTGTAAAAAAAAAAATTCAACAAAAAGTGTAAAAGAAGAAAAAAGAAGAAGTAGAAAAATAAATAAAAATAGTGTGCCACGTGTTCAAATTTACTGTTGCGTTACCTGAGGCTTCATTAGCCCTATTCGGAGTCAGTTCCTCCTCTGCGTTTCTCTCCCCCAACAACACAACCAAACTCGCTCACTGAAACTCGAGAAAATTAGGGTTTTGCAGTGATGGCATTCTGCAACCGCGTCAGATCGGGAATCTCCCTCTTTAACAAAGCCACCGTCATTACTTCCCAGCGATCTGATCTCCAGCGATTCCTCGTTGCCCCTTCCATTTCCCTCGTAAGATTCATAAACCAACCAATCTGAATCTCTAGCTGTGTTTTATTTTCCGTGGCCTGATTACGTGTAAAATTTCGAATCTAGGATTTATTTTGTTCGGCATTTTTATTTTTTTGAATCATAACTTGCTCCCGATTCATCTTATTCTTGTGCAGGCCTCCAGAAATTACGCCAACGTGCCGGGAGCAAAGGATAACAAAGTTAAGGTAATAGAATGCATTGGTCTTGGATTGTGATCTCTCGTATGTGATTCATGGAAGAAAATAAGTGGTATGGAAAATTGGGTACATTTCGTTGAATTGAAACAAAATGATAAGGACATCGATATATTTTCGGTTAAATAATTTGTTAAATGGAATGATTGTAATTAGTAGAAAGGGCTAGTCCTTCACGGTGCGGTGAACCATGTTTTGAATCCCTGCTGGGGTAGATGTTTATATTTAGTGTGTGGAACGGGATTGCCTTGGATGGAGATACCTTTCGGGAGCCAAAAGAATCTTTGAATGGTTGTCGAAAGCCTCCCCCTTTTTGATTGTTGTGCATGGGTTGATCTTGGTCTTCCTTGTATTTTTCTCCTTTGTTGGTTTTTAGGTCCCTTTGGCTTTATATGGAGGTTCAGGAAACTATGCCTCGGCTTTGTACATTGCATCTGTGAAAGCTAATGCAGTGGAGAAGGTTGAGTCTGAGATTCTGCAATTTGTTGAGGCAGTAAAGAAAAGCGCCAAATTTTCACATTTTATAAAGGATTTGTCTGTGGCTAAGGATGTTAGAGTAAAAGCCATGCAGGAGATTTGTGGAGAAGCTAAGTTTTCAAACGTGACAAAGAACTTCCTTGGTAAGATAAGTCTTTTAATCCACTAGTTGTCATGACACGAGTGAATTTGCTTCTGACTTTAGAGCATTAGCAAAAGTTTTTTCTCTTATAGTCTCCTCACATGCACATAATATTGTACATAATTTCCCTTTAATATTGTACATGTTATGCTCAGCTAGTTATTGGAGGCAACTCTGCCCTATTATTATTGTTACATTTGTAATCATTCTCATGTTACTATGGCCCCTATCCCAGCTTATTGTTAGCAGTCACATCTTTCAGTGGATTTTATATTTGTATCTTCTTTTTACTCCCCTTGATTAGAATTATACTTAAAATATAGCTCCTTATCACCCAATTGTTTCCGATGTTGATTCCAGTCATATGAAACTGTTATTGACTGTATATGTGTAAATCATCAGGATTCCAAGCTCTCTTTCTACTTAGCTCTGTCTAGTTTTTGAACATATGTTTAATGTCTATAATCTACTATAATCTTTAATAATAACTATAATATATAAACTTTCATGGCATCTTCTTTGGACGCCATGGTATGTGGCAGGTTGAACCAATAATGAAGAAGGCCAAGGAGAGAAACATTTGTAATTTTGTATTACTGACACCTCCCCTCTCAGAGAAAATGTTTCTTAGAGTAAACACTCCTGCCCAAACGCATAGCTGAAAAAGTATAAAACAACGAGAATGCCCTGATATGCCCTCACCTTCATCAACCCCTCTACAATTAACTGTCACCCTTTTTGGCAATGACATCATGCAAAAATAGTAAGGAAAACATAAAAGAATTTAGTCACGTGCTTCTTTCTTAATTCACATTTGTATTTACCCTTGTATACATGCCAAACATAGGTCACTTCCCTGGTGCTCAAATTGAACATATTAGAGTCACCTGCATTCAATGATCTTATTCTACTTACCTTACTTTATGCGAATTATGAGTTTAACCTTCTAGAATAAAACTATGAGAAAATTATGCCTTAAGTTGTTACATTAGAAATGCCTCTGGGCACTGGTTCCCTCACTTTTCCTTGTGCCCAGCACTTCCTAACCCGTTCTACCCCGCTCTTACACCTAACTCAGCACTTTCTTTGGGGCTGTAACATTCTTCCCTGCTTCACTTTTTTCCCTTGTGCTTTCTCTGTGACTGTGTGCCAGCTTCTCTTTTTTCTTCTTTGGTTGTGTTGTTGCTGTGTTATCAGGGTTATTGCACGTGTCAGTATTAAAATGTAAATAAATACCTGTGCACTTGGCTAAATCCATCCTTATACTTTGTAAATTATATCTATTGTCTCATTTTCTACCCTTTCATTATCATATCCTTTCTCTTTCTAACAAAAGAAAAAAAAAATAATGAATCATGAAATAAATAAAAAATATATGTATAAATCCAAAAACAAAGATTACTAATAAAATAAAAGTAAAGGAGCAGTATTAACAAAGTTGTTTGCATTTTTGTTGAAACATAAAATACACGTTATATAGGGTTAGTCTTCGAGGTGAGCTGTCGTGATAGTTGTTGAAACTCATGTCTAGGAAGACTACTAGTTACATTGGCTTTTTTGTAGCACTCTAAACTATTTCATTTATCTAGGACTGATAGCTACGTTACTTTTTTTATTGTATGGTTCATTAATTATTATTTTTTGGTTGTGAAGTTATTGTTGCTGAAAATGGAAGGCTGAAAAACATAGAGACCATTGCAAAGCGGTTTGCCGAGTTGGCAATGGCATACAAAGGCGAAGTGAAAGCAATCGTGACCACTGTCTTTGTAAGTAGTGTCACCTCTGAGAGTATTTCCACAAACTTAAATTGTAGCTGGTTAGTTATCCATTCTGAAAAAGAGCTAGTATATTAGCGTACTCTACACCTACAGATCGTTGCTGTTTTATTGCTTACTATTTTCTGCTGTAAACAGTCTAAATGCTCCTACGCTTATATTAGTGGTTGGGTATGTTGGTGTTTTGTGAAATTATATTAGCATTGGCTTTTGAATGCTCTGTTGGATGTGTTAAGAAGTTATGTCATTGACCAACTGTGTGATTGGATTACTCCATTACCTAACTATATTTTTGTGCCAGCCTCTTCCCCCTGAAGAGGAAAAGGCTGTGAAGGAGACTCTTCAGGAAATAATAGGTTCCGGAGCAAAGATTCATCTTGAACAGAAGGTACTAGTGTGGTTATTTTTCCACCTGCGATTATGTGTGCGTCTTCTGAGTGCAAGTTGTTGATTTGAGATATATATTTTTCCTTTTGACTTTTCAGATTGATCCAAGCATACTTGGTGGTCTTGTTCTGGAATTTAGCCAGAAGGTCTTTGACATGTCTATTAAGACCAGGGCACAGCAGATGGAGAGGATCCTCCGAGAGCCCATATCTATTGCCAACATCTAAACGACAACATTTTCTATTTATAATCTGTGTTCTCATGGTTTAAGAAAGAAGTATTACATTCTTGTTCATTATAAATTGTGTGGATCCAGATTTTTATCGGATGGAATGCCATCATTTTGCAAATAAAAGCTACCTCTTTCCAACTTCTTATTTTTCATCGCCATCTCAGTGTATCTGAACATGTTTTGATTTGGCATTTTGTAGAGTTTTAATTAGTGGGTGTAGCCTTTGTCATGGATACCTAATTGAGACTATTAATCAGAGTATCAAATGAACAGCTACTTTTTGCTGTTGTAAGATTTCACAAATTGATTCTGGTGGCTCTACTCATTTTTTATTTTCTTAAATTGAGACGTTATGTATTCATCAATCTGAAATTGCTAAGTACACAAGAAGTTTGTAAGGGTCTATTATTTTAATTGATGACAAATAATATTCACTCTGAATGTATACATTGTTTGAGTTGAATTCCAAGATTATATAGCCTGGTTATTTCAATGCATAGAGCATGTGATAGGTTTAAAGTGTTGTTTCCTGGGCGGGTTACTACAATTTAAAGAAAAGTCATCGGTATTATTTAGGGGGCCACTTTGTTCATAAGATTACATCTTGTTGAGAATGAAAAAATGGGCAGAAGATAGTTTGGGATTTGTGGAAACAGTTGAAGAGTAAATATGCTAATATTAAAGTATATGTCCACTTTTATAGTAAAATTAGACATATAGTTTTCAAATATAGAAGTTTTATTTGTTTTTTATATATAAATGTTAATTTGAACTAAAAATTTAATACAAATTTATAATTAATCAATAAAAAAATATAAAGATGACATTAATATTAAGATTTATGTTTTTTTTTGTCATTATCTCTTGTAGAATTTTGTTTGTTATGAATTTGAAATTTGTAATCTAATTTATATTATTTCATGATGTAATATTAATCATTTAAATTAGATTATGTTATAAATAATATAAACTTGGAGTAAGATAATTTTTTTTTGCATGTATATAAATTCTTTTTAATTTAATAATTTTTGAAATCTTATTTTTAAAGTTTGTTTTTGTATTTTGAAAAAAATGTCCATATACTACTCTTGACCCATAAGATTTTTATGAGCATTTTAGTCTAAGAACTTTTTTTAAGTGGACATTTTGATCCTATTAATTTTTTTTAATAAAAAGGTGTATTTATTATTTTGATAAAAGAGTATGTTTGGATATAAAAAGAGTTATTAAAATCTTTTTATTTTACAAAAATAAAAACAATTTCTAGAAGATAAAATTTTTAAAGCACTTCAAATTTAAATGCAAACAAGTTCTAAGCCTCGAAGATTCAACGTCTAAACTTTCTAATTTTCATTTGTTCAGAGATATTTCTTCCACCAAGAGCATGTAGGTCGAACCATCTTATAATTTGTACCTCTTCTGTTTCTGCTACTTGTTTACCATTCATACATCCGGCTAACATTACACAACAAGGATGAAAATATGATAGAAGCATCTGCATTTGATATGTAATTGTAAAATTAACATAGTTTTCAACATTTGCATTCAAATCTCCCTTTCAGTAACCAATTCTGCTGTTAACTAGACACAAATGGACTCTTCTCCAAGTCAAAGCTAGGTGAAAAACAAAAATCTGTGCCAGGTATAATAAACAATTTAGCACTCAACATCACTTAACTCTACTACAAAATCAGAAGAATGAGCATTCGCAAGCAACTTGTCGAACTATCATGTAGTATTATCTCTCACCTGCAAGGAAAGACATTTTAAAAGTAACAATTATCAGCATGTATTAGTTTTTTCTTTCCTTTTTTAAATTAAGACACTAATTATGTTGAAATTTTGTTGCTAAAGTTTAATTTTACCTCAAAAATGCTTGTATTTAAAATTTTCAAATATTATTCGTAGAAAAAATAGAGCAGTTCCTAATAGGTTGAACTAACTGGTTCGACTGAATGAGCATGGCCTTAACAATAGTTGGTTAAATTCCTGTAAACCTGATTTAATCAGTTTATCCAAACTAACACAAGTATTTTGGTTAGGTTTCATCAACCTATTTGGATTATTGATGACCCAACAGAACTTACAACGAAATATTTCAACACAGAATTACTGTAACTATCGATACTAACCTTTAAGAGTTAATACTTGATGTCCCAAAGCAAAGAGGAATTTTTGGTATTAACCGCATATTTAAGTTCAGGTGACACCCTCCCAGACATTCTATGTGATGACAACCTTGACCTCAAAACAGCTAGCAACTCCTTATGACGTGATTCCTTTCTCTTAAGTACTTGTACGTAGGCATGAAATCCAAGCCATTCCACTTCTTCCTTCTCCAACTTGAGAATCGGCTGCACATCTGAATTAAGACTCATGGAGTACATCCTTTTCTTTATCAGCAGGTACATATATCTAGCAGTTGATCATGAAAGAAAACATAATTGATTAATGGTTGTACTTCATAGAGTTGAAATATTCAGAAAGAAATACATAATCATTTGATTGAAAACTCATGCAGAGCATCAGTTTGATGAGAAATAATAGGTTAGATTCGGAAAGAAAACTATATAATCTGTTTTATTGATTCTGAACAGTGAAAAAGTAAAAGTAGAAGATGCTGACTAAAGTTTTACAGAGTTGTGCTAAGTTTTCCAACTGACAGGTAAGATCCAACTGTTACTAACTACTTATAGTTACACAAACTAAAAGAAAAGTCAATCAAATCAACAATGAGAAAAGGAAGTCATAATATCAGGCTCAAAGGTAAGATTATATTTTACATTCATACCTCAACGATCTCTGAATAATGTTTGAACAGTATCTTTTGTGAAGTTTGCAGATGAAAGATAGATCCCGAATATAACAATGAAACTTCATAGCGCATAACAAAAATACTTGATAAATATTTAATCTGACAACAGCTGCGGAATTTATATTCGAATCGAAGAATAGCGGGTGACATTTTGGTCTTAGAAAGAGACACAGCTTCTCCTTAAGATTAATGCCTGGTTTACCTTGCCAACGAACAGTAAGTGTCGAGCTTAAATGGTTACCCAAATACCTGGTAGGCACATGGAACTACTTATTTCAAGGAAAGAACCAAAAGATGTTTCACATTATAAATAATTTCACATACATCAATCAGATGACAACATTAAATAATCTGAAGTTCCAATTATGATTAAAGGTAAACAATCTAATAAACATCCTGAACACATTTCAGTAGAAATTGAACCTTTTGCTTAATAAATAGGGTAATCTGTAGACTTCTCCAATTAGAATCTAATTAACCCCTGCCCTAAGACCCTATTTCTGAGAACAGATCAACAGATTATCAATTACAATTTAGCTTAACACGTATAGAGACATTTTCTTACCCACACCTAAACCAAGACAAACAAGCATATTATGCTTACAAAGTTATTTTACCAACACAGTTCAAACTACAGATGGTAATAAGAGATGTTTGGAGTCAACTTTATGTTTTTCCGTTTAAAGTCTCACGGGATAATTACCACAATAACTCAGCAGTGAACTGTTTTCTTTTGTTTATAAAATGTCTATAATTATTTGCTACATGTCTTGCATCAACTGAAAAATGACTTTGGTATCTGTTTACTTATTTTTTTAATAGAATTCAGAAATCTTATCACAATTTGAAACTCCATACTCAAACATTAATGATCAGTAAATCCAGAAGCAGATGTCCATCTATCAAAATGCTAATTGTGACAGTAAGATCTATAGAAAAGCTTTAAATGAAGATTAACTTGGTGTAGTCAGCCTGAATTTCCATAGTGTTGCAATTGATAAGAAGACCACTCCATGGAATAAATGAAGTGGTACCATCTTCACCCACAGAAACCCTGTTCAAGGAGGAGCGTGATATCTGTTCTACATCAAAGTTCGCACCAAACTTTTTCCCATTCATGTAGCAATTGTAACCACGAAATCCTCTTTGTAGCCTGGAGAAAAAGCTATCTGCCTGCTTTTTAGAGGTTGATATAAAAAGGAAATCATCAATAAATCGCATTAGCATGTACGGGGAAGGTGAGACTCTATCATCACAGTTGGTTTGGCCAGCATTATTCTCCCTGGAGCTGCTGCCTGATTCAAGAGTCTTATCAAGAAATGGAAATATTACATGTTTCTCCAAATGTCCATAATATATGGAGCAAAGCAAGGGTGACAAAATTCCTCCCTGGGGAATGCCAACATCTTGCAAGTAAAATTTTCCATCAAACTGCAAAACATTGTGCTTTACATGCTCCATAAGATAGGAAAACAGAACTTTCTTTTTGACAAGCTTCCATCGTTCCTGATATGTACAATTAGACTAGCTTATTTTGATGAAACATTGATTTCATTTGCAGCATCCTGAGAGAGCTTTAAAAAAAAAACAAAAAAGAAAAAAACTGTTTCCTAGAAAAAGAAGGCAATACCGAAGATCCATTTAGCATTGTGTTAGGCATGGACCTACACTAGTAAGTAGTATTAACAGTTATCAATCTTGAATAGTATTAGCAGTATAGAACAGCTGATCCCATAACAGCTTTAATGGGATAACAAATAGTGAGATAGACACTTTTACGAAATTTGATATATATATATATATACAATTTCCTAATGTGCAAATTGAATCATGATAACCGAATGGAAAGGAATGATTCAAATTGTCTTTTGTGTCTCAGACAATGCCTGGACCATGGAATCTAGCATATAAACATAATTAAATTAAAACAAAATGTCAGTTTAAAATAGGAGTAATTTTAGTGTCTTTCTCAGCTGAAATATGGGTGTACAAACAATATGGGATGAGAAGAAAAAGTTTAAAATAATATACATCTCCGACACCCACACAACATGTTGGCTAATCATATATAGGTGGAAGAGAAATATCATATTTATGCGCTTATGCTTGAATGTGTAAACTTGATGCAACCAAAAATGAAACAGAATAGATGATGACAGGATGTGCAGTATACACACTCTGGTGACTTCCTATGAAAAACGGTACCTGGTTAACAAAGACAGCATGCCGAGAAGGAAAGGATGTAAATGAAGTGAATCGTGTGTGATCATTTTTGCTTTTATCCAACATTGTAAGTTGCTTTTGAACCCACAGAGACTTCCTTGTGCAAACAACTTGATCATACTGCTTAAGAAAATATTCATCCTTCAGTAGAATATTTTTAACTATGCCAAGAAGGTTGTTCTGATCAATAGAATCAAATGCTTGCAACACATCAGATGTAACAATGAATAAGTTCGGCATAGTTCCTGACTTTTTCTTTTGGTCAACCAAAAAGGGGCATAGTTTTCTGTAAACATCATTATAGTCAAAAACTGAAGAACCTAGCTTGTCAGGTTCCTCAAACAAAATTCCTTTTAGAATAGTATGGGCATCACGAAGAACAGAATTTACAGAAGGAAAATGTTCATACTTGATTTTCTGGTATTTTACCTTCCCTTCAGTTCTACCATTTTGAATTCCCACAGTGGACAAATGTAATGGCATTGTTGAAGAACCTTTCAGATTTGCCACCATCCTTACTCCATTTTCTTTTGGTTGAAGCCTAAGCTTTGAAAACCCAAACGGTCTATCTCTCAGAATATTATGTACAGCCACATCATCCAGGTAACTGTATCTCCAGTCTCTGAAGCAAGAAATAGTGTTAGCGGCCAACTTCTCCCACACTGGTTTTGGATAATAGTAAATATCTTGTTTCCCTTTCTCACTTTCAGTAACATAGAAGTTTGCTTGCAGCAAAGGTACAACCAGACAAGAGAAATACCAGAAGATCCACTTCTCCAAAAGCTTACGTTTGACAACATATACCGCATCATTCCAATTCTTGAATTCTTTTTGCCCTTGGACACGGCTATTTTGACTATTTAGAAAATATTTATTTGATAAGAAAGGAAATGATGATATTTTAAGTTTGTGCATGCAGAGATTTAAAGGGAATTTCTCAAATCTTCGTAGGTGTATGAACTTGGAAATATTTCTGCTCATTATTCTCCAAGTAGGAGGAGTACCTAATAATTCGGAAGGAAGTAAACTCCTAGAAACAGCCCATATGAAAGATACAACTTGACTTTTTGAGCAGTATGACTTAAATGCATCAGATTTTGAATATACTGCTTCCAAAGTATTTTCACAGTGTTTAGTACCAAACTCCTCATATTTCTTGTGCAAATTTGTCTCTGATTCTTTGTCCTGCAGAAAAAACTTGGTTTCAAAGGAATAAAATATTTCTTTGAATATGGGAAAGTAACCTATTATAACTACTACTAGGAAAAAACTACAAACTTGTAAGCATTTTAGAGATTGTAATCATCAACTTGAACCAAAAATGTAGCCATGCACATTAACTGAGAATTCTAGGGAAAGCTTTACATAACCTCACCAACGAAGTGGAAACTTCTTGAATCAACCAACATAGTAGAATTTTAGTATATTAATTAAAAGGGGACAAAAAATAGAACCTTAAGTCCGCAACTTGATCTTCTAATTGTTTTTTTATCCAACGATGGAAAAACACAATGCTTATTCAAGAGCTTTGTATGTTGGCAACACCGTGTCCTACGAATGAGATGCTTAAACCACTTAACAAGGGAGTGGTACCTGCAGAAAAAAGTACTCAAATTTAAATAATTACAACTTAAAACAAATAAGACCTTTCATCATTCACTTTGAATTCCAGTATATACAAAGCTCATCTATACTGCTGGATGGGAATTGTTGAAAACTGAAATAATAAAAAGAGCAATTCAAAAATATGGAGAAACAAGTCACAGGGATTGATGGACACCGAAACACCTATGCCACTATAGGTAATTAAAATACAATTCCAAGACCTCAAAGAGAGTGAAAACTCTCAATGTGGCACAATGTCTAACTAATGTGGATCTTGGATTTTTCCTAAACTTCCTTCATGTCCAACTTTATTGGACTTGGTACTGGATAATATACTAGGTGACCTTTTAATGAATCCAGAATAGACACTGATATCGTCTTAAAATTGAGTTTGAGTCTCATTTAACCCCAAAAAACCAGTAAGGTGATAGTTGTTGGAAGCATTCTACACATAATTACATTGTACAACATTAAGAATCCTTTTATAGAAACTTAGCAGGCAAAATGTTGAAACTTGAAATCAAAGTATCTTCTAACACAATTGCAGGAATGTTTTAAATCAGGCCTGCAGCATCATGAAGTTCAAGCTCCAAAGTATAAAGATAATTGGGTAGCAGAATAAAATAAGCTTCAAAGTTATTATGAGCACATATTACAGGGCAAGAACTTGGGACCTTATCAATGATTTAATAAAATTGAATATGCAATAATATACATTCACATTTAAGAATGTATTGTAATTAAAAGGGCCTGCCTGAACTTACAGGCATACAGAACCAATGAGACATGAGCCCCTGCTGTGCAAACAAGACATTGGCTGAGCACTGGCATTTACATCTGAGAAGCCAAAAATATTGCCAATGAGATGCTTTGAACAAGCCAAATTTGGCTTTAAGGAATATAAAATATCTGAAGATAATTTGTGAAGGTAAAGTATATTATCTTTGAATTAGAAGAAGGAGCAACACAATAGGCTCTGACATTAAAATGCTAGGGTAAAATAATGGCTATAAGGAACTTGAAGAGCAAGTGATTGTGAACGAATTCATAAGACAATTCACGTTTGAGCTTGTAAACATGGGAGCAATGCCGTATAAAGTATTAAAATATCAATGATGATGGGAACCCAAAAAATCCCATTCCAAGAAGGGACATGTACAACATTGAATAGAGTGCAGGTCTTTTCTTTGGTGCGTAGAGAGGATTGTTTGTAATTGTTTGTCTTGTACATACGTGAGTACTTCTTTTTGCAAAGAAGAAGAGATACATAAATAAGGAACAAAATCAATAACTAATAATAAGATATATCTATTTAATGTAATTAAACCATATCTCTAACATAGTGGATACGTTTCTTTGGAAGAACTGAACCAGAAGACTCCAGGCTATAAAAAATACATTTCCTTTTGATATCAGTCCTCTTAGGAACAGCTGGAGGAGATTGCAAGATTAAACAGCAAGAACATTGCAATGACATCTGCAGCTAAACAACATTTAAAGAGCATGTGAATATAAGATAAACAACTACTGGAAGATAAGTTATGCCAAATTAGAATTGAAAGAGTAAATTACTATTGGTGAAGATTGAAATAAGCCCCATAGTCATCTTATGGTCCATCGTTTATATTTTTGGTAACACAGGTGTAACCTACCATCAACATCTCAACACTCACTCTTTCATTAACATATTCCATAATTATAATCTGCATTTTTCTTAAAAAAAGGATTTACTGTAGACTAAATAGAATATGAAATTATAGTTATGTCCATCAACAGTTTTTTATCAGGCAGGCTAGTTTTCGCTGTTTCTTTATGAGTTTTTGCTCAATGGATTTTAAAGGTGGTTGCAATTCTTGCAAAAAGGAGTAGGTCTTATAACTGAAGCAAATTCCTTTTCCCTTGTCTGATGTTATTTCGTAACCTTAGGCAAATTATTATGCTTCCCTTCTATCTTGGTGAATTACAAAGAAGTACCTTGTGTATATGGTGATAATGCTGATTTTGAGGGCATTTATTGCATGTTTCTCATTGTAAATAGTTACTTTTTGCAGAGGGTTTCAACCATGGTACAAATTGCTATAAGTCAGATTGTGGCTCTTGAGAATTACTATTTTCAATACCACTTACTGATGCAAGTGGTAATTGGAAGCAGAAAATCTTAACTATTATAGCAATTCATAAAAAGATCACATAATTCCATCAAAAGTAAAGACCAAAGGTAAAAAAGATCAAATATAATGCAAACAGATTAAGATTACATAGCAGACAATCTGAATTATTGCTAGCACTTCATAAAAATATCACATCATTTCATCAGCAGTGAAGACCAAAGGTAAAAATGATCGAATATAATGGAAATAGACTACATTATATTTCCTCCAGTTAGAAATGGACTGGGTCAACTCAGGTACTCCACTACAAAGTTAGCTCAATGAAGGATATTTCCCAGTTCTCGAAAGGAGTACTCTACTCATGTTACAAGAACATCTGAACACCAACAATATAAAACTATAATGAGATGTCTATAGAAGTTTAAATTACTCTAAATGTTGAATGGTTACAAAGAGTCAATAATTATTATCATTATTGCACTATGCACTAAATCCAAAGAAGTAAAAGAGCATAAGGATTGCCTTCATTCTTATCAATCCATACCATTATAAAACCTATCACACAAAAAATTATCGATATTTTGCATTGATGCTAGTAAAAAAGTGCGGAGTACATGAAGAATACAAGTTTGATACAGAAATGAGTCAAATACATACCAAAATTTCAGGACAAATGTTTGTAAGTGGCATTCTACTATATTTCATAGAAACAATTGATCACCTTTGCATGAGAACTTGAGATGCTGGTGTTTGGCTGAGAACTCGCATGCAGGATATCTGTATCCGTGCCAAGGACATTGAAATGTACATGTCGACTATGTTCTTCAAAATTTAACTGCTTTTGCATTTTGCAACTGTGCCGTTGCCAGCTAAATGGCCTGGAACGCTTTCCAAGCTTAGGTGTAATACAATTTGAGCCTTGTTTCCCTTCAGACTCCAACTTCCTAGTTGTAGTTGACGTGGGAGATTCAGAGACACTGACATCAGAATTCCTGCTCCCATGATGCCTGATCCGTTGCATTGAAGACTTATCAGTTTTGCCAAGGCTACCTGAAAAGCCCAGAGGATCATTGGTACGGTAAGAGGCATGGCACTTTCGTTTCTCTACTGGTAGGTCATCAGCATCAGCTCTTTTCCTCTTCTGTTCACCTGTTGCAAATAAAACCCATTATTACAACATCTTACCAATAGTGAAGAAGGACAAGGATATTCCCAAAATGTCATGTTTCTCTAAACTCATAAGTTCTCTTGAAAAATGACACAAGATAGAAAAAACAATAAATTGGCTCAAAAACATAGACAGTTCATTCATTTCTGAGTTTATCCATTACTGATATACAGGAAATATGGTAATGGTTATTGATTTCTCAGATGTGATGTGACAATTTACATTCAAATCTTCTAAGAATTTTAATGACTAGACATGTAATTTAAAGATTATAGTATCAAATATTAATCAACAGTCTAGCATTGTAGCAGATTGATCGTAGTATTAGAAGTCTAAATGAATAAGAAAACCTTGTGTACTTTAAGAAACAACATGGATTGAAGGGGTCGATCCATTTATACCAGGTGTAAGTCTAAAAAGATTTATACCAAATCCCAACAATTAATTTTCTCAAATATGATGCCTCATATCAGTTCATGGATATGATTGTTGAAAACTGTCAAGCTCATGTATATGGTTATTGAAGATTTGAATAGAGAAAAATTTACAACCATATCCATGCACTGATGCGAACCATCAGATTTGATAAGATTAACGGTTGGGATTTAGTGTAAGTCTAACGCCCGGTGTAAACGGTTCCTAACTGGATTTAAACATGCATTTATATTACAGAAATAACAAAATCATAGTGTGAAAGACAGACACTTACCATATGTTTGATAGCCAAACTTCCGCGAACCCTTGAGCATATCAAAACATAGACAACTAATAGGAGGACCTCCCACCTGGTGGTGTTTTCCATGGGGAGCTGGCAAGAATATTGATGTATTTGCTAGTAGGTAAATCATAAAATCATTTCCAACCTGCATGGATAAAAGGTTTTACCTAGTTTTGATAAGGAAAACGTATAAAGAATAAAAAACTAGATTCATCTAAACAATGATCATCCTCAATAAATATCTCGATATCATCACATACCCTGCTTAACAGAAGACACCAAGGTGCACAGGATAAAAGCTCTACAGTAAGGCTTGAACATTTACTCTGCATATGAACAAAATAATTGAATACCTGACATATGAATGCACACACTAGAATTCTAATACATGCTTCTGTGTATAATAGTTGAGAGTTAAAAGGGTAAAGACATGGATGTCTTCCTAATCAGTGACCACCCTCTAGAAATAAAGAAAGGAATGTGTTTGTTTTCCAGTTACTTCCAACTGAACGTGAATCCAGTCTCCCCCTTCTCGATTTCTGTCTTGGAAAGTGGGAAAACAATGTTCAATGTGGTTCAAACGGAACAAGCACCCTAAATCATATAAGTCCTCATAAAAGATTATATTATTTCATCCTTGGATCACCAATGCATTAGCGTAAATCCTCCATTTGACAACACCAAATACTTAACTCAATTCGCAGTGCATAACCATAGTTGGAGAACTCAGGATCAACAACACATTAATTAATAAAACCAATAATTTTAGATAGTACCAAATGAACGCTATTGCATTATAACTCGATGAAATATTCAATCCAACTTTATGAATAATACCCTGATAATGGAAAAACAGCAACAAAGACAATAAAAGGAACAATGCCCGAGTATCAAAAGTAACGCAAATAACCTAAAAAATTGTACAGCACAAAATAAGAAAGGAAGAAACTTGTCACCCTATCATAACCAGAGCACAACACATTGGAAACTGCTGGTTCCCTACGATGCAGCATCTGCTCAATGGTCCTCTTTACAATCTGAAAGTCAAAATCAGCATTTATAAACCATTATCTCAAGGATTTTACCCAAAAACCAAACCCCAACACGGGGGGAAAGCACATCCTACATTTTTCAGCATGTAAACTGGTAAAAACAGAAATCAAACAGTGATAACAATAATGTATAATATTCAGAATGAAGTGAAAAACAGTGTAGTAATCTCACTTGAGGATGGAATTAGATATCCGAGTATCAGTAACCTAAATGGAAATTAGCAGAAAACAGTCAGGGAAACCGTCTGCTTCCTTGCCCAAGCCTATGTCTAATTCTCATGGACAGATTTCCTCCCCCAGACCCCCTCTCTATATAACAGATTCCTCTTTCTCATAACCACCATAGCCCCCTGCACCTTGCCCCTCATTTTTTTTAATCTAAATCAATCCCACAAAACTGGTTTATAGGTAACTACTCTCCCCCACTTATTTATATCATCTCTCTAGTTTATGTGATACTTGTTTTTTTTTTTTCAATACATCCTCTCACGCTTCGCACTATTGGACTTGAAGCAGTAATAATATTAAAAAGTTGCTCAATAAGTCGATAATGGATTAGATAGACTTTATACCATCTAGTAATATGGGTTTTGAATATGAATACCACAAAACTGGAGTGAGAGCTGTCCAACTTATGTACATTATTATTTTGGTACTATCTCTAAAGCTTGGGTTTTTTTCCAATAAGGATTAAGGATATAAAAAAGAAATTCTTGTTCAGATGATATTATAAAATGATGATCAAAATAGAAACTATCTTGTTAAAATGTCAAACAAACGGGAGAGAACATCAAACAAGCATTTGGTACCTTATTTTGAAAATATTAATAAATATTTTCATTTTTTAAGCAATTTTAAATGATAACTATTAATCTCACGTGGAAATGAACTACAAAAAACACGAACGTAATCTAAATTCCGAAGCCGTTGGTTCTCCACAAGCATTCTTTCGAACCGCAAAATGTGTCATCATTTGACGCGAAGAAAAAAAAAAGCACAAAGCAGCAGCACTTTTTAATACCTGATCTTGGGGCAAGCCGGAGAGAGGGACGAAGAACGGGAGCGAAGGTGCGTTTTCCGAAACGACGATGTAGCACTGCGTGAGGAGTTTGCGGTAATCGGAGGGATCGTCGGGTCGGAGGAGAAAAGACTTGGCGTCGAGGGTGCAGCCAAGGCAACGGCGTCCGTCGCAGCGGCAAAGCTGCGGCGGAGGAGGGAGCAAGGACGTGATGGTGTCTGAGAGGGTTCGCGCTCGGTGGCGGAACATGCGCCACAAAACGCCGGGAACCGATGGCTTGTTGCGCTTCCTCGCCATTTTGCCGGGAAAACGAGGGAAAAGTGAAAGACAAATAGTTTTTCAAACTTCAAAACAGAGAGAGAGAGAGAGAGAGAGAGAGAGAGAGTGCATTTGTATAGTTCATGTTTGGATTAGATTTTTTTTTTTTAATCGACTCCAATATTCCAAGTCAAAGCAAATAAATACTTGCTTCCACTCTTTTAATTTTTCAACGTGATTTTAAGAGCCACGTTTCCGGTGTTATCCAAACATGCATTAACTTTTACAGTTGGGTAGATTGTTTCTGGGAACTGGAAGTTGAACGTGAAGGGATAGAGAAGCCGTTCAACAATCTTTAAGTACATTATTCATAATTGAACTATTTAAATTGAATTAAATTTTGACTAATAAAAATATTAAAAGATTTTAAAATTGGTGTCAAAATGTGTTCTTTTTTTTTCTTTAATTTTAACTTTTTTTTTAATTATTTTAAATCATTTATATTTGTATTATAAATATAAAATAAATAAATAATTTATATAAACGTTTCTTTCTTATTAACAATTTATATATATATATATATATATAGTCCATAACACAGTAGATAAAATTAAAATATTTATTTTAATTTTTTCATTTATCCGTTTATAATATAAAATGGATAAAATAATTTATTACAAGTCTCGAATAAATAATTTATTCACATTTTTTTTTACTACAAAGTAATACAAAGATAAAATGATTTGTTAGAGTCTCACATTCTTAAACTTTAGATTATAAAAACAGTTTATTTACACGAAGACGAGAAAACAGAAACATATTATTTGAGAATCACATTATACAAATACATATCCATATTTTCTCTTGGAATTGATGGCATTAAGGGGGCCATTAAGCCCTGTAAGACATCAACTTTATTTATGAGATAGCAATATGATGCATGGCATAAGATCTATACATTGATTTAGTTGTGGCCCTCAGAAAGGGAATCATTAACTTTTTCTAACACATCAGTTGAAAATTTTAACATGATGTGAGGATCAGAAGTTTGGTCATTTTGTTTCTCATATTCCAGAGCCAAATTTGCAACACCTCCCTTTTCCAATGGAGTAACTTGCAGGATATACTTGAAGCTCTTGTAATGTTCCAGCAGATTTCCATCTATAACCTTGAAGGTTATTTTGTGGTTTTTCTTGTCTATGCTTTCAATCACCTCCTTCACCACCCAAGCTTTTCCCTCTGTTGTTACAGAAAACAGATATATTTATTAACACATGTGTACACCATTAATTTACTCTCATCACTCAGAGTCAAGTTGAAATGAACCCTTATAATAAATAGTTCACAGTACTCATACAATTTTCATATATTAATTATATCAGTGACAGTAATTTGATTTAAAAAGATTGGAAATTTGTCATACCAAACAAAATCTTCCAGGCGATGATGGATCCTTCATTGCCCCATTCACCTTCATAAATTTCAACAGATTGTACTTTTTCAGGGAAAATGTTTCCAATCTGGTGTGTTTTGTTGCAGAAAACATCATATAACTTCTCAGCAGATACTTTGATATTCACTTTACTTTCCATCTTCTGAGTTTGAGAGTAAGCCATCTTTGCTTAATTCTAACAAGGTATGGAGAATGAATAAACAGTGAAGCTATATATATATAATAATGTGAAAAAAATAGAAAATGTGTTATTGTTGTGCAAAAATGAAGTACTTTATTTTTATATTTGTTCACTTGTTATTTAATTTACGTGGTCTTTGTTCTTTTACTTATTCTCTTTCTTACCGAATAAAACGAAAGTTATTGGAGATAACAGCAGAACCACACCATGGAAGCATCTCCTTTCCTTTGCAGAAAGTGGTTTCGATAAAGATGCTGCCATTAAATTAAATTGATTACAAATAAAATTGCTTGAAATAAACTAAAAACTGAAAAGCTATAGAGAATATGTTTTAAAAATAAGATATTTAATAGATTAAACAATTTAGGTATGTCAACAAAACCACCACTAACATCTTCTATATTCTTTCCTTTCCACATATCTGGTTTCTGATAAAGATGCTCACAATAATTGATTCTGGGTCTCACAAAAGCACAAAAAAGAGTGATCATCATACAAAATTCTTCCAATATATATATATATAAACTTTCATTTTAGAATAACGCTTATAATAATGATAAGTGAAAGCACTTTAAAACTTACATTAAAATGAAAAATAACAAAGACTTGAAATTAAAACCTAATTAAAATTAAGTTGCGTGTTTTTTCCTTTCTGTTGCTAATATGTTCATACTTATTGTTGTTCTATGATATTTTCATTCAATTCATGCTTGGCAATTAAAAGGTTGTTTATTTTTTAATATACATGATGAAAGCAAACACAAAATGAGTGATTTAATTTTCTTTTACAATTTCATCTGCATTATTCCCATAAATTAAAATAAAGTTTATGTACAAGGACTATATTACACTTTAGTAATAATATGAAGAAAATTATTTAAAATAAAAAATAAATGTTATTAGGAAACATGCAAATAAAAATAGGTTTTTCTTCCTATACTTTCGTAATTTCTTCCTGTATTTTTATAATCTCTTCCACCCTTTTATTAATTTTTATTTGAAATCCTAAAAAGTTTTTTTATTACTGTGTTCCTTTACGTCTTTTCAACATCTCCATAACTCGTGTATCTTTATTTTGTTAACTTTCCACCCCGGATAAACATTGTTTTCTCCTTTGAAATTATTAATATTAATACCCATTCTAATATTTATGAAAAACTAGATTAAAAGTTTATATAGAAATTCTAACCGTTCAATCCAAAATATATTTTTTTACCTGAAGTAAGTTTTAAAATAATTAATTCATAAATTATTTTTTTAATATCTAATACAAAAATGTATTCCAAATTAGTTGTTATAAAACTCATTTTTAAATTGGATGTTCTATAAGTACATTTTAAATTGAATGTTTTGAAAATGAATTTTAGAATAACTAATTTAAAATGTGTTTCTAGAAAATCAAATATAAAATGAGAAATGTGTTTCTAGAAATCTTATTCTAAAGCCACAATTATTATGATATTTAAGATACTTTTTCAGATAAAAAATTAGTAATAATTAAAAATAATTTAAGATTCTTATCTTTTTTTGAAATATAAATTTAATTGCTAACCAGTGAATGAACAATAAAAATATTAGACAATTTATAAATAAAAATAAATATAAGATAAATACGAGGATATATGATTTATTTTGATTATAGAAGGATAGAAAGATATTAAAGAGATATGGAGAAAGAATCAGTCTAAAACTAATGAAGTGCTGAATAAGATTTTTTTTTTTCAATAAGGACGGGACCGAAAAAAAAAAAAATCTTGATAGCACACTGTTTACAAAATTACATACCATATATTTTACTGTATGCTCGAAATTCGACTCGCAAAGGAACATCGAATTTTAACCCTAAAAATTAATAAATTTTTAAAATATAATAATATTTATTAAATATAAAAATTAAATATAAATATATAAATATATATATATTTAAATAAAATAAATATTTAAATATTATATATATTTTAATTTTATTTATACAATTATATAAAATAAATATAATTTTTTTTATATGACATAAAAATATATTTATAAAAATATATTATTAATATATTTTTATAAATATAGTAAATACAAATATATTTAATATATATATAGTATATTTTTTATAAAGATAATAAAATTTAATAAATATATATTTATATCTTTCTACATAACATTTTTACATAAATAAATTATATATATTATTTAAATATATTTTTAAAATAAAATAAATTTAATAAGTAAAAATAATATTTTTAATAGAAATATATATATATATATATATATATATATATATTTATTATATTTTAGTATATTTATATATATATTTTTATAAATATGGTAAATACATATTTGTATTTTGTTATATATATATATATTATAACTTTATTAAATATAATATATATATATATATAAAATTATATATTTAAATATTTAATAAATACATTATATATATATATATAATAACTTTATTAAATTATATATATAATAATGAAGTATTTATTTCATATAAATATTTTTAGGAAATAGAAATTATAATTTTCTATTTTTTCCATATAAATATAATGTTTAATATATGTATATACTTTTATAAATATATGTATATATACATATATTTATACATTTAATAAATACATATTTATATTTTTATATATATATATATATAAAAGAATATATTTTTAATATAATATTTAAGTATTTATTTAATAGAAAAGATGTTTAGTAAATAATATAATATTATACAAAAAATAATTTTATTTAATTTTGATACAATATAAAATAGATTTGGTATAAATATTTATTTAAAATTCTGTATAAATAAAAATTCGAATTAGATAATTTTAGTAAGATATATAATTTGAATTTAAGTGAATTGATATTTTAGATATTAAATCAATGAAACATGAATAAGCAAGTTAGAAAACCACAAATGAGTAGAATAATTATTTATTTATTGATTGTAATATCATATTACAAAACTACAACAAATCTATCTATGAGAAGTTGATCCCCTAAGGTCGGGGTTATGTGGACAATGATTTCTTGTGTAACATGGGGTGTGACAATAGGAGCATTTCTTTTGGTGACCTTCGGATATTCATTTAAGTCCTAATGCATGTTGACTTCGAACGACCCTTGGAACTTCTTCTTGTTGTTGGGTTGGGACAAATTTGTAGGCCTTGATGTGATGATCAATAATCTTTGTGTTTAAGCTCCTTAAACAAATTGTCATATACTTTGTTGACTACATCCAATCTGTAAACAAGATTGATGTACATCTCATAATCATAGTCAGCATGTTTGCACACTGCAACCACATAGGAACATGGTAGATGAAGTTTTTGGAACTTCCCACAATCACACCAAGCTGCATCTAGTCTAACAATAAAATTACCAGCAGGTTGAACTTCTCTTGGATTGACCATCTCCACCAAGAATCTTGTGATGTTTCTATCAAATTCAAGCACCCTATGAGTGTTTGATTTTGTATAAACATCTTGTAAGACCTTTGATACAACTTCTGAATGGACATAACCAACATTAGTCATTGATGTGATTTGCTTCCCTCTTTTTGTGAAAAATTTGTTGCATCTTGTGTATGTGACCATAACCATAGAGGAGATTGGTAAATTCCTTGTTTTTTTTAGGACTTGTCTTATGATGTTGTAGTAGTAGTAACACTACTACAAATAAAGCTTTCAACGTCGGTTCTAATAAACCGACGTTGAAAGTATGATTTTTTAAATTAATAATTTTTATTTATTTACCACCCCTTTACCCCCTTTATTTATCTAGAAGTCTCCCTCTCTTTATATTATATTTTTATTAGGTCCTCCATCTCTTTATATTATATTTTTTAGAAGTTTATTAATTTTTTAAGAGAATTATCATTGGCAAGATTCGAACCCGAGTACTTTAGAATTGGAGGCTGATACTCCAACCACTAAACTACTAGAATTTTTTGATAATAACTTACAAATAAATTATATTTATATACAAATAAATATATATCAGTGTAAATATATAAATATATAAATACAAATATATTTATATATTTTGATATATTTATATAGTTATATATTTATATGTTGGACGTGAGGGCACACTCGAAAGTGAAAGTGTGTGTCGAGTGAGTTTTCAAAATTTGATGCTAAATTTGTGAGCAGGTATCTTTATATGAGTTTGTAATTTAATGATAAAATATAATCTTTATAATTTTATTTATATAATGATATAAAATAAATTTGGGAAACGCGTTATTTGCTCTCAAGCGAAAAATACCAATTTTCACTCAAGCGAGACTTGAGTAAATGAATTTCAGTGAGCTTTAACATATTTTCACTCAAGCAAGAGTCAATCACACTTTCACCCTCAATCGAAAAATACCAATATAATTTATTTGTAAGTTATTATAAAAAAATTATAGTATTTTAGTGGTTGGGATATTAACTTTCAACCCTAAAATACTGGGTTCAAATGCTATCGAGTGACAATTCATTAACTTAAGAGAATTTTTGGTTGAAAATAAAAATAAAAATACTTTCCAGAAAATATATACAAATAAATATATATTTACATGTATATATATTTATTTGTATATAAATATAATTTATTTGTAAATTATTATAAGAAAATTCTAGTAGCTTAGTGGTTGGAGTATTAGTCTCCAACTCTAAAGTCTTGGGTTCAAATCCTGCCAATGACAATTTTCAAATTTAAGTGAGTTTTTGGGTGAAAAAAAAAGGCTATCAGCGTCGGTTTATATGGGAACCGACGTAGAAAGTACTTTCTACGTCGGTTGACTAAGAATCGACAGTACTTTCTACGTCGTCTCAGCTATAACCGACGTTAAATGACGACGTAGAAAGTATATTTTGTAGTAGTGTAATTTGTTTTTGACTTAGTCATTGCGTATGCTGCATATTGAAGTAATAAAAGTTAATGTAGAATAAACAATATAATATAGTAAAATAGTTTAGATAGAAAAAAAGTTGTTACCCATATTG